AGCATGATAGTAGACGTTCTTGCAACCAGCTTCAGCACGTCGAACTGGGAGACTCTTCCTGATGGTTCCCATCCCCACAACGCATCTTGATGTTTTTTTCTTTTCTTTTCCCTTTTGCCGCGGAAGGAAATCTCCTGCCATGGTGCGGAAAGAGCCCTGAGTATGGAGATATCCGGTGCTTTGTGGCCGTTGTGGGCGTGCGTGTACGGACAACCATGCTCGAGGCCTCATGTCTGATCTTTACGTGCCAGGCACCGGACAGTTAGCGTGTACCACTTGAAGCTTGCCGCATGTTTAAAGCTGCAGCTAGCCTTGGGTTGGACCAGCGTTCCAGAGCACTGGGCCTGGCTTCGTCAAAACGGAGGACTTGAAAGGCCAAACGGGGCACAGCTGCAGCTTTGGCTTTTTGGGCCGCGACACATGAGCAGCCTACCCTGCCGACAACTGCTCCGGTCGAGGGATGAGGCGCCCCGACACCCAAGTTTCTTTGGTCCCCCACTTTCCGTCGAGGTTGAGAGCGGTGACACGTTTTGATATTCTTGCCTCTGCTCAACTCAGTCGCGTTGTAACCGCAACAATTCGTCGAGGGGCAGAGAACTATGTTGCATTCTGCTTCTGTCGTTTGCCCATACTTTCTGGGTGCCCGTCTCTTTGATATCTTGGTTGTTCAGGAATATTAAAGTTCGTTTCCACGAGTTGACTTTTCTCCTTGGGGGCCATCAGGCACCCAACAATCACCGGAGGCCCGCTACTGTGCTGTCTAAGGCGGCGGCTGAACAGGTGGTGGCCTGATGTGTGGGAAACGCTAAATGGCACACGCAACGCTGTGCTTGCACGAAATCCATCGCACAGAATACAGCCGCTGCAGCAAATTAGCCGTGCTGAATATGACCTGAAGAAGACAAGAAGCAAAACCCTCCTCGCAGGACGTCTCACCCAGCATCGCAACGCACCTCGGGGGAGTACAGATAGAGGCAATCGGCTGCCAGCAGCACCATCCAGGGTTGCTTGTCCACCGAGGAAGCCAGCCTTGGCTGATCGGCACCCCAACTGCCCTTCTAGACCATAGCAAAAAGCAATCCAGATCTCTGGGTCGAGACCGCTCTGCTCGGCACCGCCGCACCGCTGCCGCGCCAGATTTTCTTTTTCCTCTAAGCCCCTTCGCCCTGCTTAAGCTCGACCCTCAGTGTAACAGCGGCCGGGTAGACGTGGCCATTAGCGCCCCATCACTTCCAGGCACTCGGGACCAGCATGCTTGTAAGGCTGACGGCAATCAGTCTGTCTCATTCTGATAATGAATCGCACTGGGAACGAAGGATTCATTCTCCCCGGTTGATTCGAGAGGTTCGTGTCTAACGCTGTGGCCGTGTCCGCGGAAGAGAGCCATATCCCGACAAATGGGAGCGTCTCCGAGGAACTTGGGTTGCCAACCCGAAATAACTGGCATACTTGGTGATACTGGAGAAATTGCAAGATAGGAGGTACTACCTCACTCCTAATTGAACAGACCCACGCTTGTGAGACTTGCGCGCAGCCTGGATGCGTCGTCTCCCGGAGCATAACTCTGCCTCTGAACGTAGTAGTGAGTCGAAAAAAAGTAGCACCATTGGCCTGATTGTGACGTGGAGTACAGACCCGAGTCCCGGAACGCTGATCGTGCATGATCCAGCCGTCTGCTGAGAAGAAAACTGGAGATATGGAAGTGGTGCTGGCTGGAGTCTTTCTAAAAGACCCGAGAGGCGGAAATGCGACAAGTCAACCGCAGAATGAAGTCTCATAACATGCCATGCGAGTTGAGACATGCTCTTCGGAAGTGCACAGCTAGTATTCCTTGCCGCCCCTATCTTTGGTACTGAGACACGGACGGCAGCGATTCTGAGCTGAAAAAGATCGGCTGTGAGCTGCAATGGCCAGTCTTGCACTTGACCTAATGAGTGCCGTGTCACGATTTGCAAGCGATTCGATGCGGATCATCATCTAAGCTCCAATGAAGCATGGGGGCGTCCCGGCAGTAAATTCACGACTCGGCCGCTAGGTTGAGACCAGTTAGGGGTGGCGCTCCATCGTCGGTGACGGGCTGTTCTTTCTCAGCTGAAAAGGCGCCAGCGTTGAGAACTGGGAAAATGAAGCAGCTTTACTGGTTCAAGTTAGTCGGTTTGGCGTTGAAAACACCGTGAAAGCATCGTGGGACGATGCGGAGCGTTGGTGTGGTACGAGTGATGCGCCGTCAGGCACAAGTAGGATAGTGTGCGAGTAATTTGTCAATGATAGAATACGGTGAAGCTGTCGCCTGGACATGTTCGTGGTATGCATTTCAGCGTTAACGCTTCTTCGGGTGACTGAACGTGTCTCACTTCGTGCCTAGAGGTGAAGGGCTCGTACCTCGTATGCCCGTGCCTTGGCAGGAAAGAGTACCGTCCTGACGCCGACGGGACCGAAATCGAATTCGTATGCCGTGACGCTAGACTTCGTGGCGTCTTCCGTCGTCCACCGTTTGGCCGTGTGGGTGTCTGATGATGGTCAACGTCTGATACTGCTTGGCAACTACAACACAGGACGGGCGATTTCTGGGTGGCAGAACAACAAGACGGAGCTAAGCGCTTTCCTCAAGAGGTTGCTTCCTATGGCAAGATTGGTGAGTCTGGGTAGTGAATCTGGGCCAGACAACGAATCAGCATGGCAAATCAGCTCGCCGAATAAGCGAAATGGGTTGATGAAAGCCACGGCGCCCAGCTTGGGTTTAGCCTGGCTCGCCTGAGCTCTGCGACTGGGGTAATCTGCAAGGATAGAGGACTGACAGGCTCCTGATGAGGTGTGCGATGGGCCCGAAAGAGGCAAAGCTCCGCGACGGACGGAGCCTCGGAACGGTGGGGTCGCTCCGAGAGCCCGATCCAACTTCTTTTCGGAAAGGCTGTGGCTGCCAGAGACAAGAGGTGGGTGGCCGAGATAGGGAGCGTGGATGTGCCACGAGGTGGAAATTCCGCATCTTGGTGTGTGCCCACTACATCGGAAGACGTCGTGAGACCTCCTGGCCTTGTAAGTACTGCCTGTAAGTACCAACTTCGCACATTCTCGACGGGGACGGGTGCTCGTACGTGGGAGGTGAGGCTGACTGCTGTGCAACCGCGGCGATATTGAATGTCGTCATCCAGGTACAAATACTTTGTAATCTGGGACCTCGTTAGCAGGGGAATGATGGCTCTGTAGTGGGACATGAGCATCTCAGCTCAGGACGACGTGCTGCTCGTCGAATTCGCTCCTTGTCGTGTCCTGTACTTCATACCTATGGCATCACCAGAGTAGAACCCCTTTCTGACTGTCGCCGCCACCCGCCCAGCTCTTTTAGGCTCTGCGACCAACTTGGTGGCTAAAGTCGAGCCGGCAGGGGGCGTAGCGCCGTGGGAGCAAAGTCGGGATTCCGCGTCCAGTCACCGGCGCTTCTCTGGCGCGTGGCAACCCGGCTGGGAAGAAGCACGCAGGACACAGACGGAAATACTACCGCTCCCTCGTTTCTGCCGAGCGGGATGGGTCGTGGACATCGTAAGGTACGCATGAGCCCCGGGGCTTGATACCGCGGTAGAACGGCGAGTTGATGGGCGAGAGTGGTAGGCGAAATAGCGGGCAAAAAAGGACACAGCAGGATGGAGAGCAGAAGAAGACGGCTGGGCCGGCCCGGGTCAAAGGACTGCCGGGCCCATTTTGGTGGGCAAAATTGGGTAGCTTAAGATGAAGCACGCAAGTGGCACGGCGAGTTTGCTCATGAATGTGGCTTGTCGTACGAAATGGTATCTGCAATTGAGGATGAAGTTGGAAGGTAATGAGGGCTAAAGGAGATTACTTGACTCGATATCCGGGTAGGACAAATACTAAGGTGCCTCCCATTAACCCAAGCGACTGATAAGGTCGTCGGATAGCGATACACCGACGAGAAAACATTTTCGCTGCGGCGGTATTGTATTCAGTACCTGCCTTTACTCAAATCTCCTCCATCGCAGTCAAGTTCATGATACCTTGGCGGGTATCAACCAGGGCTTGGCAGGCAGGCAGGCAGGCAGGCAGAAAGGCAGGAGGCTGCAGCAGGAAGGAGCACCTCGTCTGAACGCTTCAACTTCCATCTTGGTGCCGCGTCGCCGTCCCGGCTTCTCTCTGCCCTCGCACAGAACAAGGCACTCATCAAACAAACAGGGCACCACCCCGCTAGCACTCCGAGATTCGTACCGGCCGCAGAGCCGTCTGCTGCTTAGCTCCCCGACCTGATGGATGGTTCGTCTCATCAAGCCCGTCCGCTTCTGTCCTAGGGCCTGACGCTGTGCAGCCTGCCGCCTGCGGTGTCCAATGACAGCGAGCGCTGCCCTGGGACCTACCGACGGCCAGGAGGGCCTGGGACAAGGCCTGCTGCACCACAGCACGCGAGCCGCAGTGCGTGAGTGCCTCTGGGGGCATGTGGTGGGAGACGCTGGGAGGGCTGGGCGCTTCGGCGGTGCTGCCGGTGGATCTGACACCAGGTTGGCACCCAGAGGTTGGCCTTGCATTGCCCAGAATCTCCGTCTTGTGGACACACCGTCGCATGTTTCCAATGGGTAAAAGCTACGCACCAATGCTCCGTCTGCCCGCCTGGGCTGGCCTGCGTGAGAGGGACGCATGCTGGAGAAGCCTGCTGTGCTGTGACTGAAGCTTTTGTCGTCCAACTCACGGCGGCACGCTGAGATTGCGACATGCGGGTGATTGACATCTGTATCACCTCTGCTAAATTAAGCAAGATACCCAATACTGACTGACAGGGCACGAACAGTCCCTTGAACGATTGGACTGGCATTCAGCTGCTGCTATCAGTACGTGTAGTTCGGCTACATACCAGCGGCAACTTGAACACGTACCGTGCATTGGCAAAGACAAGCGGCACCTCCCACCCAATACCGGTTTTGTCGTCGACCTCCCTGATCATACATGCACAGGCGCAAACGAGCAAAGGGCTCTGAGCCGGGTGAGATTGTCATGTCATGTCATCACGACGGACCGCGTCTGAACCCTCGCCGTCCTCCTTGGGTTACCGCGAAATGGCACGCGGCATCCCGCCGCGATCCCTCCAGACCTCAGGCCGTGCCCTGGAGCTGGAGCTGGAGCTCATGGCAAGATGCTCGCACACGCCCCCGCCCATCTGCCAGGGTGGCCGTCGGTTTCTTCCCCAGTCCCGCATTGGGCCTGGTGCACAGACCGAGAACGACTCGCAGACTCGCATCGGCCACGACGACACAACTCTGGCGTGGCGGCAGCGAGCCCTCTGCATCCACGGACGGTCCAGCCCAGTCCCGGGACACACAGCGACCTGCTGCCGTACACGACCGCATAGGGCCAGACAAGTCCACGCCATGTACGAGGTACGGGGTACGAGGAGCGCTAGCCGTCGCCAGCTGGGCTCTGGGATTTCCTGGTTCTGGGCCCGGGCCTCTGGGTAGCGCTCTGAGCGCCAAATCTGCATAGGCGCACAGTCTGGCCCACCCAGCAGGTGCAGCTGATGCGCTGCCGCACCCCCGTCGCTGATTGCTGCAGCGCCTGGCCGCCCTGGCGTGGCCCTGCAAGTGTGGCCCTGGAGTGGCAGGGCTCGGAGCCAGGGGTTTCGGTGCTGTGATCCCTGCTCCCCCCGAGCACTGACCACTGACCGGGGGGGCGATGCCCTCACTCGCTCGCTCGCTCACGCTCACGCACACGCAGTACCGAGTACGGAGCAGCCCATGCAGCACCAAATCCGCCACAGATGCGCGGGCGGGTCGACAACACCACTACCGACCTAGAGATGCTTGCTTGCACCAAGGGCCTCTGCCTCTGCCTCTAGCGAGTACTTGTATCTACCTCCGCCCCTCCGAATCTGCTCCCGGATCTTGTCCCTCAAATGTTTCTGCCCGCTTGCTCCAACGACCCCGAATCCCCTTGACAAGGCTCGAACCGAAAGAGCAGCCAGGAGACAACCTTAAGAAGGAAGAAAGCACTTGTCTCAACCCCCCCTTCTCCTCCTTCTCCTCCTTCTCGTTCCTATTCTTTTCTTCCTTTTATCGACATCGTCGTCGTCATCGCTGCCATTGAGACCATACCATTGATTTCTCTCCTGGAATTACTCCTTGAACTTCCCTTGCTGTCGGTAGCAACTTGCCGTTATAAGAATCAAGCAGCCGCTACTTGCCATCGAATTCCTCGATTTCCAATCCAGTCGGGCATCTCGGCAACCTGCCACTAATACATCGGATTCCTTGCTCATCAAGACCCAGTACGGGATATTGGCCACGCAAGTCTCCGGCCGGTGTACAGCAGATATCGTCAAGCATACCGCGCCTGCTCTGGCCTCCGAAGAACAGAAATCATGCCTCATCAACATTCTCAATCCGACTGGTCGGCATGGACCTATTCCGTCGCTCCCACTGATGACTTTGCCGCACAATACACCCAGCTGCCAGTGCCGGAATATCCGTTCCTTGCCGACACCATGAAGGCCTACCAGGTCCAGCATAACCACCTTGTCCACCACCAACAGATGTCGCGAACAACAGAGTCAAAGCCGCGACTCTCAAAAGAAGAGGTGGAGGTTCTCGAGGCAGAGTTTCAGAAGAACCACAAGCCCAACAGCAGCACAAAGAAGGCTTTGGCTGAGAGCATGAGGGTTGATCATGCCCGCATCAATGTAATTACCCCTAATCCTCCCATTGATATACATCTATATATACATGCATGGCATGTATATAAGGTATGCATTGAACATGGCTAACAACCTGCCAGAACTGGTTCCAAAACCGCAGAGCCCGAGAAAAGAAAGAGAACAACATTCGAGAGTACGAAGCCAGGCAACGGGCCGAAAAAGAGCGTGCGGGCGGAGAGATTGGCCTTCAAGGCTCTGATCGCAAACGTGACCGGGTTGCTTCTTCTGCTCCCTTCCCAGAGCCACGGCAGGCTTCGCGAGCCAAGGAGCAGTCTCCGGATGCCCCTTCACAGCTGTCGACTGCCTCTGAGGGCTCCACCGATGTTTACGAGGCCACGCCGCCCGTCACTCCGCATCTCGGCTCTGCCTCTTCTCTCGTCTTCCGTCGCGCGGATGCAGAAGATGACGCCGAGTCTCCTGAGAAAAGCGTCCGTGGATATTCCTCGTCGCCGGTGACCGGCATGTCTTTCGCCAATGTGTCAGCCCTGGACGCGCTGTTCTCTATTGAGCAGCACGGTGCCGATGAGTTTGGCGATGAGTACCAGGACATGGACCTTGCGCGGATCACGGCCTTCTTGCACCAGACTGGCCTTCCAAACAGCCCCGACAGACAGCTCAGGTCTCCCTGCCCAACAGACATTGCCTCTCGCCGCAATCGCCAAACCCCTCAGCTGTCATTCAATGGCTCGCGAAGCTTCTCGGGCAGCCTCAGGGTCGCTGACGCAGCCAGACGCTCTGAGCAAGTCGGTTCCATGCGCCGAGTTGTTTCAACTTCGGCAACGGGCAGAGTCCGCAAGTCCTCACTCTCTGCTGCCACGCCACGCAGCCCCTTTTTTCAAAGAAACCGCTCGCCAATGGGCCCCGGTTCGGCGGCACCGCCCACGCCAAACACCCCCGTCGTGACTGAGCCACAAAATGCCAACGGTGGCCTGTTCCCTCTTACTACCAAGTACTCATCGTCAGCCCTGATGCAGGATCCCACCTTGCGCACGCCACCGACGACGCCAGCCTTCCTGGAGAACTTTGTCTTTAACAACCAGGGGGCCTCGTACACCATGGGCAACTTTGGCGCAAGGTCGTTTTCTGACCAGCTCGATGCGTCCGTCCACAGAACGGCAGCAGAATACGACGCCGGTATCACGGCATGCTCTAGCCAGCCTACAACACCCATGTTTCCTTACCAGGTTGGCTCTGGTTATTTTCCAGGCTATGCAGACGGCTCAGACTACAACTGGGCCTTTTCATCAAACAACGGGGAGCCTTCTTCGGACTTTGCCATTCCCTATGCCTCGTCTATGAGCATGCTTTGATTTTGAACTGGCAACCTCGATGCTACACGCAAACTTGCGGTGGGAGTGCGACACAACATCATGTCTGCTATGCCTACAACCGTCTCAGGAATCATATTGCAGGCGATTTCTTGCAATAGTGTACACTACAAATGGCGCTGGTCATGTTTTTCTTTTGTTCCTTTATTTCCTTTGTGAAGATTGGCTTAGCGGATAGCATATACACTGGCATTTGGACAGTATGCGGAGCGGCATCTTGGTTTCATGTATTCTTCCATGGAACTTGTATTTATTCAGGGTCTGGGTTTCCTTTGTCATGAATTCGGTGCGGTTGGGATCCTGAATGATTCGTGCCTCCATACCTAGGAGAAGACACGTTTGTACCCATATTTTGTCGCTTCGGCGTGGGATGGGAGGAGCTGGAATACCCCGGGGGCTAGAAGCACCTGTTGGTGCGATGAGAATAAGCATGCATGGTATATGATCGTTTGACATCGCAACAATAGCGTAATACCTATGACTTCCGTGCCTCTTTCAATATTGTAGGACCTTTGCTCGCTTCTGTGGCATGGATAACGCTCGCCTGCGAGCCTGCCTTGAGCGCTGTTTGCAAAATCCTAGTCGGCATGGTCCTGGCCTTTGACTTGGAGCTGGTCTCTGGACGTGTGGTTGAGGAGTTAGTCTACCTGGGACCTAATTTGTGATCCGCGAGATGTCCTACGCCCCGTGGCTTCTGTACCGGGCTTGATGCTCTGCCTACAACTGAATTGTCTACATAATGCCATGAGGATCTTGATTAGGTAGGTTAGTAGTTGTCCTTGGCCTTGACTTGCTGTGATGGGTATGGAACATACAACCATCATGCCAGATGTGGTAACTGACGCCAACCGTCCAAGAAGTCAATTAGAAGGCGACCAATCAATGGCATCCATAGCCAGCGCAGGACAACGCCCCGAAGCTTTGCGCCACAAGGAACAGCGAAACAAGAACTCATAAGATGCAGTAATTCTTCATCAACCCAGCTTGATTAGATTCAGACACGAAGATTGTGGTTATTTTATGCCATGATACTGCATAGCATCAATGTAGCTACAGTGGTAGAGAAGAACCTGAAGTACGACGGGAGCAAGAGAACAAAGAAAAGCATCAACGACGTCACAGCTCTATTCTTAGCCTCCCATTTGTTTTTTTTTTAGCGAACTTTGAAGCGCGCAAACGCGATCTGCTGCAGCCCCACCCTGTTCCAGGTGCCCACTGCACTGAAGAAAGGGCAAAGCAGCAACAACATCCCTTGGATAGGCCGCTTCCCTTTGGTCCATGTTCCTCGCAGCCCTTTCTGTGCAATAAATATACTGCTCCGCCCTTCTCGCAGCTCCCTTATAGGACCTCTACCCTCCTTCGATAATGCCCGCTCGTGACTGAGCGCCCGCTCTCCATGTCCTCGTCCGCGCTCCTCGTCTCCGAAGACGCGTCGCGTGCGCGGTCCGGCATCCTGACGCCCACTTCCGAGGGCAGCCTCAACTTGAATCTGAGCCGCCATCATGGGGTCTCTTCGCCACGCGGCGATGCAAAAAAGTCGGGCGTCGCGGTGACCATGGAGCAGCTGCTCAAGCCGTCCATTGCCGTCAAGGTAGAATCTTATTTGAAGTCTCAAGAACCGCAAAGGTCTGGCATCAGTTGTGGCTGACTTCAAGGGTTCTGCAGCCGCATCCACCGAATCTGCATGTCCCGCCCCGCGTTCTGCACCCGTTGATGCTTCTGCCGCGCGAACACCTGCCGCTGTCCTATATCGACTTTGCCGCTTGCCACGGTGACTTCCCCCAGTCCCGGTTCTACGAATCCTACATCCACATCCTCGATCTCGAAAGCCGGCTGGGCCCCGCTCCCATCGTGCTCATCGCCCGCAACGAATTGAGGGGCACCGTTTATGCTCTAGAGAGACAGTCCAATGGGTTGTATGTGCTCTGCAAATTGGCGCCATGGGCCGACCTGGAGAGTCTGGCACAAAAGGCCACGGCCGTCAGATATGAACGTCTTGCTCCCGTGAAAGCGGAGCGAATCGAGCACCCTGCCGGCGAAGCACTCATAACCCCTCAGCTGCATGTCGAACAAAAGAAGAAGAGGGCTGCCATCGAAGCCATCCAGTCGCAGATGAGGAAGCGCGTAAGATCACAGTCTGTGTCGACAGTCGGAATCATGACGAAAGAAGAAGAACCACAGGAGCCTGAGTCCCTGATATCACAGCTGCCGTCACCAGACATGAGCTCGGAACAGGTTCCCCTGCCAGGATCTGAGGACAGGATCAATTCCATCAACATGGCCAGCAGCGCAGAGGAGATTTTTGAGGGCATCAGAACTCATTACTTCGACGCGCTGTACAAGTCCATGGTATGTGGCATGCACATTCCGAGCATTAGACCTGCTTTGCCTACCATTGACGTTTGCTCACATCGATGCAGGGATCCCTTGCGTATTTTGCCAAAGGGCCGCTGTCCCGAGCTCGGTCAACATTCCACCTGGACCTGGAGTCGAATTTGGATATGGCCGACTTGATTGAGTTCTTGAAGAGCCTCATCCTCACAACTGTGCAGATCGATAAGAAATATCGCGAGTCAATCCCGGAGATCATCGCCAAACTCAAAGACCGTATCGACAGTTCCGACGAGGGCCGCAAACGCAAGCGCAAGCCCAAGAAGATGAAGCTTGGGAAAAGTGGACTGTATCCGCTGGAGGATGAGAGTGTTATGCGGTGGTGGGCTGCGAACAAGCCGGAAGCGAATGACGACGGAGCTCCGATTACACCATCCCAGATCAAGTCTCATGTTTCCATTCTGCGAACGAGAGAAACCAAACTGCAGATGATTCTCATAATGGAAATCCTTGCTCTTGAACCTCTCAAGGCTGCTGGCGAAAGTGGCGAGGCGAATTTGCCTGCCCTTCCTGGAGCTGCCGATTCTGGAGACCTACTGGAGAATATCCTGCATCCTCAACCGAAGAAGAGAAACAAGCACAATCTTCCTGTTCTGCTGGATGTCCATGCCGATCGCCTAACCATCTGGCAGTCTACCGCGAGCGACGAGCAGCTGCTGCTTGAAGACGCCCCATCTTCGCAGACACCCTTGGATGGCAACCTGGACAAGAAGGCATCGTCCGAACCTCTGCGTGATTTCTGCGTCGATGTCATTATGCCCTTGTAAGCATCTGATCTCACTTGCAAGACCTTGGATTTTTTAATAAGACTGACCTCTTTCAGCTTTTCCGCTCGCTTGCCTGAACTTTGCGACTCCATCAGCCGCAAGCTTGGAGGCCCTGTCATCATAGCCCCGGTAAAGGCCAAGTCCATCAAACGACCGCCGGGAACGCGAGATCTCAAGCCTGGCACTGTTGCCAGGCGGCCTCAGCCCCCGAACCCCCGCAAGACGCTGCAGCGCGCCCTTTCAACGGAACAGCAGAACCGGAGAAGCATTTCCAGGGGACCCAGCAATGCAATTGCTCTTTTGCGATCAGCCACTTCCACTGCTCTTCCAACCGTCAAACGGGAGAGCTTGGACCCGACCGGTCCCATGTCACTGCTTCCCACTGACTCACAGAGAAGGGCTCAGTCCCTATCTCGGAGCAGCAGTATGCATAACCCGTTCGATGCCAGAGCTAGTAGAAAGGCCGAAGTGGAGACTGAGCTCAAGGAGGCCATCTCAGCTCTGAGGAAGCCCAATCGGGAGGTTGTAGGCAAAGCGATGGCCGAGGCAGACGAGCGGAAAGCATCGACCAGCCTCGCCACAAAGAGTAATTTCTTCTCCGCATTGAGAGTTTTGAAGACACGGAATGCTAACGAGAGGATTCTAGAACTCAAAAGGGTGCCTCCCAGGAGTGCTTTAGCTTCAGCTGTCCAGGTCAAGGCCACACCAGCGAATAATCGATTCAAAAATATGATGCCTACCAAGTCGAACGGGGGCCAGGCAGAGGGCTTTGACGAACTGATTCCCCCATCAAGCGTCACGGCCTTTATTCCTTCTACGGGAAAGCGGCCCGCTCTTAGGGAGATGTATAAGCGCAGTCCATCTCCAGCGACGGATACAGTAGGCGACACACCGACCAAGACTTCGGCCAAACCCAGCTTCATACGCCGACCTTTGAACGAACAAATGACGTTCCCGCCTTCCTCCCCGGCCGTCCAGAGAGAATCAAACTCTGAAGATTTTGTGGTGGCGGATAGCGCGGTCAAGCCTCCGCGGACGAGTGCCTACGAAGCCCCTGACTTGATGGAGACGCCGGTCAAGAAGACTACGCAACAGCGGGTGGATCTATACGCGACTCCTCAGACGAAGCAGCAGGAGTCAAAGGGGAAGAGTGTGTCAATATTTGACAGACTTGGATGGAATGACGATTTTGATGATTTATGAGATGGGGAACTTTCATTTTTTTTTTTTCATGCGTTCTGACGAGCATAGTGGTCATATGCCTTGTACTACGATATCCCTCGGGTGTGGTTGTTGTGGATGATGATTCCCCCCCTGTTATTCGAACTGGAAAAAAAAAAAGAGAAAGAGAAAAGAAGAGGAAAAGAAAGAACAAAGCATGGGCGTCTGGCGGCGGCGTTTTCAAAAGCATGACGGTAAACTTGCATGAAGGAGTATTCACTACACATGAGCGGCATGGCACGCATTGCAGCATATTTTGCGCATATTATTAGCAAGCAGTTTTGGCAAAGATTAGGGTATGAGTTCTATATGAGAATGAAGAGAGTGAGATGTGAAGTTGCCTTGTATGCTAGAAGTTCAAGATGCCGCCGCTATGGGTTCGACAATCATGGTCGGCAAATCACCAATGTCAACGTGTTCCTGTGATACCAAGTCCACCACCCGAATAGCTTCTAAGCCAACGACGCCCTCGCGCAGCGCGAGGAACTGCAGCTCCACGACGTGGCAGGCGCCCGGGGCCACGGGGCCAACGCGCGTGTCGGCGCTGAGGCAGATGATTTCCGTCGGCTCGATGGCGGCGGTCTTTTGCACGGCGTGGATGACGTTCTCGTCGAGGACGGCATCGGCAATCTCCTTCTTGCCGCGGCGGCCGCCGCTGGAGGGGGGCCGGATGGGGCGGACCTCGGTGCGGCGGCGCTTGGGGATGGCGACGAGGGCGAGCTTGCGCGGCGGGCGGCTGTTTGCCTTTTCGGAGGAGCGGTTGACGACGTAGACGGTCCAGGAGAAGACGTCGCCCGGGTGGACGGGGTGCGGCGGCGCGGTGAAGGACATTGTGATGCCGAGGTCGGGGACGGCGGCGTCGGTGCGGTTGGTGGAGGCCTCGAGCGTGGGGAGGGCGTCGGGCCGGATGGCGGACGGGGACTTGAGGTGGGTGATTGCGGCGGCGGCGCTGCCGATGGAGAGCTGGGCCGGGCGGTGGGCGCGCTGGATGCCGGACTCGGAGGCGGTGCCGAAGCTGGGGTTGACGGGGAGGGAGAAGTCGAGGCCGGTGGTCCAGCCCATGGTGAGGCTCGGGGTGCAGACGCCCGGGACGACGTGGACGGAGGCGGCGATGGCGATCTCGAGGCTGCCCGAGGTGTCGCGGGGATGGGGCGCCGCCTCGGCCTGCTGGGGCCGGATGTGGTAGAGGAGGGTGACGTGGTCGTGGGAGACGCAGCTCAGGGGCAGGGCGAGGCCGGCGTCGTCGTTGAGGTTCTCGACGGTGCCGTTGGGCGTCGTGAGCTTGATGCTCGTCAGGAGGGCCTCGCAGTTGAAGTGGGAGGTGAAGTCGATCTCGAGCAGCGCGACGATGGACCGGCTCAGGGGGATCGTGCTCGGGCGCGAGAAGCGTATTCTCGTGTGCAGCACGGGGAACACCCTGATGCTCAGCTGCGGCAGCGTCCGGAGCCGGGTCATGAAGTCCTGCTGCCGCGTGACGGGGGCGACTCGGGACACGCGCAGCGCGGACAGTCGCGGCTTGACGCCGTTGAGGGAAGGGTCGTTGCTGAAGGCCTCGAGCAAGTTGAAGCCCGACGGCATGCCGCTCGTGAGGTAGCCGACTTCCGGGGCGATGGGCTCCGTCCAGAGATCCGGGTCGAGGCTCGCGGATGCGGAGAAGACGACCGAGGGCATGTGGAGGCGCATTCGGGGTCGTATGAGGAGCACGGGGAGCTTCCACATGGCGTAGACGTGCTTAGGGTCTTCTTCTTCTTCGTCTTCCTCTTCTTCTTCTTTTCCTTCCTCTCCGTCTTTTACATCGCCATCTGCCTGCCGTCTTTCTTCGAGCACGAAGGGCTTCTTTGTCTCCTGCAGCCGCCCGCTGAAGATGGTCTCCGAAGCGTTGGGCGAGTTGTAGTCGGGGAGGCTGCCATTGGCCACCTGAGCTTCCAGAGAGATGTTTATCCTGCTCAGATGGTAGTCTAGCTCTCTTCTAGGGAGCCATGGCGTCTTCAGAACGAGCAAAACATCGACAGTCTCGTCTGTGAATATGGATTTTCATGTTAGTCACCTGAGCTTGGTTTACACCTGGACACCTCACAACCCAATTATGAGCGGTGAGGTCTTGACTGCGGGCTTTTACCGAAAAACAGCGTGTCTCTCTGCTCTATCCATTCAGATACCGGCTTGGAGCCGTCGAATCCTGCAAAGGCCTTTTCTAGGTTGATGTCGGTCTCGGAGGGCACGAGATATGTCAGGTAGGAGTTGTTGATGAGGTCAGTGGCCGCATTGGTGGTGGATATCGTCAACTGGACAGGAGTGAGGGGCCCAGGAGTGGCAGGATTGCGGGCTGACATGGCTGAATAAAGTATAGCAGAGTAGAGCAATTAGGGTAGGTGTCTCTCCATTCTCATCATTGAGATTATAAAGATGATATAGTCATAATAGCTAATTGATACTGAGAACGGCGAGGCCAATGAAGAGACCACACGAAGCCACCATAAGATGAAGCATTACCTCACCCGCGTCCGTTAAGCTCCAGCGCCCGCATCCCCTCTGATAAGCCCATAACGCTGCTACAAGGGCCCGTCCGCAGCCCCGATTGAGCGGAATCCGGATTGTTGCATACAGACGCCCCGACGTGGCCCGTGCGCGCTGGAAAGATCGATATGCGTGTCTCGCGCAATTGCTTGCACCCAAAGCTTTCGCTCGAAATTTTGGCGGCACAATCGTAGCTTCACCTCCCAAGCATCGCACCGAGCCAGCCATCACACCTCTGCCCTGCGCTCGCTCGAGGCGCGCTCTCTCCTCCAAAGACGTTCGCCTGTTCGAGCATCTTCATCGCGCCGTCCTTGCCTCGACGAAGCTGCTGCCCGCAAACCTCCAGCGCCTGCGAAGATGAACGGCTTCGCGCCTCCTTTCGCTCAGCCGGCACCGGTCTGGCAAGAGCACAAAACGCCCGAGGGCCGAGCCTACTATTACAATTCTGTTACCAAGGCCACGCAATGGACCAAGCCAGAGGAGCTGATGACCCCGGCGGAGGTGAGTTGCCGCTTCTTTTCGAGTCTTTCTTTGGACAACTTGCGACCTGTGTTCCAAAGACATCTGAACCGCTGCTAACCTTCCGTCTTCTTCCTCCACAGCGCGCTCTTCTGAACCAGCCATGGAAAGAGTACACCGCGGAGGGCGGTCGCAAGTACTGGTACAATACCGAGACGCAGCAGAGCTCTTGGGAAATGCCCGAGGCATTCAGAAAGGCTCTGGGATCGACTGGTGGGCCGAGCAACCCCGTTCCCCAGACTACTCCTACTCCATACACGCAGAGTGGCGGTTATCCAGCTGCAGGACATGACTATCCGCGCGAACCCCGCGACTCCCGCGACGCTCGCGATGCCCGTGACTCTCGTGATCGAGAACCCTACCCCGAATCTCGCCGATTGACCTACGGCGATGACTCCAAGTCACAGCAGCAAGCCTTCGTCCCCGCTACGAATGATCCAGAGTATGCAACTCCCGAAGAGGCCGAGGCGGCGTTCGTCAAGCTGCTTAAGAGAAGCGGCGTTCAGCCAGACTGGACCTGGGAGCAAACCATTCGTGCCACCGCCAGGGACCCGCAGTTCCGCGCCATTAGGGATCCGAAAGACAGAGAGGAAGCCTTCAAGAAGTACTGCCAGGACGTGCGACTCCAAGACGCGGAGCGTGCCAAAGAGAGGAAGGCAAAGCTAGCAGTTGACTGGGAAACGATGTGCAAGCGACACCCTGAAATCACCCACAAGACTCGATGGAAGACGGCCAGGCCTATGATTGAGGGAGAGACCATTTTCCGTTCCACTAACGATGAGGAGGAGCGCCGACAGCTCTTCGAGGAGTATGTCATCAAACTCAAAAAGGCTCACAAAGAACAGCAGGCCAGCCAGAAGAAGAGTGCCATGGATGGCCTTATCGACCTGCTTCCGAAGCTCAACCTCGAGCCATACACGCGCTGGGCGGATGCCAGAGAAATCATCTCCTCCACCCCTGCTCTTCAAGAACAGGAAAAGTATAGAACCCTCAGTCAGTTTGACATCCTGACTGCCTTCCAAAATCACATGAAAGGTTTGGAGCGCGCCTTCATTGAGTCTAAGCAGGAGGAGAAGAGCCGAAAGTTCCGCAAGGAGCGCAAGGCGAGAGATGCTTTCAAGGAGCTGCTCGAGTCATTCCGCAAAGAAGGCAAAATCAATGCTGGCACCAAATGGAGCCAGATTGTCCCTCTTATCAAGAGCGACGAACGCTACCTGACCATGGTGGGCCAGCTCGGTTCGAGTCCTCAAGAACTATTTTGGGATGTGATTGAAGAGGAAGAGAGGTCGCTCCGCGGCCCTCGAAACGACGTGATCGACGTCCTCGAAGTGAGTCCTGTTCCTGGTTATCGCATCTGCTATCTTCAGAAACTGACCCCTCGATAGGACAAGCGGTTTGAACTCACCCCAAGTAGTGATCTTGAGGAATTTCTGTCCGTCATGAAAGATGATCACCGTACGGCTAACATTGATCGTGACACGCTCAAACTTATCTTCAACCGCGTAAGACTACCTCCCATGTGCTACCGCTCGCTTTGGACTGTCAAGTCATGCTAACACACTTGTCTCATCAGCTGCGTGAGAAGCGAGCCTCCAAGCGCGAAGACGACAGACAGCCCGACCGACAGCAGCGTCGGGCCATCGACGATCTTCGTGCGTACATTAAGCGTTTAGAGCCGCCGGTCACGCTGAGCGATACATATGACAAGGTACGACCTAGACTACTGAAATCAGACGAGTTCCAGGCCGTCGCTTCGGAAGACTTCCGTCGAAGTGCCTTTGAGAAACATCTCCGCAGATTACGCGAGAAGGATGAAGCAGACCGTACCTACCGACGTCACGAACGGCCCTCCATCGAGAGAGACGTGCCGAGACGCGACAGGGATCGATCTCGTGGTGAGCGTTCACATCGCGGTAGCGGCCGTGGTGGTAGGCGCAGCCGTAGCCCTGAGCCCGATGCATACGAGGCAGACAGGCGAAAGGCGATAGCTGAGCGCGAGCGTAACCATCGCAAGTCGACCATGGCAGAGAACCTTCTAGCAACTGACCGTGGTCGTCTTTCGCCGCCGCCGCCACGCCGCGAGCGCGATCGTGAACGCGACCGAGATCGAGACCTGGACCGTGCCCCTCGCTCCAGGCGCGATGACGATGCCTTCTATGACCGCGAGCGCAGGGATCGGGAAGACGATCGAGAGAGGCTCTACCGCCGCCGCGCTGATCGAAGTTCGTACGATGAGCTCCCGTATGGCGATGAGCGTCCGGCGGCTCCGCGCCGTCGTCGTCCCGAAGAGGAAGACGACTATGCTCGCCAAGATTCGCGAGATTCAAAGGTATGTGTAACCGAAACATGATCATCATTACCCGTATTCATCCTACTCACACATGACACAGAGACTCAGAAGAGACCGATCACGTGAGCGTACCCCCCCTCGTGAAGGACGTCAACCACCACGCAACAGAACACCAGAGCCAGCCAAGGATGTCCGCAGCGGTAGCGAAGAGGGCGAAATTGAGGAGTAGTCGACCCCAGCCTCACACTTTCCACTGTCTGGCGAGTAAGCTTATGTTTCTTTTGCCCAAATTTGTCAAACCCCACTGGATCGTAAAACAACAGAACCCAACATCCAAGGATCAAGGACCCAAGGACCAAGGCCACAACAGCCAGGGGCATAAGGGAAGAAGAGAAAAAAACATCGGGAAGGGAGAACAAGATCAAGGAAAATGGTGTAGCTTGTTCACGCGGTGTAGCTTTTTTTTCACGCGTATGACTCTTTTCTGGACGTCGTAGTCAGTCAGGACAGGCTTCTGTTTCACGAGGATAGCTTCGTTTTGCTTTCTAACATCCATCTTGTTGGAGTCTTGTTTGAGTTATGATACAAGCACCTTGTTTAAATAAAGACACATTTCACTCCACTTCATTCTTCATGGGTAGCTGTGATGTTTACACATGTCTGTCTTGCACATCTTCATTTCGATTATTTGGGAAGAACATCCTCTTCAAGGACACCAGCACGTCACAATTATGCAATCATGAGAACCCATTCCGTAACGAACCAAATCAAGTTTATTTTCATCTGTAACTTTTCGACAACTCTACGGTCTTGGAAGAAGTTTCCCGCGAGGTAGGAAACCCGACGGCAGTCATCCTGCTTGATCCATTGTCCCTCCATCTGCGGAATGTGTGACTCTACTCAAGAGCTCTCTTGCTGCTGTTTTTTTCCCGCAGGACCAGACAACAGGGGATAGGCTGCCGTCGCCAACGTTACTCATCTGGGTCGTCGTCCTCGCTGACGCCGTCCATCAGGGTTCCAACTTCGTGGCCGCCTCCGTCTCCGCGAATTGCATTTACATGCGAAGCAGAAGAACGAATGCCACTACTGTCTGGAAATGCGTCACGCTGCTGACGTTGGTGGTGCTGATCAGGGCTGCCCTTTTCAAGCAGTCTCCTCGGGCTTCTCCTCCAAGAAGAACTAGAGAATCGGAAAATGTTAGCATCAAGAACTGGGAGCAGGTATAAACAAAGTAACTTACGAAGTTGCCGCTCAGCTTCTGTTCCTGGTCAAGCTGAGAGCCTAACTTGTTGATACGGGGACGGTAGTTGGTCGGGTCACGACGGAAAGTGACGTCCAGGTTCTTCAAGAAGGTGTTGCAGCCAGTGAGGAGCGACTCGGGCCTGTTGGCGTGGGCGTCGATACCGGGCTTGCCGTCAAAGACAATGACACGATCGGCAAGGTAGGTGGCCATGATGAAGTCGTGCTCGACGACGAAAGCGGTCTTCTTAGAGTGCATGATGAAGCGCTTGATGACGCGGGAGGCAATGATACGCTGCTCGGAGTCGAGGTAGGCAGAAGGCTCGTCAATGAGGTAGATATCCGCAGGCATACCCAGGGCAAGGACAATGGCAACACGCTGCAATTCACCACCGGAGAGGTTCTTGACTTCCTGGTCAATGAAGTCGTCGAGCTTGAGGGGCTTGACAACATCAGTCTGGAACTGGGGAGACAGGAAGGCCTGCTTGATCTTCTTGAAGAACAGCTGGCGAACGGTACCCTCGAACTTGGGGGTAATAGTCTGGGGCTTCATGCTGATCTTCATGTCCGGGACGGAGCGCTTGCTATCGGGCTTAAGGGCACCAGCAAGCAGACGGCAGAAGGTGGTCTTGCCAGTTCCGTTCTCTCCCATCATGACAATGATCTCGGAATCGGTGAATTCTCCGGCATCGATGCGAAGTCGGAAGTTGCCGAGGGTCTTCTCCATGCTGGGGTACTGGAAGGCACGAGACTTGTCAATGGCAAAGTCATCGGTAGCCTCAGCAAGACGGAAGGTGAGGGACTCGTCACGGAATCGCAAGTTCTCCGTGGGGATGTGACCGTCCAGGAAGATGTTGATACCTTCACGAACAGAGTGAGGCAGAGTGACGACACCGTAGATGGCGGGCTGACCGTAGAGAACGCAGACGTAATCGGAGAGGTAGTCGAGGACAGACAGATCGTGCTCAACGACAATGACGTAGTCATCGTCACGGAGCAGCGAACGGATCATCTTGGCGGCACTCAGACGCTGCTTGACATCGAGATACGAAGAGGGCTCGTCAAACATGTAGACATCGGCCTTCTGGACGCAGACGGTACCAATGGCGAAACGCTGAAGCTCACCACCAGAGAGCAGGGTAATGTCTCGGTCCATGATGTGGTCCAGCTCCAGGACGCTGGTCACTTGGTCGATGTTTCCGAGCGAGTGGCGGCTCTCGAGAAGCTTCTTGACGCTCTTCTCCGGGCCGCGGACAGCCTTGGGGATCTGGTCCACATACTGGGGCTTGACAACAGCCTTGAGGTCATCCTCCAGCAGCTTGGTGAAGTAGTCTATACCGGCGTTAGATATCCTGGCCAAAAGCAACAGGGCTTACCCTGTGGTGGGCTGCTTTGTCACTTACTCTGGAGCTCAGAGCCACGGAAGTACTTGATGACGTCCTCCCAGTCAGGGGGGTTGTCGTGGCGGCCCAAGTTGGGCTTGAGCTTTCCGCTAAGAATCTTCAACGCGGTACTCTTGCCAATACCGTTGGTTCCAACAAGACCAAGCACCTGGCCGGGTCGCGGCATCGGCAGGCGATGGAGCTTGAAGCTGTTGGGGCCATAGCGGTGGGTGACCTGGCTCTCGAGGTTGGTGGGCAGGTTGATGATGGTAATGGCGTCGAAGGGACACTTCTTGGGGCAGATACCGCAACCGATACACAGCGACTCGGAGATGAAGGCGAGGCGAGACTCGGGAGTCACCTCGATACAGAGCTTGCCACTGCGAACCACAGGGCACGACTTCTTACACTCCTGACGACACTTGCGAGGACGACACTATTTCGAGGGGGCCAGGGGTCAGCAAGCCCGGGTTGATGGCGGGGTGGTTGGCGGGGTGCGCAGGATGGGAGCGTGTCTCTTTTCGAAGACGAGGCGAACTTACTTTGTCGGTGTTGACAATGGCGATACTAGAAAGAAACCACAAGTCAGCAACAGCTCGATCGTGCCAACCCGTCCACCGCATAGCAGCCCGATGAGCTGTCTGCATCTTGCCGCGGGTACATACCGAGTGAGCTTGTCCGCCATGATGGAGGCTGGCAATCAGTCCGTCTGCCTGGTCTGCTTGTCGGTGTCTCTTCGTCTAGGGCAGCGACGGCTCTCGTGAGAAGCAAAGATCCTGTTGAGGAGGATCTGCAACGAGGCGATGACGCGAGAGAGGTTCAAAACAAGAGAGAAAAATCAGAATCCACGGCAGAAGTGGGCGGTTTTAGCTCTTGCAGCAGAAAAAGCACCAAGATGTGTGGTCATCAATTTTTCGCGCGCTGTGAATGGCGGGGCAGGGCAACCGGGGGCAGCTGGGCGGGCTGTTAGCTGCGGCACTGGGGAGATGTACCGCGGCTGCGAGTTTAGCGGGCTGGGGACCTTGTCGGATGGGTGTCGCTACCAGGCACCCAACCACGATGGTGGGAAAAAGAGGGACTCGGAGATGAATAAGCGCAAGGGAAAGCAGCCGCGCGAGAGCATCTGCGAATAGCTTCACTGCTGTGTGTACCTTAGCTTGATGTTCTCAGTCCTTATGTATTGCCCCCTTTCCGCAAGTGGAACACATGATACAGAATTGTCTGATACTAACATCCAGAATGACTGTACCCAACAAATGATATGGAAGTACCTGTATAGCTCAATTTAATCAGATTGGTGCAAGGCGTCAATTGCCAATACTAATGACCCCTCAGTATGCGCTCGTATGACAATGGCCAAGGCAAGGGTTCAAGTCGTATGCTACCTATGGCAGAACCTGATCAATTACATCGTGAGAAAGAATATGAACGTCTTTGACATCGTATGTCGAATATTTTTTCAAACGAGACCAGAGTGTCATTCGCATCCGTGGCTTCTGGGTAGGGAGGTATCCTCCATTCCGAGTCACTGTATGCATATACCCATTCAGTTACGGTTCTTCTTTCTCTTGCTGTCTTTACGACAAAACATGCTCGAAGCATTCGAATTCTATTTAACTCAAGATAGCTCGCTTGCTCTCTTTTTGGTGAATACCCAAGGTTTTGAGTTTTTGCAATGCTCAGGGTAAGGCCAGGCAAGTAAAGTTCAGGGCGATTAGTCTAAGATCGAACGGGTTCATTGTGGCTTTTCGTGTGGTATAATATCTGGTCTTCTTCCTCCATCTGTGCGTTCACTTCATTTTCCTCTCACCTTCCATTTTCCGACAACTTGAGCAGCGTGCTTCGTCAACTTCTCATTGCCAGCTCACTTTTTCTCACTTGGAAGCCAGTCGTCTTCCACAGCCCACTGAGAGCATATATGCCATCCCTCGTACTTTTATACCCACATTCTCTTCACCTTCCGAAACAATACACGACAATTAATACGATATACTGTCGATTCAATTGTCGTTCACATTGCCATCGACGACAATATCACTGCAGATAGCCATTCATACTTCAACTCTCACTTTCATCACCTCTCCTCCTTCTGGCCTATAAATAAGGTACCGCGACCCCCCAGGTACGTTGTTTAATCATCTCAAGAAAAGAACAACCCAAGCAGCTTCGTCTCGAGGAAAGAGAAATCAACAATCAATCAATCCGCGGATTTTCGCATCGTTTCCTTCCACTCGTTACCTTTTCATCCTCTGCCGACGAGCACCGCAGCACCAGGAGTTCAAGGTTCGCAGGTCGAACAGCGGGAGGCACGTGACTTGCAGCGGTCTGTTAGCGGCTTCAGCAGTCAGCAGAGCGCCAAACCGCCCCAACAGGGCTTGGCTTGGGTACAAACACGCCGGCCGAGCCTTCGGCCCTCCGCCCCGTTGCCTCCAATTCTTTCCTGCCTCTCTCCACCAGCGCATTTTTGTCACCTCCGGCCGTCTCTCGACACCTCAGCCCTCGTCGCCCTTCCGCCCCCCGGAGCATCGCCAGACTCGCCCAAACGAGCCTGTGGCCTCCTGTCACTCCCTGAGGTGCCGCGGGTCATCGAATGATCGCTGGTGAGTCGCTGTCGTCTCCTTTGCACTCGCTGTTGCCGCCCGCAGCCCTGTTGCCCTGCGTCTTTGCCCGCTGATCCAGCCACGCCTCGACCCGGACGCGTCCGTCGACCGGCTCCTCGGGGCCTGGATCCAGCCCGGGCGACGTTTGTTTTGATGGGATTGCCCGCTGCCGGTGATGCCGATGCTTCCTGGGCCCCCAGACGGGCTCCCAGGCGGTGGCCAGGCCCCCAATTGCTTGTCCCAGCGTCTGTCAGCCTTGCGAGCACTTACACACGAGGGCGGCCTTGAATTCGCATGGCATCACGATTCCGGCGCAGTGCTGCTTCTCTGGCTCCTGGTCGCGAGTCGCCGAACTCTTGTCTCACCGCCTCTTCATCGGGGCGGACGCGTAACCTCAATGCCATGGTGCTAACTGCCGTCGGCTCTCTAGGACTTCCATCTTCGCGGATATCATCACCATGTCCTCTCCCAGCGAGGGGGACCCCTCGAATGAGAATCTGTCGCCGGACGACTCCATGACTTTCTCAGCCGCCGCCGACCAGCAGGGGAACGAAAGCGACATCTCCGAAGGCCTGGAAGCCCCCAACAGCCCCTCTGAACACCCGTCTCCCTCCGAACCCGAAGCGTCAAACGACGAGGCTACCAATCATGCAGATGTCGATCATCACATGTCAGAAAGTGAAGCCTCGAGTGTAGCTGACGCGTCGGACGATGGCGACTTCGATATGCAAGCCACCTCGCCTTCTCAACAGGCCAATGACGAAGAGGACGAAAACGAAGACGAAGACGATGTCACAGCCGGCCGTGCCAGCTCTTCAGACTCAAACCGAGCAGCCAAGCGCAAGGCTCCCGTCGAGGACGAATACATGAAGGCCAATCCCGAGTTGTATGGTCTTCGGAGAAGTGTATGGCCCCTCTTCACACCGATGCCGTTCCCCGCTCTCGTCGATTTGTGATGTCGATTACTGACCTCGTCTCCTCATTCCAGACTCGTCCCCGAGAGCAGCGCAAATCAATGGTATGCTATTTGTCCCTCTTGAATGGTCCTGTCTTGTCGCATTGTGTGCTAATGATAGTAGATCATCTCGGAATCAGAATCAGATGTTGCGCCGACAAGTCGTCGCCAGAACAAGCGCCGCCGCGTTGGAAGCTCCCACACATGTGAGTCTTGACGTTTCTGCTTGTACTGGACGCTGAACTGACCGCACCGGATTGTAGCCTCGAAAAGGGGAACGCCAGTACTGCCACCCTCGGCCAACGATTCCGACTCGGATGACGCCGATACATATGGGGGCGCCCGCGCAAAGAGCCAACGGAAGAAGGCCAGGCAGCAACGCGAGAGACAACCAGCCTTGGCTCTTGCCGAGAAGCGGTGGTCAAACCGCCGTGCGGCGCAACAAGTCGCAGAGGGCGGTTACCACGAGAGCGACTTCGAAGATGAAGACGAAGAAGATGCGGAGCTTGCCGCCTCCTACTACACCACCGACTATGTCGACAACTCGCCCTACATCGAGAAAGTTGTCAAGCATAGGCTCAGGGATGGGCACGAGCTTACCTACGATTCGACTCGCAACGACTTTGAATATTTCATTAAGTGGCAGGGCAAGTCCCATCTGCATGATACATGGGAGTTACTGGAGACTCTTCGCAATGTCCGTGGCTTTCGCAAGGTTGAGAACTACTTCAGAAAGTTTGTCGACCAGGAGCTTGACATTCGATTTGGGGATGATATTCCTCCCGAGACAAAGGAGCAGTTTTTCCTCGATCGCGACCGAGATGAAGAGGCTCTTGAAGACTACACAAAGGTTGAGCGGGTTGTCGCCGTGCGAGACGGAGAGGACGACGACGAGTACTATGTCAAGTGGAAGGGTCTTACCTACGAAGAGTGCACCTGGGAGGCCGCATCGGACATCAGCGCCCAGTTCCAAGACAAGATTGACCAGTTCATCGACCGATCCTCAAGAAATTGGCAGTCGGACAAGAGGGAGACGAACCTCGACACCCGGTCCAAGATGACCAAGCTAGAGAAGCAGCCCGATTTTATCGTCGGCGGCGAGCTTCGTGAGTTTCAGTTGAAGGGCCTCAACTTCCTCTGCCTGAACTGGACCCGCGGCAACAATGTCATCCTTGCCGATGAAATGGGTCTCGGCAAGACGGTGCAGACGGTGTCGTTCCTCAGCTGGCTGCGCAACGCCAGGCGCCAGGAAGGGCCCTCTCTTGTCGTTGCTCCGCTCAGCGTCATTCCTGCTTGGTGTGACACATTCAACAACTGGTCTCCGGACATCAACTACGTGGTCTACCTCGGACCGGAGGATGCTCGAAGCATCATCCGCGAGAATGAACTCTTGGTCAACGGCAACCCCAAGAAGCCCAAGTTCAACGTTCTGGTCACCTCCTACGAGTTCATTCTGCAGGACTGGCAGTTCCTCCAGTCCATCAAGTGGCAGGTCTTGGCCGTCGATGAGGCGCATCGTCTCAAGAATAGCGAATCTCAGCTATACCAGCGCCTGCTGGGGTTTGGCATTCCCTGCAAGATTCTCATTACCGGCACTCCCATCCAGAACAACCTGGCCGAGCTCTCTGCCCTTCTCGACTTTTTGAACCCTGGCAAAGTGAGTATTGACGAGGACCTGGACTCTCTCTCCGCTGCCGACGCCCAAGAGAAGCTGCAAGAGCTTCATCGCTCCATTGCTCCGTATATCTTGCGACGTACAAAGGAAACTGTCGAGTCCGACTTGCCGCCCAAGACGGAGAAGATTATCAGAGTCGAGCTGTCGGACGTGCAGCTGGAATACTACAAGAACATCCTTACCAGAAACTACGCCGCTCTGTGCGATGCCACCAACGGCCACAAGAACTCACTTCTCAACATCATGATGGAGCTGAAGAAGGTCAGCAACCACCCCTACATGTTCCCTGGAGCAGAGGAGAGGGTTCTGGCTGGCAGCACACGTCGCGAGGATCAAATCAAGGGCTTGATTGCAAGCAGTGGCAAGATGATGTTGATTGATCAACTTCTGTCCAAGCTGAAAAAGGATGGACACCGAGTCTTGATCTTCAGCCAGATGGTCAAGATGCTGGACATTCTCGGCGACTACCTCTCCCTTAGGGGCTACAAGTTCCAGCGACTCGACGGCACCATCGCAGCTGGCCCGCGACGCATGGCCATCAATCATTTCAATGCCGAAGACAGCGAAGACTTCTGTTTCTTGCTCTCCACTCGTGCGGGCGGTCTCGGCATCAACTTGATGACTGCGGACACCGTCATCATCTTTGATTCCGACTGGAACCCCCAAGCAGATCTGCAGGCCATGGCCCGAGCTCACCGCATCGGACAGAAGCGGCCGGTCAACATCTACCGACTTGTTTCGAAAGAAACGGTGGAGGAAGAGGTTCTGGAGCGTGCTCGCAACAAGCTTCTTCTGGAATACCTGACCATCCAGGCTGGTGTGACCGATGATGGAAAAGCCAAGTTCAAAGAGGAACTCAACAAGAAGGGCCTCAAGATTGACGGCCCTTCCACCTCGGAGGATATCCAGATGGTGCTGAAGATGCGGTCCTCTAAGATGTTTGAACAGAGCGGCAACCAGCAGCGACTGGAGCAGCTCGACATTGACTCCATCCTGGAGAATGCCGAAATCACAAAGACCAAGGTTGACGACAAGATCAACCTGAGCAGCGGTGGCATTGACTGGGATAACTTCATGCAAATCACCGACGTCAAAGTAGATGACATCAACCTCGACTGGGACCAGATCATCCCCGCAGAGAAACTCGCCGAGATCAAGGCGGAAGAGGAGAAGAAGCAGCACGAGGACTATCTCGCAAAGGTTGCAGCCGAAAGCGCGCCCCGAAAGGCGACGATGAAGAGTCGCACCAAGGAGACGGATCGCGCAGACCGCCTCAAGAAGCGCCAGAGAGAGCAGCAGCAGGAAGAGGAAGAGCAGCGCGCCTTTTTGCGGGATCCCAAGCGCCCCTTGAACGATAAGGAACAGCGCAACCTGATCAAGGCCTACTTCCGGTTCGGTTCCATGGAAGATCGCAGCGCCGACATCATCCAAGAGGCCAAGCTTGGGGAGAGAGATCCCGAGTATGTCAAGTCGGTCCTGGACGACTTCATCAAGGCTGCTCAGCAGGCCGTGGACGAAAACAGCGCCAAGCTGGCCGAAGAGGAGAAGAAGATGGGCAAGACGTTGACGAAGAAGGACAAGAAGGCTGTTCTGATCGACTTTGGCGAGTTGAAAAAGGTCAATGCCGAGACGGCCATCGAACGGCCCAAGCAGCTGCAGCTTCTCCGCCAGGTGATTCAAAGCCATGCAGATTGGAAGAATTTCCGGGTGCCCGACGCCACCAAAGCCGCCAACTATAGCTGCCCCTGGGGAGCGAAGGAAGATGCCATGCTCCTCGTCGGCATCGACAAGCACGGGTTCGGCGCCTGGGCCCAGATCCGCGACGATCCCGAGCTGGAGATGCAGGATAAGCTCTTCCTGGAAGAGCACCGAGTGGGCAAGAAAGAGGAGAGGTCCAAAGGCAACGACAAGCTCAAAGCTCCCGGCGCCGTTCATCTTGTGCGCAGGTCGGAATATCTCCTTTCCGTGCTGCAGTCCAAGCACTCAAATGATCGGTCGGTTCAGAAGGCGGTGGAAAACCACCACCGCAACAACAAGAAGCCCCACGCGGTCAATGGCAACCGCAGCAGCAACTCGGCCACGGCCTCCACAGGTCTTAAGAGACAACGAGAGCGTGAAAAGGATCGAGGCTCGTCCGAACAGCATTCCCGCAACCCCGCAGAGGAGGGCGGACTGGCGAGGCTTGACTTCAAGCGCAAGCCTGCGTCTCACGAAGACGCTCGCAGCCCCAAGCATCGACGGTCTGAGGACCCGCGTCGTGCTAGCAAGACTGGGGACGAGCATCGCGACAGCCGGGTCGAGAAGCGGCGGCACCGAGAAGATGACGACCGCCGCGCTGACAGATATCGCCGCGACGACTATCGCCGTGACGATTATCGACGGGACGACCGCCGAGACGACCGCCGAGATGATTACCGGCGGGATGATCGTCGCGACGACCGCCGTGATCGGGACCGCGATAGAGAGCGTGACCGGGAACGTGATCGCGACCGCGACCGCGACCGGGATCATCTTCGTGACCGTGACCGCGACCGAGATCGCGAGCGAGAGCGAGATCGCGATCGCGACCACCACCGCGACCACCACCGGGAACGCGATCGGGATCATCACCGCTCTGACCGAGACCGGGACCGTGACCGTAACCACGCAAGCCGGCCCTTGGACGAGCGCCGAGTCAAGGCACTGCGAAGGCTGGACGAGCTGCGACGCATTGGCGACGACAAGGATCAAAGGGCCAAGGACAATGATGCCATGATTTGGTTCCTCTTGAAGCCAGTGAGGGAGAACTTTGAGAAGATCTTGTCTACGACCAAGGATAACGTTAGGTCGAGCAAGGAGCGGGCATCCATCTTTGGCACTGAGCTGGTAGCCATCGGGTCGTTTCTTGATGAGAAGCTGCCGGCAACTATAGCGGATGATGGCCTGAAGAAGAACTTTTGGTAAGCAGCCTCTTGAGTTGCGGCTTTTTTTCTCCATGTACTGACATTTGAAATCTGCAGGGACTTCTTGGCAGCTCTTTGGCCCGTGGACGACACCACTCAGAGCGTCACTGGCGAGAGATTGAGCTCCATGTATCGCACACTCCACGCCCGCAACAAGGAGAAAAAGCAAGACTCTGGTGCCACAAAGCTCAACGGCACACACCCTGTTCGGTGATGATGAACCACTGAAACAAAAATGAAACAGAAAAAAGTCCAGGGGTTCCTTGACGTCTAGATCTGTTCCGCGACGAGTTTATAAACAAAAGAACCTGACATTTATTTGCATCGTCTGGCGTTTGGTAATAGGTGGCTTATGGTTCAGTCACCAAAGACTTTGGCTGCAACAAACATACCCGATTTTGCATGAAAGAGAGAGAGAGAGAGAGAGAGGAAGAGAAAAGGAGACTTCGCGTTGCGAAGTTTGATCATGCCCGGCAGGCCGGCTTGACAGAGACCTTTGACACCTCATCGCCGGTCTGCTGTATGCCGAGTTGATTATGAGAATGTTTCCTATTCTGTTTGAAAAGGAGGTACCGGTGGGGGAGAGAGGGCTTGCCTCGATTTGCTTCTCTGTTCATTTTTTCTTTTTTTTCCTTCTTGTCTGTGTTTTTATCCACTCTTGATGGCAAGGGGCTTCCATTGTCGTCAGACGGCGGTACGGTTCACACCATACTTTTCTTCTTCGGTTGCGGAGGGAGGGGGGTTGAGGAGACGGTTGGTTTGCATTGCCTTTTTCTACGAGTGTAATATGAGCGGCTATACGTCCCCTTGTTTCTCTTTATTCCTTCATACTGTGGGGGACTTTTGCTTTTCCCTTTTGTCTTGTTGCCCGGATAGTAATTAGAGGGGATGGGCTGGACAAAGGTTGACGGTCAAGGCTGGTTGGTCACTGTTGTTGTTGTTGTTTTTACTGAGCCAAGGCATGGGCGAGCTCCTAGTCCAGTCTGAGGCAGCGAGAGAAGTACTGCTAGCAAGCAGGTCGTACTAGATACCTTGGGCTAGGTAGTCGATGAATATGAAAAGGAGTGAAAATAAGAAGCCGTTGCATGTTGTGAATCCTGCCGTGCTGATGGTTGGCTCGGTGTATTATGTGGTTGAGTTCCACAAGTCAAGACAGTGAGATGCTCTCAGAGTCAGCAACGCAGTCCAACAAGTCCAACAGGTCTTTGAATAAATATAGAACGAATTGAATGACATACTGACATAGAATGCATTGCTTTCTTCCAGTTTATATTAGTCGTAAGGTTTTCAGGATAGATGTGAGATTTCAGGTTGCATCCCCCCTTAGAGGGACTTGGGCATTACTAAGTCGATGCATTTTCTGGTCCTGTTCAAGGAGCATCTTGACGTTCTGGCCTTCTACCTTTCCTCCCGCTTCTGTGTTTGTCTGTGTTGTGAAATACTTATTCACTTTAGCATCGTATTCCAATACTGCCAGCCTCTTATATCCCTCGTACCCCCATATAAGTATCTATATATATACCTTACATCTCTTATCCGTCCTCATTCAACTCACCCTCTCAACACCTACACACATACATACATATACTCACACACGAACCACCTCCTCCTCTAACCATGCCTCCGCCTCCTCCTCCCCCCCTGGCCTCCATCAAGCACATCGCCGAGCTCGCCGTCCTGCGCGCCGCCCTTCTCACGCGGCGCGTCATCTCCGCCGCCACCGAAATCCCCAAGCACGACGCCACGCCCGTCACAATGGCCGACTTTGGTGCCCAGGCCCTCCTCATGGCCGCCCTGCGCGGCAGCTTCCCGCACGACGGCTTCGTGGGCGAGGAAGACGCCGAGGCGCTGCGCAGCGACCGGCAGCTGGCCGACGCCGTGTACGGGCTCGTGAGGGAGGAGGCGCTACGCAGCGGCGGCTTTCGTAGTGGCAAGCACTCGGAGGAGGAGTCCGTCGGCGCCGACGGGGACGAGGAGGACGTGACGATGGCGAGCCTGCCGGCTCCGGAGTCGCTGGAGGAGATGCTGGAGCTGCTGGACCTCGCGGGGCGCGGGCGGCCGGGACCGCAGGGCCGGTTCTGGATCATGGATCCCGTGGACGGGACGGCCACGTTCCTCAAGGGCCAGCAGTACGCCGTGGCGCTGGCGCTGGTCGAGGACGGCCGCGAGGTGCTCAGCGTGGTGTGCTATCCGAACCTCAGCCTCGACGACGGCGGCGGCGGCGTCGTGGCCGAGACGAGCGTCGACGAGCACGGCTGCGGCGTCATGCTGTCCTGCGTCCGCGGCCAGGGCGCAGAGTACCGCAAGCTGTCGGCCGAGCAGCAGCAGCAGCACCGCCTCGGCCCGGCCAGGAAGCTCGCCCGCCTTCCGACGCCGGCCAGCCTCGCGGACCTGCGCTTCGTGGACTGCCTCGCCAGCAGGTCCTCGCGCCTCGACATCGCCGAGGGCATCGCCCGGCAGGTCGGCGCGATGCCCTTTCCCGGCGCGGACCTGTGGTCGTCGCACGTGCGGTACGCGGCGCTGATGCTCGGCGGCGGCGACGGCAGCAGCGGGCACCACGTCATGATGCGCGTCCCCGTGGGCGCCAGGGGAGCTCCCTCGAAGGCGTGCGTCTGGGACCACGCCGGCTCGCAGCTGCTGTACGCGGAGATGGGCGGCAAGGTGACGGACCTCGAGGGCCGCGAGATGGACTTTGGCAGGGGCCGGACGCTGGCGGGGAACTGGGGGCTTGTGGCGGCGCCGGAGGGCGTTCACGGCGAGCTTCTGCGGTTGGTGAGGGAGTGGATTGAGAGGGATCCTGTGATTCAGGGGGGTGGTGGTGGCGGTGCTTGAGTTGGGAGCAAGCTACTATTGTCGAGGGGACAAGAGGGTTTAGGAGGAAGGGCAGGGACAAGATTCGATGCCTAGATGTTGGCTTGATCGTGTTGCTTTCATAGCAGACTGCTGTCTATCATCTGTGTGATTACTTTTGTTATATATACCAGTTATTATGATCTATCTGCCTCCATTATTCTAATGCCAACCTGGGGACGTTCAAACTCACCCCCTTTCGAGCCATATATTCTATATACACACGCAGCAACTATTTAGAACTTCTCTCTTTGTTCATCTCGTCTCCTTCTCCTCCTCTTCAACTCTCCCCTGAAATCTCACATCAAGCTACTCCTCCCCCCAATCTCCATACTCCCCTGCCCATCCTTCATCTGCCCACTCCGTCCCACCACAAACTCGTGATAAATCTTCTGCAGCCGCGCCTTCTCGTCCTTGCCGATACTCGCCCGCGTGCTCTCCAGCGCCTTGGTCAGGTGAGACCAGCCCACCACGACCTCCCGCTGGTCTGCCGCCGCCGCCGCCGCCTCCTTGCCCTCCGCGTCACCACCACCGCCACCGCCTCGGCGGGCCTCCTTGGCTTTGCGGCGCGCCACCTTGATCTGCTCCAGCTTGGACAGGATGGCGGCGTTCTCGACGAGTGCCGCGGAGCGACTCTTGGCCACCGCTTCTGGAGCTGCTGCCTCCTCGTCCACGCCGTAGCGGAACTGCGTGAAGCTCGTCGTGGACGCACCCTTGCCGTCCTTTCCGCGCCGAGACGCAGACGCCGAGCTGCTCGTGTTGTGGATGTCGCCCAAGACGTCGTGAATGGCCTCGAGCTGGGCATTGGACACGAGCGCCTGCAGATCCGCACCCGAATATCCCTCCGTCTTGAGCGCAATCGACGTCAGCGCCTCGTCTGATTCCGTCAACTCGCTCGACAGCCGGACCTTTTGCAGCATCGCCTTGATAATGTCCACACGGTCCTCCAGCGACGGCAGATCGCACAGCAGCGACTTGTCCAATCTGCCAGGACGCAGCAGCGCCGGATCGATGAGGTCGGGCCGCGACGTGGCCGCCAGGACGTACACCCCCGAGAGGCCCTCGGCACCGTCCATCTGCGTGAGCAGCTGGTTCACTACACGGTCTGTTACACCCGTGGAGTCGTGCCCACGTTTTGGCGCGATGGAATCGAACTCGTCAAAGAAGAGCACGCAGGGCTTCGCCGCCGAGGCCCGGTCGAAGAGGTCGCGCACGCTCTTCTCGGACGCACCGATGTACTTGTTGAGGATCTCGGGGCCCTTGACGCTGATGAAGTTGAGCCCGCACTCTCCCGCGACGGCGCTGGCCAGGAGCGTCTTTCCGCAGCCGGGGAACCCGTACAGGAGAAGGCCGGATCGTAGGCGCAGGGGGCACTGCGAGAAGATGGGCGCGTACTTTGTGGGGTACTGCAGCGTCTCGAGGAGGACTTGTCGTGTCTCCTGCAGACCGCCGATGGACTTGAAAGTCGTTGTCGAGCTCTGCAGGGATACGTTGCGCAGTGACGCCGGCGTGAACCCCTTGATGGCCTTGTCGAAATCTGCGCGGCTGAGACGCACTGCTCCGATGGTGTCATCGGGTGTCAGGTTGATGGATCGGATGATGGCTTCGTTTCTTGCTCTGGAGATGAGAACCGTCAAGTCACCAGGCAGATAGCCATCTGTCTGGCCGGCAATGTCAAGGAAGTCGAGGTCCTGATCCAGTATGAAGCCGCCCGTCTTGCCGGAAGCGCCGTCGTCGTGGCCGTTGGGCATCGAGTCGTTGCCGTGAAGCCAGTCGCTCGCTTCTTCAGAGTTCTCTGTGCCGTTCGCGGTGACTGGTCGGCTGCCATCGCCCGGCGACCCCGAAGCCTCATCCTGAGCGACCGCATTCTGCCTCACAATGGCCTCCATAATCTTGCGCCGGCCATCCTTATCTGGGGCCTTGAGCTCGATGATCTCGCGGACGACGTGGCCGCTGACGACGACGCTGTTGAGCGTGTCCTTGCCCTCTGCCGTCGCCAACAGTGTGACGCCGCTGTCCTTGCTGCAGTACTGCCGCACAACAGAGCGGATGGTTTCACTCACCTGGCGGCTTCGGCCGTTGTCGTTGCCGACCTGGAGCTCCGTCTCTACCGGGCTGAGCTTGTCCAAGTCATCAAGCACAACAAGCGCTTTGCCGCCCAGCCTTGCGCCCCAGCTGGCCAGCATGAATATGCGGTTAAGTGTTTCCTTGATGGTGGATATCCTCGCCTCGTCCGTTACCAACTTGCGGCACGAGAAGTAGATTGTATAGAAGAGAGCCTCTTCGCGCAGCCGGCTGGCAAGATATCTGGCCACGGCCGTCTTGCCGGAGCCCTTTGTGCCGGTCAGCAGGACGGACGACATGTGAGCGAGATGCGACTGCAGATTGGCGAGCAGCGCGTCGATGCCAACGAGCAGTGAATCGTGTGATGGCTGCAACTCGAATATGTCCGTCTCGGAGATCCAAGGGGGTCGTGGTACTGGCTGCTGGAAGTCAATGGGGACCTTCGCATCCACGCCGGCCATCCAGAGCGCCGCGTCTTTGTTCTGCTCCTGTGATGCGACATCTGAGCTGTACTCAAACTTGATGATTCCGCCTTCCCATCCCTGCGGAGCCTCCAGCCCGTCGTACAGATCAACAACAAGACCGTCAGTGATCGGTCCTTGTAGGAGCCCCTCGGATCCCTTGGGCCCAGAGTAAATGTGTTTGAATCGCTTCGTAGACTCCTCCTTTTCCGCCTTCGTCTCAATGCCAAATCTCAAGCCCTCGCCCACCTTGGAACCAGCCGCAAAGGGAAACACTTTGATCTGCTGAACTGCTCCTCGAGGGAGAGGCTGAGGCGCAGCCTGGATCTTGACAATTCCTCCAACAATGCCCGTACAGCCGAGCGCTGCACACAAGGGCGCTGACAGCGCCGCAGCCTGACCATTGGGCGGATCGTCCCACGGCTTCAGCTTCGCGACAATCTTGGACGAGGCGTTACTCGCCGCCGCCGCAGCTGCGTCCTCGGGTTGTGGTTTCTGCAGTCCCGCCGGCTTGAGAACATCCACCACGACATAGTTGACACCCCTGAACTCGTTGGTCAGGACATAGTCACGGTCCACCCAGACACAGAGACCGGGCTCCGCGATGCCCTCGTCGAACCACTCGTTACAGGCCGCCCGATCAATGGCGCGGAGCAGCAGAGACGGCCGCTTCTCCTCCCTGGCGCTTCGTCTCCGAATGGTGCTGGCTCCGCTCCGCTTGGACTTTGACGTGCTCGCAACGCTTCGGTGGTCACCGCTGCTCTGCGACGCTTTGGCTCTCGTTTTCGGCGCGACAATGACTTCGGCGTTGGGCGAAAGCTTGACAAACGCCACGTCGGCTGCTGGCGCGGGCTCGAGGGACGTGATCTTGATGACGGCCGTCGAAGTCGGGGACAGATGCAGCGTCAATGGATGTGCCGGGACCGGAGCGCCGCCGGCAGGGACGTATGCCGGGTTGGGAAGCGCGCGTATCTGCGACTGCAGGTTGAGCTCGAGGAACGTCGCGTGCAGCTCGATAATCTCCCAGTCCTCGGGCGTCAGCGGCTCGATGTTGATGGTGTGAGCCAGCGGAGGGTCGACGTGAACCGTGGCCATGACCTTTTCGCCGTCCGTCAAGCCGAGCGTGGTTGCAAACGTCGCGTCGATCTCGACCAGCTGGACCTCCTGATTGCGCGATGAGCCGCCGCGCGAGCTGGCCAGCCCATCCTGCCCGACCAGCTGCGCGGCCCTTCTCTTGCTCGGCATTCCCGTCCATCCTACAAAGACGGACTGCTCCTTGGACGCTCCGCCGGCCTGCGCGCTGGAGGGAGACGGTCGGTATGTGAGCTCGACGACGACATTCTGGGCGGGCTGCGAAGAAACGGAAGAGGGTTAGTTGTGTCAGGCAGAGCCATCGGGGGCCAACGGCATTGAGCTGGTGGAAAGGAGTGACGTACAGTGTTGACATTGACCAGCAAGTTGACCAGCGAAGCAGGGAGGTTGACGAGACAGTTCTTGAGATGCACCAGAGACAGCTCCGCAGCGGTGGACTGCGCATTTCGTCTGGGCGCCATGGCTTTGTGGAATTGCAAAAGAACTGCGTCCTTGCTGGAACACGATCACAGCCTGTCGCAAGGAGAGGCTCCCAGTTGCGGCTGCAAGTCACGGCGAAGCCATTCCGCGTTGCTGGTGACTGGAGCTTGAGCCGAGGCAAGGCTCACGTGCCGACAGGCCGGAGCTACCCAGAGGTACATGCGGGATGTGCTGATTTGAGCCGAGGCTGGGGTACCTGCAGGTACAGCTGGGAGGTTACCGGCAGGACATGGTGATGCTACAGGAAGACCTTACCTTAGTAGAAGAAGGCAGTAGACGAGTTGGGTCTCAGATATCAGTAGTAAATCCAGTCAGGAGCAGTGATTTCAGGAACGTAGGTACTGACAGCTACTCCAACAGCTGCAAGAAATGCTGGATCCTTGCTTAGTAGGTAGTAGTACATGTACTCCGTGATGTCCGAGTTCAGCTTCATCTCCTTGACAGCCGTGGCTGGTGTCGCCCCTGTGCTGTGGCTGATGCAGGAGCTGCCCGTGGCTGTGTCCCAGTATGTACGGAGTACGTACCGCTTAATTGGCTTTTGACGCGTCGCGCGTCCGTCTCGCGTCAGGCTCAAGCATTTTCGACGAGCTCTGCAATTCCTCCTGACTAACGCACGCATCTGCATCCCTGCAAGTTTGGTTTCCCAGCCCACCAATTTGTGCATCGCATCGCATCGTAGCTGCTCGTCTTGTTTTTGCTGCGGCTTCGCTCTTCTCTACTGCACCCGACGAGCCCCAATTCTCTCTCTGTGTCCCGGCATTTGGCATTCGGGCATCATCACGCACAATGGCGCTCCGCGAGTTCAAAGCGCCGGTCAATTACGAGACGCAGCAGTGTAGGTTTCCTCTTGTTTGTTGACTGGGCGTGAGAGTGAACGAGAGAGCTTGTACTGACTGACCTCCATGTGCAGCTGCGTTCGAATCCTTCCTCAAGGACTTCAAGACCTCGCCCGAGCACACCCTCACCACCGCCCTCGGCAACATCACAATCGACGAAGATGACCTCAGCGACGAGGACGATCTCATGGACGAGGACGACCAGACTCGCCAGCGCCGCCAGCAGGAGCGCGCCAAGAGGAAAACGCCCCAGCACAAGTACAGCGACATGCTGCAGCTGCTGGCAGACCGTAAGATTGACGAGTTCGCCGTCGATCTGGACGACCTGGCTACTGTGAGTGGGAGCTGGACACGGGCGAACCATGTGCGATGGTGCGCCAGGGTGCTGACTGCTGGCAGTGGGAGTCGCAAACAGACGAGTCAATGCAGCTCGTGGATTCCATTGAGATGAACACAAAGCACTACGTCGAGATCATGTCCAGGGCTATAGACAACGTCATGCCTCAGCCCAGCGAAGAGGTCAAGTACGGCTGACTCCCCGCTGCAGATTGGGAGAAAAAAAGAGAGGAAGACTTGCTAACGCGGAATGAATCTAGCTTCAAAGACGACGTTCTAGACGTGCTGATGGCCCGGCGGCAGGCCAGGAATCGAGAGCTCGACGTACTGGCAGACAGAGATCCCACCATCCTCGAGGACAAGTTCCCGGCTGAGCTGACCCGTCGATACACGCTCGTCTTCAAGCCTCGGACAGCGATCGAGGACGGTGCCTCAAAAGCCCTGGCCGTGCGACATGTTCGCGGCGAGCACCTTGGCCACCTCATCACCGTCCGAGCCATTGCCACGCGTGTTTCCGACGTCAAGCCCATTGTGCAGGTCAGCGCATACACTTGCGACCGCTGCGGCTGCGAAATCTTCCAGCCCATCGCCGACAAGCAGTACGGCCCCCTGACCATGTGCCCCTCGTCCGATTGCAAGAAGAACCAGGCCAAGGGCCAGCTGCATCCCTCATCCAGAGCGTCCAAGTTCTTGCCCTTCCAGGAGGTCAAGGTGCAGGAGCTGGCTGAGCAAGTCCCCATTGGACAGATCCCTCGATCTCTCACGGTCCACTGCTTTGGCAGCCTTGTTCGAAAAGTCAACCCCGGTGACGTGGTAGACATCTCGGGCATCTTCTTGCCCACGCCCTACACCGGCTTCAAGGCCATCAGGGCCGGTCTGCTGACTGACACATACCTCGAGGCTCACCATATCCACCAACACAAGAAGGCTTACAGCGAAATGATTGTCGACCCTCAGCTCGTCCGAAGAATCGACAGATACCGACAGTCTGGCCAAGTCTACGAGCTGCTCGCCAAGTCCATTGCCCCTGAAATCTTTGGCCACCTCGATGTCAAGAAGGCTCTTCTGCTGCTCCTCATTGGCGGTGTCACCAAAGAGATGGGCGACGGTATGAAGATTCGTGGCGACATCAACATCTGCCTGATGGGTGATCCCGGTGTTGCCAAGTCCCAGATGCTCAAGTACATCTCCAAAGTGGCCCCTCGTGGTGTCTATACTTCGGGCCGTGGAAGCAGTGGCGTCGGTCTCACTGCCGCCGTCATGCGAGACCCGGTCACGGACGAGATGGTTCTGGAGGGCGGTGCGCTTGTGCTTGCTGACAATGGCATTTGCTGCATCGACGAGTTCGACAAGATGGACGAAAACGACCGCACAGCCATCCACGAAGTCATGGAACAGCAGACCATTTCCATCTCCAAGGCCGGCATCTCAACGAGTCTCAACGCCCGGACTTCGATCCTGGCAGCCGCTAACCCTGTCTATGGCCGATACAACCCTCGCATTTCGCCCGTTGAAAACATCAACCTCCCCGCCGCTCTCCTGTCTCGTTTCGATATCCTTTTCCTGCTCCTCGATACCCCCACCCGAGACACAGACGAACAGCTCGCCAAGCACGTTACCTACGTCCACATGAACAACCGACACCCCGATCTGGGCACCGACAATGTCGTCTTCTCTCCCCATGAGGTGCGATCCTACGTCGCCCAGGCTCGAACATATCGACCAGTCGTCCCCGAGTCCGTCTCCGAGTACATGATCAAGACGTACGTCCGTCTGCGAGACCAGCAGCAGCGAGCGGAGAAGAAGGGCAAGCAGTTTACACACACCACGCCGCGTACCCTGCTGGGCGTGGTCCGTCTGGCCCAGGCCCTCGCCCGTCTCCGGTTCAGCAACCAGGTCACCCAGGACGATGTGGACGAGGCCCTGCGGCTCGTCGAAGCCAGCAAAGAGAGTTTGAACACGGACGCCGGCGGCCCTCGGCGCGGCCTCAACGCCAGCAGCAGGATCTACAACCTCGTCAAGGCCTTGGCCGACTCGGGCGCTTGCCGTCCGGACGATGCGGACGAGGACGATGAGCTGGGCGTTGAGCTGAGCATGAGGAAGGTCAAGGAGCGGGTGATTGCCAAGGGCTTCACAGAGGACCAGTGGCTCAACGCCCTGGAAGAGTACACCACTTTGGATGTGAGTATCTGTTTCATCATCATTATGACACACCTCTTCTTCAGCACAGGTTCTAACATTATGTTTCCCCCCCTTAGGTATGGCAAACTGCTGGCGGCGGCTCGAGGCTCGTCTTTGTCACCGCGGACGACGACAGAGAAGACAGCATGGAAGAGTAAAGAGAGCTATATGCTTGAGGTTGGATGGTCTGGTCGACAACAATTTATGGACTCTGTTTATTGCAGAATGGTTTGGCGTTTAAATCATGTTCTTGGAAACCCTGATTGCTTCAAAGGGTTGTAAAGAGGGAAAGATGAGAGTGCACTTTGTAGAACTTGCGGTTAGATCTTGTAAGAGACTAAATGAAAAGAAGTCAAATGATCCTCCTGGGCCGACGGAACTACTGCAAATCAATGACTAGAAACATCCGAGGAGAAGAGCCGTTAACAACATGTACTGACAGAACCAATGAGATTCTAATGGTGGTACATCATTTATATATAATACATATTCATACAACGTCTTTACCCCCCTTTTTACTTCCAGCCCAATATCATTGAATCGTCCAATACCCCCCTTTTTTCTCAAACCCTCACATCCTCATCGTCATGAGCGAAGCCCTCTCCATCTCGCCCACAATGCCATGCCCTCCCAAAGCCCACTTCTCCGCCACGACCCTCGAATCAAGCACGCTGCGCAGCATCCCGCTCGCGCCCCAGTACTCCATCAACACCCTCGCCTCGTCCTTGGACACGCCCTCGAGACGCATCACGGTGCTGTTCTTGAGCGCGTCGTACACCCTGTCGTCGTACTTGCGCTCATAGGGATCAGGCTTCGGCACCGGCTTGCCCGCCTGGCCGGCCTCCAGCTGCGACAGGGCGAGCTCCTGCGAGGGGTGGTAGTGAGTGTTGTTCTCCGACGTGGCGGCGATCACGGCGCCGCCGTTGGGGAGCGCCGTCTTGCCGGACAGCGCGTCGACAAAGGTGCGCACGAGGAGCAGCTCGTGCGCGTGCACGGGGTTGAAGGCCGGGTCGCGGTACGCGCTGACCTTGTTGATGTGGGCGAGGCCGTCGAGGGCCAAGAGCACGGGGGGCTGGCCCTCCTGCGTCAGCTCCGTCCACAGCGCCGACAGCGTGGGCCAGGCGAACTCGCTCTCCTTTGCGCTGAGGGCGAGGTCGGCCAGCGTGGAGGAGCCCGGCTTGAGCGTCGCCGACAGGCGGGACCAGTCCTTCTTCAGGAGCGTCTTCTCCAGCACGGCCCTGTTGGCCTTGTAGATGTTCTGGAGCAGCTTCAGGCAGTAGACGGGCTGGGTGAACTGCATGGGCTCCGTGTCAGGGACGGGAGAGTACTCTGTGTTGCCGTTGGTAAGATCTTGACCTGAATAATATCAAGCAAAGTCAGCAAACTAGCCTTTCACACACACAACAGCAGACTCCGTTGTAGAGAGTTTGATATACTTACCCTCCGGGATGTGAATCACCACCCACTCGTTCAGCAGCGCATACGACATGGCCTGCAACAGCATCAAGCTCTTGCCCGAAAGCCGGCTCCCCGTGAGCACGCACTTGAACGCCTCCTTCTTCTCCACCGAAGCCTCCAGCCTGCCCATCAGCTCGACCGTCTCCTTGCGGACGAGCACGTGCGGCTTCCGGAACAGGTTCCACGTCTGCGTCGCCTTGAACGCCTCCAGCGCCCTCAGCTGGTCCACGACCTCGTCCGGCACCGCGTACATCCTGCCGGCGCTCTCCGCCCGGCTCATGGTCTGCGCCTCCAGCGCGTCGAGCCCGGCCACCGGCAGCGCGCTGTTGTTGCTCAGCTGGATCCGCTTGCGGAAGGCCTTGCGCTCGCCCGGGCCGGGCTTCTTGACGGGCACAATGTTCTGCTTCTTCTTGTACGTCTTCTTCGTCTTCTTCGGGAGGTCCTTGCGGCTCTTGATGGCGGGCGGAGCGGCGGCGGAGAGGAGGCTGGTGGAGGAGAAGGCCGCGGCGATGATGGGCTGGATGCGAGGCGCAACTGGGATGGAGGGCCTCACGAGGCTCCGTAGCGATATGGAGGCCATGATGGGTGGGAGTTTTCCTCGAGGGGGTCAAGTCGAGAAAAGAAAAGAGGAGGTTGCGAGACCCTCTCGTATTATGTCGTCGTTTTCAATCAGTCGTTGTGTCGTCACCGCATTGAGGCCAAAAAAAGCGGCAAGCGTTGTTGAATCTTGCGATTGCAATTCCTCCCCCCACGTTAATTTTTCGTGAAGGTCGTCGGATTGGAGGTTTTGCTTCCAATTGAGCCAAAAATCTCAAAGTCGCATGTGTACCTGTGGAGGGGCTACCGATCTCGTACCTCTTGGCGCAAATGTTGCGCTAAGAGATACATAGCAGGTCATGTACCTTGTGTTTGAAGATCTAGCGCCGTCGCAGTTCAACTCCAGCAAAGCCCCGGAAAATTGCAGCCACCGCTGATCCGATGCGAAAGTAAGGCTTTATCGCAACAATTTCTTATCAGGCCAAAAAAAAAAAAGTTGAGAAAATCGACGACAAGCCGTCAACACCATACATACAATCTGCGACTCGACATTACCATCGTCATTTTCCACTTTGACGTCTCTCAATTCACCGAGCAGATAATTACACAACCAATTACCCATCTGAATCGAGCCAAAGAAAAACAAACAATAACATAAAACGCAAAAATGGCCGTCTCCATCTCCAACAAGCCAAAGCTCCCCGTCGTCGTCGAGAAGCCGACCCCCTACACCTTCGACCTCGGCCTCCTCCTCGCCGAGGACCCCAACCCCGTGTCCCTCGACCGCTCCGCCATCGACGCCTCCCTCGCCCAGCTCGCCCGCGACGGCGCCCAGTCCCTCATCAACCAGCTCCTCACCACCTGCCCCCTCCAGTCCACCTCCGAGGGCGTCCTCCTCACCCTGCCCGCGCCCGCCACCCGCCTGCCGCGCGAGAAGCCCGTGCCCCAGCCCAAGCCCCCGACCAAGTGGGAGCGCTTCGCCGCCAAGAAGGGCATCAAGCCCAAGACCAGGGAGCAGCGCAAGAACCTCGCCTTTGACGAGGAGTCGGGCGAGTGGAAGCGCAAGTGGGGCTACAAGGCGCTCAACAAGAAGGGCGAGGACGACTGGCTCGTCGAGGTCGATCCCAAGAAGGAGGCCGAGCGCAAGGAGGGCACCAGCATCAGGGGCGATGGCCGGAGAGAGCGCAGGGAGAACCTTCGCCGCAACGAGAGGAAGATGCGCAAGAACGAGCGCGATGCCGCGGGAAAGATGGGCAAGAAGATCTGATGGGACGGAAGGGGCACTCACTGGCTCACACATTGAAAAGATTCGGACTGGCGGATATCCTCTCGGTTTTTCTTCTTGTTTAGGGCTTCTTTATCCATGTACCATGAGTTGCGGGCATGGCTACGGCGTTCCAGGTGTCGGGTGTTTTCGTCGGAGGAGAGGATTGCATTCAAGGATCAAGATAATTTTTACTCGATCAATACCTAACTGCTTGGTGGCGGGCGAGGACAGGATCACTCGACTTTCACAATTTTGTATAGATGTTAGATGTTCCGAAGAACCTCAAAAGCTAGCATGGGCAACACTGTTCTCCTTAATTCTCTCTTCTTCTCCCTTTTCCCATGCTCTACCGTTCCTCCATGGTTTTATACCGCCAAAGAAAAAAGACAAGAATGAAATCATTCCCAGCCCTCACTCAAATGAGTGGCTCACTGCTTCTTATTGTGTCACCACCTTGCTTTATTCGTACACTTTGACGCCTTCTATGGCCATTTTCACCTAGAACTGACTTTATAGAGAGAGAGAGAGAGAGAACGAAATCAAAATAGTAATAGAGGCGCACAAATAGCCTCCGACGCAGTGGCTAGCCTCCCCTCCATGCTGCTTGACGCCTAACAAAGGGAATAGGCCCGAGTCTCTCGGCCAAAATCGATATTCCGCGTTTTGAGTCCTTAGATAGTAGGAAAGGAAAAAAAGGAAAATCTGGATTCGTGTCGATGGGCGCAACGATCTGCAATTTAGAAATGGAAAGAGACAAATTCGGGAAACGGTCGTCGCGACGTTGATGTAGGAATAAAGGAAAATAGAGCGAACCCAGACCGAAAATGCAATGAGACAGATGACGCATATGAAACAGGGAGAGACCGTGGTGGTGTAGAGAGGCCAGTCAGCCTCTCAAAGCTCCTCCTTTATAATGTCTCTCTTCTCTCATTCATCTTCTTCGCTTCTCGTGTTCTCCTCGGGGCTGGGAAAAGCTCAAGGTAGAGAGGACCTGAAAGTAGAGGGGAAGTTCCGGTCGTTGTCAGACTGGAAGCTCTAGTATATAGGAGATGCGCTAAGGTCCGAAGAGACGAAACAAAAACAAGTCATAAACGGCGTCATGTCATGAATCGGCGCCGATGATAACTGCTGGGTATCTTTGCCGAAAAAAAGGGTTCTTTTTTGTTTTTCTTGTGTGTGTGTGTGTGTGTGTAGTTGGCTTTGTACGCCCTGGCCTCGACTTCTATGCTTAGAAGCCAAGAGGCGATAGAGGCTGGATAGGAGACAAGGGCCGCAGGTCGCGAGATCCTGTAGCCTGAGTATGAGAGAAGCCGAACATGTCCCTGTCGTCATCCTCGTGCTCCTCCTTGTCCTCACTAAGGGCCGTCGAAGCGGTAGAGTTCCGGGATGAAAGGCTGTTGCTGGATCTTGAGAGCTGGAGCTGGGGCTTGGTCATCGTCTCCGCCTGCTCGCTCGACTCCTGGATCGATGGCTTGCTGTGATGAGATGTGGCCGGCCTTTCCGCCTCAGTGACCTCGCTCTGCGAAGGGAGCTGTACATCGGCTAGGCCACGCGGCGGCGGCTGGTCAAACAGGCGGTACTCCTCCTCGATAAACTTGGGCTCGTTCTTGCAGCCCCTCCAGCAGTCTCTCCAATCGCACACCAGAAACTTGAAGCAGAAGGCGTCGATTTTCATGCAGGGCTGGAAACAGATGCAGAGGTTCCGGAAGTCCATTTTGTTCTTGTCCGAGTGAGCGAGAAGAAGGCTGAGATGGCATGTGATGGCAAACAAAAGGTAATAGTTGAATGGGGATAGGTTCGAGAGTTCGTCGATGAGAAGCTGCGGGACCTTTTCAGCGCCGTGGCATTCGCGAGCAATCCGCTCCTGAGCCGCTTTCGGGAAGAGCTCGTCGGGCAGTTCGCGAAGCCAAGCCTTGAGCATGGAACCAACAATGTTGATATCATAGAGGTCGTTCTGCTCAAAAAGGTTGACGTCGTATTCTGCACACAGCCAACGTTAGCCATCTGAAGAAGAAAAAGAACAAGGTGCCGAAGAAACGTACGTTCGTCAAACTTTCTCTGCCACTTCTTGACCTGAGGTCCGCTTCCAGGCACACGGTAGAGACCTTCCACCTCTGTCCCCTTATAGTTCAGATAGTCGATGGCTCTCCATGGAAACGCAGGCATCCAGAACTCTGTCTTGTCCCTCGAGTCCTCCAGGCGCTTCGAGATTCGGGTCATTCGCGTTTGCTCAACCAGGGGCAGGTTGATGACTTTCAGCTCGTAATGCTCATCGTCAATTACGGGCTCCTTATCCGTTGTACTGCTGCTTCGCGTGCTCTTTCCGAAGAGTCCCTTGCTGATCAGGTCGGCAGCCCTGGTGGACGTGAATCTCAGCCCGCTGAGAAATGCTGATGCACCGGTTTCGCGTGTCGATGAATGAGCCTTCTGCTCCTTCTCTCGCCCATTATCCTTGCTATTACAAGCAGCAGCACCGGCGCTTCGGTCCTCTGCCCGATTCCGAGGAGTCGAATTCATCCCGTGGTCTCTCAACGCCCGATCCTGTGACAATATGGGGGTTTGAGCGTTCGTGGCAGCTGCATCAGCCGCGGCGGCGGCAGCGACAGTATCGGTGCTGGTAGATGTTTCCTCGGGAAGCGCGTGGTTACTCGAGGTAGCTGCTGATGGCAGTGGAACTGGCGCGACGGCAAGCTTGAGGCGGCCGGCTTCTTTGTCGCGAACCGACTTGCTGCGACCCAGAAGCGCAAACGACTTGGACTTGTTCTTTCTGATGGAAGGCAAAGGCGTGGTTGTGTCGGCGTCGCCAGAAGATGAAACGGAGAGGTCAGAGCGTGAAGGTTGAGAAGGAATAGACTTCGGCTGGCTGTCGTCGGTGCTGATCGGGTCTAGGAATAACAAGGACAATAGGTCAGCCACAAAGGTTCTCGGACGGGGTCTTGTCTCTTTTTTCCCTTTAGCCTGCTTTTTCCTTCTGTTTCATTCTTCTCATTTACTCTTATTTTTCCCTTTCTTTTTCCTTGGGACTCGTCACGAGCAAAAGAATGAGGTGCGCACAGAAACAAGGTGAAACCAAATGGGTGGCCTGCTAGCGCGCACCTCGAATTGCTTTCGCAGTGCAACAAACCAAATCTTTCCGTGCTCGTTCTCCCAGCTTCTCCGGCTTCGATGCGCAGGTTTTTCTCTGTGCCAATGTAGCCTTACCTCTGTGATTCTGTTCCCCCTTGTCGTCTGCTCGTGATGTCGGCTGGTTTCGCGCCTCGAGATGTTGCTGGTTATGCGGAATGCCAGGAGTCTTGGGCGGCTTGTTGAACTGGAAAAAGCTCGACTTTGACGACTTGGCGCCGTCCGGCACGACGTGGCGCAGGCCATGGGCAGGCATTCCGGCTGAGGGAGGATCCAAGGTCGACCTTGAGGGCTGCAGCAGCTCCGAGTCATCGCGGGCCTGGGCACGGCGCATCTGCAGCTGCTGGTGCTGCTGCTGGCGACTGGCCTCGTCTGTCGGTCCGGTGCTGGTCGCAGGTCGCGGCGGCTGTGGCTGGAGGGTTGGCGACGTGCCTGTGCGAGCCGGCCGGTTTCTGTGGACGGCAAACTTGCTGATGGGAAAGGGCGAGGATCGCTGTGATCGGGGCGATTTGGCGTTGGGATTGGATTCAACGGGCGACGAGGCGGCTTGCGACGCAGACTCAGCAGACGCCTGCGGGTCGTCGAGAGCGCTGCTGTCCGCCAGAATCAGCGGCTGGAGGGTGGGCTTAGTTGTACGTCCCATCTTGGCAAGCCCCGGCTGCAGAGTGTCGAGAAGGCTGCGCAATGGCGGTTTGGTCTGGCGCAGGAGGTTTGCAGCTCTGCAGCCCTCTGTCAGGGGGCCTGTCGGGGTTGGTTTGCACGCGGCGCTATGGCCAGAGCCTTGGGGACACGGATAGGAGACGACGGTCAGACTCCAGGGCGCGCACGGCGCTGCAGCAAGGCTCGGAGTGTCAGGAGAGGGTGCGAAGGAGGGGGGAGCGCGGTCCTGAGGGAGCCTGAGGGGACTCTTGTGCCTCAGCTGTGCCTCAACTTGTTGGAGAGGGCAAAGGGGCAGGCCAGTGGGGGGTGGACCAGACGAGACGAACGATGGATTGCCCGTGGCATCGGCCTGGCTAGCCGGCGTCGTGGAGAAGGGAGTGAGTGAGGGAGGGGCGTGCAAGTACGGAGCAAAACAGCGGATGCGAGCGACGGTATCGGGCGGTGGACGATAGATGAGGTGATGGAGGATGGAGGAGGAGGAGGATGATGGGGATGAGGGCCAGAGAGTATTGGAATGAGGATCAGAATCACAACGAGCGTGAAAGAGTGAGAAGACGACGCCGCCGGACCCGCGTCAGTCTTCGTATCTATGCAAACAGCGTAGTTTGTGTATAAGAGAGGAGACGATGCAAATTCAAGGCTGGTGCGAGAGTCCCTAGCGAGAGGTCGGGTCTGTGGGTGCGCATGCGTACCTCACGTACGTACAATCCAGGCATGTACAGGTACGGATCAGCATCGACAGGCCATGGATGGACGTCGGCAAAAGAGAGAGAAAAAAAGCAGCAAACTGCACTCGAGCACCTTACGTTCGCGGATAATGCCCTTGGACCCTGGCCTAGAACCGGTCTCTAGATCCTCAAGGGCTCTTTAGAAGCAGCCTCTAACAGGAATATGGATTCTTTGCCGCTTGTTGGCGACATGCAACGAATCCAGGCGTCGAATGCGTGCTAGACTCTGATAGCGCTACCGCCCGCTACTCCGTTGGGAACGTCTGGTGGACTCGAAATGTCAAGGTACTACCTACCTACTCACTCGTAGGTACCTTGGGGATCATATCAAAGCTGTAGGTAGCAATGGCGGAAAAGACATACATCAAAACACGCGTATTTCCTGAGCCGGAGCCTTGGTAAATAGACAGTGTCTCGGGTAGCAAGAACGTTACTATTATCCCGCATTCCGTCCAATGTCTCCTGCCTCCTTCGACTGCTCGAGGCCATTGTCCTTCAATCTGCCCGTCTTCTCATGCCCTGCCATGCCAGGTGCTGCTTCATGCAAATTGCTGCAAGTACAAGTACGACCCCCAACAGGCAGATCCATCCCATGCCCTAAGAACATCAATGGCTCCATCCCGTTTGGGGTACCTGGTTCGCGTTAGTGCCGTCAGGATGGACGCCAGCGAGTGGAGGGACGAGGAACAGGTACAGGGAACCGCCGTTGGCGTCAGGCACATGTACAGAGTACGGGGCATAGCATCAAGCATTCGTATGGCGACAAAGAACTGCTGAGCATCATGTGACGCGCGTTGAACAAGTCTCAAGACGATAGCAGAACCTACCAGCATCATGAGTCACTACAAGCATTCGTCCCGTGGTCTGCTCTTTTCTTTGATGATTTTTTTTCTTCTGCTCCTCTTCTCTAATACTCCGTACTATCTCTCTTTTTGTTCGCAACACGCGCCATCGCATCTGAAACGCCTCGGTGGCCCCCGGGAAGAGAACCGCTCTTTCAGGGGTTCCCGGCGCTGTGATTGGGCCTCCTGGCAGTTGTCTCCTCCACTCCGGGGGGGCGCAGGGCACGCAGTCAGCATACCAAGAAGAAGTTGGAGTCGCACGATGTGCAGAAACAAAGCTGGACGGGCGGCCACGTACTCGATACAAGCCAACTGTGGCTCTTCTGATGCAACTGGGCATCTCCCTTGGTGCAGGGCCATGAGCATCAAGACAGCAAATACTCAATCGCCAGCTCGGCGCCTCCTTGCAGGGCCAATCCATGGGATGAGAAGGATTGCATTTGTTTCTTGTTTCTCTGGGCAAGACCGGGTAGGATTGTTTGCGCATTTGTCGAGATAAGGTACTAACTAACATAGGCCGCTGCTATTGCCAATAGTAAATCCATCTTGAAAGAGACGAAGAGGCCCTTCAATCGTTTCTGATTCAAGAGAGAGCCCACCCAGCACGGAGAGCCTGCCCACTCATCACTGCAGTGGACACTCAGGTACGGAGTCTCAAACCCCTGGATGCAAATCTTCCGCGCTTCGTACATTGGAGAAAGTCCCAGGTGTTGGTCATCCATTCCCACCACCCACCGAGCATCCATTGTACATACAGTACGGCGCACGCGGGTTCATCCCAATTCGGCCAGCAGCACGAGCCATGGCGAACCAGCGATTGCATATTCGATCGACACATCTACGGAGCATCTCTGCCCTGATTCACCTGAGGTATTGTCACTATTAATATCGGACTACTACTGGAAGACAGCTGGCCATGCATGAGAGGACATTGTATGTCCTACCTACTCACGCATAACGTGCAACATCATACTAACGTCTGCAATGCCGCATCATTCTGCTCTCTTCCGCCTGCACGCAATTGTCCATGTGACTCTTCAGCGCCCAGCAAACAGCGCCGCCATTGGGCAACTGTCGATGCGCCCTCCGCATTAGCAGCCTCAATAACGCACCCCATCGCAGCCCATCCAGATGTGCGATGCAATTATCCGGCGCTGCCTCTATGGCACATACATATAGCGAACACGTCGCATTTGAAATCAAGCGGCATCGGGCCGTTGAGACTGCAAGTTAGAGTGCCTCCTCTACGGAGATATTCAAGGTGTCTGCAACTTCATGCGCAATACGAAAGGAATATGAGGCGGCATGTTAGCAATGCGGAAGGGAGCGAGGGAGACCTCGTATGTACTGCGCCGCCGTCTTTCCCTTCCGCCGCAATACGGAGTGAGGTATCCAGCAATCGCTGTTACGAGGCAGCTCCCTACGGACCTCCCTCATCAAACGCACAGCCACTCGATCAGCCGTTGATTGCTTTTTCCCAGGCATTGCCGACTATGATGGCAATCTCGGTAGTGTTCGTTACCCCGACTCCATTCAAACTCCTCTTTCGCAAAAAGCTCTTTATCGAGTGCCGGCCCAGGGACGCTCCAAGGAGGGGCCGGTAGCAGCCACGACGGTGCAGTATCAACATACGAAGTAAGCAAGACCTCAAAAATAGCATCTGCCTCAGTGCCAGGTAGGAAGATTCATGCCTCAAAATATAAAAGATGATAAGAATAGAGCCCAACAAATGACCCCCTTTCTAGCGAGAACTATCATGGCATAGCAAGTCGTTAAGCATCCCCTGATATTACGGGGTAGACGAGATCATGCAGTAAATCCAAGCGTTGCCGTTCCTTGGACATGCTGATTACATAAGCGATCTCAACGTCACCTCTCACCAGCAGCTCACCACATGCCACTGAAGCCACATTCTGATACTGCATGTTGATATAACAAGCAACAGCTCCCACAACACATCACCATGGCCCGGGCACCTGGAGACGCCGAGGGTCTGAAACTTGCCACCGATGCCCACGTGAAATATGTTCTGAGCTTGGACACCAAAACCGATGAGCTGGACTACTGGATGACGGAGCACCTACGGCTAAACGGTGCCTACTGGGGCCTATGTGCTCTCCATTTTCTCCGTCACCCTGAGGCTCTGCCGCGCAAGGATACCATCGATTTTGTGCTCTCTTGTCAGCACGACAATGGCGGATTCGGGGCTGCCCCGGGGCACGATGCCCACATGCTCTCCACGGTAAGTGCCGTGCAGATTCTCGCCATGGTTGATGGCTTCGACGAGCTAGAAGCGCGAGGCAAGGGAAAGGCGGCAGTTGGCAAATGTAGGTATTGACGGGCATCTCTGCCAAATCAAGGACCGCTCGCATTCTAACACCCTCTACAGTCATAGCGGACCTTCAAAATCCCGAAAGCGGAAGCTTCTTTGGCGACGAGTGGGGTGAAGAGGACACAAGATTCCTATACGGTGCCCTCAACGCTTTGTCACTCTTGGGCCTCCTGTCCCTGGTTGACGTCGACAAGGCTGTTTCACATATCGTCGCTTGCTCAAATTTCGACGGCGGCTACGGAGCGAAGCCCGGAGCGGAGTCCCACGCTGCACAGATTTTCACCTGCGTCGCGGCTCTCGCCATCGCGGGACGCCTTGATCTTGTAGAGCACGAGAAGCTCGGCCGCTGGTTGAGCGAGAGGCAACTCCCTGGAGGTGGGCTCAACGGCCGGCCAGAGAAGAAGGAAGACGTCTGCTACAGTTGGTGGGTGTTGAGCAGTCTCGAAATCATTAGTCGTGTCCACTGGATCGACAAGCAGGCCCTCATCAACTTCATCTTGGCCTGCCAAGATCCCGACAACGGCGGCTTCTCCGATGCGCCGGGCAACATGGTGGACGTCTGGCACACGTGCTTTGGCACCGCAGGGCTGAGCTTACTTGGCTACCCTGGCATGGAGCCTGTGGACCCGAGATACTGCATGCCCAAAAGAATCGTGGCGAGGATCCTGGGAGAATGAGCATAAAGACAGATGATAGATTATGGCACACATGCTACAATCTTGCTCTATATCTGTCTGCCTCTGGTAGCTACGCCGTATCACCACTTTGATGCCTAATGACTTGAAGCTAATGATGTTGTGTAAGCTGGATGAGAAATATGTAGGAATATAAGAAAGATACGAAGAACTCATAAGAAGTCTTGCGTAAGTCTCATTTCTACTTCTGTGTCGAGTAAGGTATCAATATCCCTTTCGCGTTGGCGTTCGTTTGCAGTGGGATGTGGCTAAGGTTTACCCTGGAAGCGGTCGATAACAGACGTTGGAAAAAACCCGCCCAGGCGACGTTATTAATCCTGTGCAAGCGCGCGATTGAAGAGTCTGTGATGCCACGGCAATTCTTTCTGACGTCTAGAGTATTCCGCTGTCCAATCTATTGCGCTACAGCATGAGAAATTCCTCAATTGCATTCCTAGACTATCATGAGAAGTAGTTTGTCGAGTCACCACAGCTAACATCGGCATAAACAGACATGCTGCGAAGCGGCAGAAATCCAGTACCCAAACAACCATCGGAGGCTCACGGGCATTGTGCACTTTGTCGGCTGTGAAGACTCTGACGTGTGAGGAGCACATGTGCACATTTTGATGTTCATCTGAACCTCCAAAGGTGAGGGGAGAGAGTAGAGAGGAAGCTTAACATCTCCAGTGAAACCACTATAAAAAATGATTGAGTGCTGAAAGTGAACATTATCCATAACTCTCTATTGCCTCCTCCGGTTAAGACTGACTCTACTATGATGCCATCGTTCTCGATATCGTTAGACACAGCTATCAGCGCGCTCTGAAAAGAGGGAAGGCACGATGGTCATTCTTTCTGCTGCCTCAGGAGGGCTAACCCCCTCGTGCTTCTTCCTTCCTGACATCGAATGGAAACTGAAGCTGATCGGACAAATATGCTCTTCTCTTCTCTTCACCTTTCAAAGAAACGAGAAGCAGCGTCTTTGCGTCCTGATTGCCTCGGAGCCTCTGGTTCATCAAGGTTCCTTCCCAGACACCGCTTGAATCCATCTACTGCCACCCATCACCGCCCAGAGCATTTTGGGTCGCGCCTTCAAAAGCAGCAGAATCATGGACTCTTCCTACTTCCCAATTCCTTTCAAACGACTGCCGGATCTGCCTCCTCGACTCAGTCACTCTGTCCTCACTTGGGACGGAAACGAGCTCGCACCAGAGACTCCTGCCGCCCCTGAACTGCCTCAGTGGGCAGCCACTCCTGGAGTGCCACCGCCTCATCAGCTGGCAGTGACCGGGCCAATTGGAACTGCAGACAGGATGAACGGCCATCATTTTGTGGTAAGACGCAATAACAACTTCGCCGTTACTTCTACACCTCTCCTACCCTAACATCTGTCCTCCTACCTCCTACCTCTTCCTTATCTAGCTTCCTCTACCTTACCGACCAACCTATACTCAGACCAACCTGCTCTCCTGTCTTATCCTGTATGAGACTTGCTCTGCTCTCTCGACACAACTGCGTCCTCCCTCTCGTACCACCCAGTCTCCACGTACCCAGTTGCTCTTTTCTGAATCACGTCACTCTCCACCATTGCTTCTTTGCTTTTGGGTCAACATCAAGGCCCACGGCCTTCGTCTCTCTTTTTCTTCCCGTCTTGTGCTTGCTGCTATTGTTACTGCTGCTGCTTTCCTGCCCCGAGATCACTTCGTGCAATCAGCCTGGCCCTCTGGGTCATGATCAGGTCAGACTTCGCGATAGTGCTCCCATGGGTGCAGACAGACAAGCTGCAGCTACAGAAATATGATTCTTGGCCCTGTATAGGGTGAGTCTCATTTCGACTCAAGCACCATGACTGACTATTTCTGGAGCAGGAGATGGCATCAGTGGTCAACACAGGCACCTCGACTGGTTCCGGTAGCAAGCAGATTCCTTTGCTTTGCACCGTTTGCCCCGAGTCGCCGCGATTCTCCGATGTGTCCCACTTGCTCACGCACATCGCCTCCAAAGGCCATCTCCATCATGAAACTCAGACAAAGCTGAAGGCTCATCAAGACGTTTCGGCCTCTGTTGCTCTCCAGCAGTACGAGCAGTGGTACAAGGACAATGGCATTGAGCGCCTGCTTGTTGAGCGCATGAAGGCGAAGCAGCTGAAAGAGGCCGCGAGAAACAAACGGGCTAGAGGAGTTGCAGCCCTCGTAGCTTCAAAGGTATGTATTTACCATTGTTCATGCAAGTTTCCACCAGCGCGCTGATTGGATAGCAGCAGCCCAAGAGGAAAATGAAGCGAGTCGAATCTGACACGGCCGTGAAGAATGAACGTGAAGATTTCACTCCCGATTTTCCCATGTTTCCGGGATTCTTCCCAGTTCATCATGACGACGAGGTTCAAGACAACTTTTTCGGATCAGTCGATATGATGTCGCTGAAGGGCCAGATATGGCCAGGCATGGGCAAAATGGATCTGGCAAATGAGGATATGAAACGCACTCGCAACCAAAGAAAGCCCAAGTCGGTCATTGAGAAGATGAGAAGAACGTCAGAGGGAATTGAGCCCACCCAAGTCGTTATGACGGCTGAGTTTGAGGTGGAAAGGGTCAAGGATGTCTATGACAGCTCTTCGCCAGTGCCGGACCAAGAGGAGGCGGTTTGTAACCAGACCATCAGCTCCTTTCAGGACAAATCGCTAACATCATCGACCAGACACCGCCCAAGAAAACATTGAAGCCTCGCCGAAAGCGTGGAGAGCCGCTCGCAGAAATCTCTGCCAACATTCCTCGGGGAGGTAATCGCCGTCTCACCCGCAACAACGCTGGCCAAGAAAAGAGTTCCAAGCCTCTCCTAGCATACAGTCGAACTCCAAGCTCTGATATCACGCCTACTCTCGGACAGTACAAGCGTTCTCATGACATCTTTCGGGATGATGATGAGCTTACCGGTACGCACGCTTGTGCTGCTCGAAGGAATAGCACTGACTCGATATAGGCGGATATGATGGACGTTCCATGTCCAATGCATCTCAAAGGGAGCCAAGGTAATATCTGGAACCGAACCATGATCGAAATCCTTACTGAATGATAAATCCTAGCTTTGATTTACGCAGACGAATGGGGCTGCACCAGTTGAATCCGATTGTGCACTCGAATCTGGCGTCCCCAACGCCCACATCCAGAGATATTCCTGACCGAGGATTTTCGGCGCGAGACCTCCAGAGAGGCAGAGGCCAAGAACAAGGTTTCCTCAGCATGAACGGACATGTTGGTCTAGGTAAGCAGCAACTGATACCCCGATTCAATCACTGAGTACTGAACAAGGCTTCCATCAGGCCCTTTCAGTCACCAGGATTTATCCTATGCCTTGGATGGGACGTCGATCTATAATAACACCCCGCGATTTCCATTTGCTGCGAATAACCACTTCAACGCTCTTGGCCATGATCATTTTCGCCTTTCCTCAGGCCACAACGCCCAGCAAAAGTACGATGACTATTCGCATACCAGTGCTGGCGAGGGAAGCACGGTAGCAAACCAGTTCCTCGATATACCAGGTACCAATCCCTTGTTCTCGCAGGATCGCCTCTTCCTTGGATCATGCGGCCAGTCGGGTCCTGCAGCAAGCCTGTCTCCTCTGGGATTCACATCGATAAACCGTAATCCAGATACCTCTCACCCGATGCGTCAAAGCCAGTCAGTCGCCGGCGTCAAATCCGAGCCACAGCTTTGCGACGTTCTCGACGATGCCAACATTGACGACGAAAAGGAGTCACGTTTCCCTGTACATGGCATCTGGGAATCGCAAGGTTCTGATAACGGCATCGAGATCCACGAGGATCTTCAACACGATGAACTGGATCTCTAATGTTTCCTTTACGTGGTCAACAGATAAATCGTTCATGCGATACCCGCTTTCTCTCTGCATGGGTCTCTATGGGATACTTACAAGAAAGCTACCGGCGCATCTTTTTTCTTTTCATATTTTTCTTTTCCGGTTTAATTTTACTCTTGACTGATCTTTCGAGGCGCTTAAAGGAGGTATCGGGGATCTGCTTTAACAAGGTGAGCTAACCATCGAGCGCCTTGTTGTATCATGTCCGCTAATATATCATTAGAGGTTTAACAAGCAATATCTCTCTGGGCATGCGAAGTCTGCGGGGATATGCCTGAATACGGCGATGACAAAACAATTCGTCATGAACAATCAGTCGAGATTGAATCATGGGTCATGGGCAGCCTTGGGGAAAACATCGCGTTCGGTCGACTGCCTGGGATTCAACGGTGCGCTTATGATATGGTGGCGAAGAGGTCTCCCAGTCACCTTGAACCACGACAACTGTGGGCTCAAGGCTGGGTGTTTGGTGATTTTATTTTCAGTTGATCCGTGGCGATTCTACGCTCATTTCTAAAATTGGGTTTATATGGGACGCGTTTACCGATAGCAGTAATCGATTTGAAGAGGACAGCCCTGTTGGCCAGCTTATTTTGTCTGTTGAGAGGCTGAATATAGATAAGGCCGTGGCAAAGCAATCTTGGGGTTCGTATGATTCCATATTGGTACATAGACATGATAAATACAGCAGTCTTCCGCTTCTTATACACGAGTGCAACGTAAATGCCCGGGCCAATATCGCCAAACCCAATATAGAAAAGAAAAGAGAAGACAAAGGTATGCTCCCTGAAACCCCATATGAGCAATCTAATGCCTATAGCTGTTCGATGGATGATACCAGATTGTCCAGCTGATCCGGGTCGGATTCCAGGACATGAGCAAGCGTTCGATACGCACCTTGCAACCGTCGCCACCTCATTTCGTTTTCAAGCTGCCTTGATTTTTCTGCGGCGACGTCTAGGACCTTTTTGGGGATGCGGGCCAAGCGGGCGACGTTGAGCCCGTACGAGCGATGGGCTATGCCCTCTCCCACTTCGTAGAGGAAGGTGATTTCCTCCTCGCCATCAGGCCCCTTGTCCGCGTTGAACTTCATGTGGACGTTTGTGACGCCGGGCAGGCCATCGGCGATGCGGGCGAGGTTCTGGTAGTGGGTGATGAAGAGGGTGAGGCACCTGGTCTCGGTGACGACGTGGTGCAGGACGGCCTGGGCGATGGCGGCGCCGTCGTGGGTGCTGGTGCCGCGGCCGAGCTCGTCGAGGATGACGAGGCTGCGGGGGGTGGCGGAGCGGAGGATGCGGGCCGTCTCGGAGACCTCGACCATGAAGGTGGACTCGCCGGCGAAGAGGTTGTCCCTGGCGCCGGCGCGGGTGTGGATGGCGTCGCAGAGGGTGAGCTCGAGGGCGTCGGCGGGGACGAAGGAGCCGATCTGGGAGAGGAGGACGATGAGGGCGACGGCGCGGACGAAGGAGGACTTGCCGCCCATGTTGGGGCCGGTGATGAGGTGCGCCAGGGCGGAGGGGTGAGAGAGGGTGGTGCTGAAGGGGATGTAGCTGCCTTCGAGCATGTGCTCGGCCATGGGGTGGCGGCCTTGGGAGATGGAGATGGAGGGCTCGCTGGTGGCGGGCAAAAAGGTCGGCTTGGTGTAGCCCGGCTGGGCGGCGACCTTGGCGAGGGAGAGGAGGCAGTCGAGGGTGGCGAGGGCGGAGATGGCGTCCCGGAGGGGCTGGTACTCGGACGCGATGGAGGCGAGGAAGTCCTTGAAGGCCTTGTCGCAGGCTGCGGCGAGGGCCTCCCGGTGCTGGTCGCGCTCGGTGATGAGGCGGATGACCTCGGGGGTGTGGAAGCGCGAGAGGGCCTTGGTGCCGGAGATCTTGCTCCAGGAGGCGGGGACGTTCTTGATGTCCTTGTTGGGGACGGCGATGAGATACTCGATGCCCGCGACGGTGACGTATTCGACGCTTTTCGCTTTGATCTTCTGAGCGGCGACGGCGCGTTGCTGGTCGAGTTCGTGCTCGACGTGGGCGATGCCCAACTGGTGGTCCTGAATCTCTTCGGTGTGATATTCTTCTCGGAAGAAGCCATACTTGTCGTCCTTCTTGGCGGCATATGCATTGATGCGATCGAGATAGGAGACGACCGAATCCAGGATCTGGGGTAGCGTAGTGATGGCGTTGACGATGAGTGGTGAGTCAAAGGGCACGTCGGAGGCTGATTTGATGGACGAGTAGTGACTGGCAATCTTTTGTAACGTCTGAAGCACGGCCAGAAGCTCTGGCCTCGTACACTTGCCGTAGTAGATTCGGATGAGACTGCGCTCGAGGTCAGCCTTGGTGGTTGTGAGGAGTCGTTCCAAGTCGTCGACGGGCGATGTGTTTTGCTTGTCGAGAAGCTCCTGAACCGCGGCGAGGCGCTCGTCCAGCCGCTCTCTGTCGAGCAATGGGCGGCCGACCCATTTCCGCAGGAGACGTTGGCCAAAACGGGTGAGCGTCTTGTCGACAGCCCAGAAAAGGCTGCCCTTTGGCGAGTGATCGGTGGAATTGCGGTAGACTTCGAGGCTCTCCAGCGTCGTGCCGTTGATCAGCATGTGGGATCGGGTGCTGAAGCTCTGGAAGTACTTTGTAAGGCCAAAGATGTGCTGCAGCCCGTACTCTTGCAGGTGGGTGATCATGGCAGACAGACAGATGGTGATGGCTTCGGGGAGCTTTAGCACCTTGTCGAGCAGGGCGCTCGCAGTCTCATTATCCGACGCCTCCTTCACTTGGTCGGCGTAGAACTGTGTCACATGCGAATATGCCTCGGCGGCCATGGTCTTGCTCTTGGGCACACGCTCAACGCGGGCACGATCGCCAAACACATTGGTGCTGCTGCCCGACAGGTGCTGTATCAGCTTGTCGGTCCCCTTGGTGATGTCTCCTACGATGAGGAACTCGCAAGGCGATATGTGCAACAGCCTTGTCTCGATCTCGCTCCGCATGAAACCGTCTTCAAAGTTATCGTAGATGATATCGCCAGTGGCGGGCTGGACAGCGAGAATACCGACATTGACGTTTTCATCGGTGCCGGCGCCTTTGGATGCTGTTTCGGTGATACAGAGCAGATAGCCGCCTGATGGGGCGGAAGCGTCCTGGCTGTCCAGCTCTCCATTCTCGTCCACGTACGTCCCCTTTGTGTAGAGATTCGTGAGCTTGCGGACAAACGGGGCGTTTCTGTTGTCGCCAGCCTTCTTCAGGGCCGCTGTCTCGATTTGGCGTACAACTCCGACTTTGTGGCCGGCAGCAACGAGGCGCTTCGCGTGAACGGGCAACCTGTGGACCGGAATGCTGGCCGACGCGAATCGATCCAAGTGAGCTTCCGAAGGATCTGGTACGAGTCAGTGAAGCTCGTTGCACGGAGGCTGGTAAGGATGGAGGTACATACGCTCATCATAACGCATTTTACCTGGTATGCACACGATGCCCAGCTCCTTGGCAGCCACTCGGGCATCCTCACCAAAGAATCGAAACTTGTAGCCAACCTCGACAATGAGGATCGTGTCCATGTGCTTCCGCTTGATGTCCAAGAACTGGATCTCCATCGGAGTGAGCTTTCCCGTTTTCGCTCCCTTCTTCTTTGCTTTGGATGCAACCGGGGCTTCCTCCTCCTCCGGATCTGCATCAGCATCTTCGTCGTCGCCAGCGATACCGCTGTCCTGTGCTTTTAAGCCCCAAGACAAAGCATCGGGATGGCCCAGTTTCTTGACAAATTTCCTGTGCAGCTCCTCATTCCGCCTCCTGGCCTCTGCATCATCGCTGTCGTTGCCAATGTCTCCTTGTGAGTTCGACTCGTCGTAGCGGTAGCGCTGTGCTCGTGCGGAAGTCGGGCTTCGATTGCTGGCCACTGCAGTGGCGGACGGGTCTTTGCGGAAAAAGGAGCTTTCGCCATCGACTGAACCATCGTCGCCTTTTGCTCTCTTTGCCGCTTCCTCGGCTGTTCCATTGGCCTTATCGCTCTCCTTCTCGAGCGGTCGCTTCCTTGACGGCAAATCCGACTCTTGCACAGGGGTTGGCGACGAAGGCACTGCGGGCTGGGAGGACGAAGCGGTGCCATTGACGGCCTTGGGCGTGAAAAAGGCCGTCAGCGACTTTTGCTTCTTCTCTGGAGCTTTCGAAAGAGGCGCCATGGCGAGACTGAGGGCAGTGCAAGAGTCCAGTCACCCTTTGCCATGTACGAGATTCGCCGTGTTGCTCCGGAAATTTTGTATGACAAGAGACAACATGCGATAACGGTTTGGCGGGTGAGGCAGCGTGAACCTCTCAACGCGTCCAGCAGGTGCAGTTGCGCGTTTGTAAGGCCCCATATTCTGCCTGTTTAGGAAGTATCGACGTCAGGGACCTCTTATCTTATCAGCCAGTTCCATCAGACAAAATCATGCCTCCAGGTAAGGTATTCTTCTTCAGAGCATCAAGTTTGACAACAAAGAGATTTGGTGACGGTTCATGTCATGATCATGACCAAATATTCCTTGTGTGATACAGAAGCTTCCACGGCAGATCTCAAAGCATGGTGGCCTCTCAAATCGACATCAAAACCTCGGCTATAGCTTTCAAATACTAGCAGTATGCTGGTTTTGTCTCTAAGCACGGCCATCAGACAAAATCCTCATACTATCCAGCGGCAGAGAGATGCCGCGATGACGACTCATGCCGGCCGCGGATCGCTTGATGCTACAGCCGATTCCTGTAATACAGATCTTTTTCCGTAGTAGTAGGAATCATACAGAAGCTCGGAGTAACGCTCAAAGCGCTGCACATCCCACCTGTATCCACCGGGCCATGGTTGATGCTGGTTCTCTGCCCGATGCGGGATGGAAGAGCATCCCGAAAAAGCAGACAGAGCACAGCCCCTGAGCCCGCAATCTCAGGGACGCGCAATTCGACCTAGACGAGGCCTTTGCGAGTTCTTGGCCTCACGATGCCAGCGCTTCCACTGAACGCGCCATAGGCCCATTCGCACGATTCTGGGAATCTGGGGCCCTGCTCACGTCGGCGCTTACAGGGCTGCCGAAACGGCGCTGCGCAGCCAATCAGGCGGCGTTCCAGGCTGTCGACACGCCGCCACTGGCCCCTAGTCTCTGGAGCACGACTCCAGCCATGGCACCAGAGCGGGCGTGAGGTTCTGGTTGCCGCCGGCCCCTGTTCTGGTCTGGCATGGCTGATGATCTTTGTTCGCGGAGCTACTCTGGTGTTGCGGATGGAGGCACTAGTAGGTAACGGACGGTACCAAACAGTACCGCCTTGTTGCGAGTAGTTTAGCAGCGGTGACAGGTCCTACATGGGTACCTCTTGGGGTCCGTCCTGGCCATGTGAAGACTCGGAGTGGCATTTGACTTGACTTGGGCAGCAAAACCAAAGGTCTCACAACAAGGTAGGCTCTGCAATAATTAAGCCGTCCATTTTGGCGCCGACGTTCCTCTCCTACCATAGTTTCTCTTTTTCTTGTCAGTTGCGACCTGTTTCTCTCCTCCATCACGAACCAACCGACGTCCTCCAGCCCTCATCTCCCTGCCGTCTCCCATCGCGGCATCTCACTTACATACAAGCCCAGCTTCTGTTGCAGCGGGCCGTGCGGCCAGTTCTGCGACCCGTCCGTCATTGGAGAACCGCCAGCTCGAAGCTAGAGGGGTTAGTACCAGGTACGTAGAGCGTCAACCCCGCCACCAGCTTCTGTGCCGCCACAACTGCTAAGGAGATACCGACGAGGCAGAGCAGCAGTACAGAGCGCCCAAACAAACGAGCAGCCTGACGATAGTCGACTGATTTCCTCTCGTCGTCACGGTCCTTGATTGCTTTGCTTTCTTTTCGGCCCTGCAGCGGCTACCAGAGCGTTCGACGACTCCTTGTAGAGCGCTCTAGTCTTGGCTTCCCCTGCCGCCGTCTTCACCTCTATACGAGTAAGCACCTTCACCTCACCCATACTTGATCCAACTCCTTGCGCACATTCTCTGACAGGTTGGCTGTCTGTTTCACATCGAATAGAGTCTCTTCTCGCGGTCGAATCAATATGGAGCGCAGCCGTGGCATCCCGGACTCGGAGCTGTTCCTGAGCAAGCCTGCGCCGGAAGACTGCGACAGCCCGACGGTCGAGCCGTTGCGCATCTTCAAGCCTCAGAGCCCCGAGCCTTACTCTCGCGTGTCTTCGACCTCCTCCAACAGACCAACCTTCCCGCTGCCTCCCGGGGCGTCGAGCTCTGCCGCGCCTTTGCCGTTCCCAGATGACGACGACATCCACAAGCCGACTGTTCCCAAGCCGACTGCCCCCAAACCCTACGGCGCTGCCTACAACGACGCTGCCTACAACGATACGAGCCCGAGGCTGGACACCAATGTTGGCGCCGAGAAGAAGCCAGGTCTGGCTGAGAGGCGGGGTGCCGCGCCCAAGCCCATCCACTCTCCGTCCAGTCCTGACGCCGATTATGGCCTCTTTGCGAGGCCGTTGCAAGACAAGCCTGCCGCTTCGACAACCAACTACCCGACCTACCAAAAGACGTACTACCCGCCTCCGGGAGCGGCTTCAGCCGGGCCGTCGAGCAGTACACCACCGCAGCCTCAGCCATACCAACAACCGCAGCAGTACCAGCAGTATCAGCAGCCCCAATCCAACGAGCACCAGGCGCCGCAGCAACCCCCCAAGATTCCCCAGGCTGAGCATCTGGCCGCGGCAGATTCCGGTGTCAATCGATTTGCTTCTACGGCATCGAACTCGACTACTAGAGCCAGCCGCGGCTCGCCGCCTCCTCCGGAGACTCCCATCGTAGGACCCGGAAGCGTGCCGGGAGGCGGCATCGAGGCTCGGTATGCGGCTTCGGGCATCCCGGGCACAGCAACCCTCACCAGTCTCCAAGCCGCCCAGGTCCAGGGCGCCGCGGCCGCGCAGAGGCTGGCACAATATAACAACCAGCAGCCCCAACCTCAGCGACCCTGGACACCTACAGAATCTCCAGATCAGGCCCCGTCGGGCCCTCCAACTGTATACCAGGGCATGAACGCGGTCTCGTATCCTCCGCCTCAGCAGCCAGTCAGCAGCCCTCCTCCTCAGCAACACCCAGCTCAGGCCCAGGGCAACGCTCCGCCTCAAATCAGTGTCCTGGAGCAAGATTTCCAGCGCTTGTCCACAAGCTCTCCTCCGCCAGCTTACTCGAGCGTGAACCCCAGCGGGCGAGCCTCCTATCCCAATGAGAAACAGCGGCCGCAGCAAGCCAACCAAACACCTGCCCCTGCTGCCACACCCGCCGCTGTTCCATCCTCCCAAGCTTCTGCGTCCACCTCGGCGCCGCCAGCCAAAGAAGCTGTGGTGGCCGCGGCTACGGCGGCAGCCACCGCCGCTGCTGCTGCGGGCCTGAGCTCTGCAGCTCCCCATAACCAGGGCCATCCTGCGTTTGCAAACGATCCCAGGCCTGAGCCAGTTATTCAGCATGCTCAGGTTACTGTGCCTCCAAATCTCGCAGCAGCCGGTCCGGTCTCGCCTCCCCCCTTGCCCGAGGGATGGATTGCCCATCTTGATCAGAATTCGGGCCAGTACTACTACATCCATCTGGCGACGCAGGCGACGCAGTGGGAGTTTCCAAAGGGCCCAAATCCTATCCAACATGAGCAAGCCCCTCTTTCGCCTACAGCCTCGACATACGGTAACCCCTTGGCTTCCCCCATGTTTGGCAAAACACCCATGGCCTCCCCCATGTTCCCTCCGCACACGCCAGGATACGCTGAGAGCATCATGAGCGTTGCGGCCTCACAAGCCCCGACCGTTGGCTTCACTGGGCCACCACCGAGCGCCGGTGTGGATATGTACAGGATCCAGCCGACGAACGGAGTCTACTTTGGCCCTTACTTGAAATACGTCAACATGAACATCGAGACCGGACACTGGTTCGGCAGCATTCTCATCGTCACCGATGCGCCTCAGCCACCCACCATCCACTTACACCAGAGCATGGATCTTTCGCCAAACCCCAAGCAGCTGATCCCTCATGCAATCCACGTCCATCAGCGTTGGACCTTTTTCAAGTACGAGATTGACATCGAAATGGGAGAAGCCACTGACCGATGGACTTATGCGGTTACGTCCCACCTTGGCTGTACCCGCTACGAGTTTATTGTTGCTGGAAGGCATGAGACTGGCTGGCGATTCATTGCTCATTCTGGTAACGACTTCGCCGTCAGCACGTCCCAAAACGAACGCTCCAAGCTGGGCGGCGTTGGTTTCATGTGGAAAGATGTCCTCCAGAAGAATGTAGAATGTGGCGGCTTCCACGTACAGCTCGGCTTGGGTGATCAGATCTATGGCGACCGGCTATGGAGGGAGGTGCCACTGATGAAGCAATGGCTCGCAATGAGCGGCAGAGACAACAAGAGAAACACTCAGTGGACTGCTCACCACGAGGAGGATGTCAGCCATGCCTACTTCCATTACTACACGAGCCACTTCGACCAGCCTTATCTGCGGGAGGCTTTTGCTCAGATTCCTCACATTCTGCAGATTGACGACCATGACATGTAAGTGCAAGATTGGAGCCTGTGTGTTTTACGTCGCTGACAGTCTAATAGCTTTGATGGATTCGGCTCGTACCCTGACTATATGCAGTCGTCTGCCATCTTCAAGAACACAGGTCGTATCGCAATGGACATGTACCTGTTGTTCCAGCATCATACTACGGTTGAAATGATGCGCAATGTCAGCACTGACCATGACATCTTTACCATCACGGGTACTGGGTGGCATTTCGTCAAGTATCTTGGCCCGGCAGTGACCGTTGTCGGACTGGACTGCCGATCGGAACGAACTCAGGCTCGTGTGATGGCCGGGCCTACGTATCAGGGCATCTTCCCAAAGGTTGCGACTCTACCACCCAGCGTACAGCATGTTATCTGGATGGTAGCGGTTCCCCTGATATATCCCAGACTGGACACCGTGGAGAGCTTGGCCAACACGGTTGCCGCGGGAAAGAAGGCCGTCAACACGACATACAACATCCTGGGCAAGGTCACAAGTTCCGTCGCCGGCGTTGTGGGCGGCAAGGAGGTGGTGGCACAAGGCTTCAACCAAGTCAAGAAGGCTGTTGGCAAATCTGGGCTCATGGGCAACGTCCTCAACCAGTTTGGTGAGCTGGACATCCAGGAGGTGCTCAAGGACATGTGGACACATGACTCCAAAGATCTCGAGCGGACGTACTTTATCCGCACTCTGCAAGGCATCTCACAGCAGAAGGGTATCCGCATGACATTCTTGTCCGGAGGTAGGTTCCCCCTTCCTCGTTTCTGCCCGCCGATGTATCCTGGGGCTAACTCGTAAATCTGCAGATGTCAACTGTGCAGGAGCTGGGCTTGTGCACGACCCAACACACCCCGGCGACCACAAGACAATGTACCAGATCATCACCTCGCCCATCGTGTCCGCGCCTCAGAGCTCCTACGTCTTGAAGCTGCTCCACAACAACAAGATGCTCTACGTGCCGCAGAACGGGCAGAAGTCCACGCACGAGGTGTCCGACACCAAAGAGGACATGATGGAGATCTTCCACACCGATGCCAGCGGCGCGACGAGGGAGCTCAAGAAGCTCATGGGCCGCAGGAACTACGTGGCCTTCGTTGCGTACGACCACGACGCCGTCATGGCGCAGAGCCAGGCGCCGTTCAGCCCCAACCCCAGTATCCACAGCAGCCAGCAGCAGGGCCTGTCGCGGTTGAGTCTTGCGGTGGACTTTGTGGTGCAGGGGGATGGTGCTTATACGGCTACGACCAAGTATGGGCCTGTGATTATTCCTCACCTCGAGTATGGAAGGTAAAGGGGGGTCTCAATGCTTTTCTGGTTGCGTGTGATGAGTAAGGAGAGGGAAAAGAAAGAAAGAAAGAAAGAAAGAAAGAAAGAAAGAGGGGGGAAAGATGGTTGGCTATGCAGTTTGTTACCGAGAGAGGGTGAGAAACATCTTGTTGCCATTTATTCTCATGATTCTGTACATATATAAAGATGAACGAAAGCTGCTATTTTCTTGTAGTTAGTATTGGTTTTGAGCATGTGCGTGATGCTACTGGTAGTTTCGCTGTTGGAAAGGAAGCAAGAGAGATTGATGCGCCCTTGAATAGAAAAGGAATTGGTGTAAATTTGTATGTGCATCTTTGGTATTGTTGGTATATATCTAGATTGGAATCCGGTGGCACCATCGTGGAGGCGCCTGTCCTATCTTTCGCGGAAAATGATCGCTCCGACCCCCCCTCTCGCCAAACGTGCGTATTGTCTCTCCCCCATTTTACGAAGAAGCCAAAAACAAAGACGAAAAAGAAGAAAATGTTCAGAGGTCGAAGAGCTCCTTCAGAATGCGCATGGTATCCTCGGGGCCCTTGACAGAGTGGCCAATGGTCCGGGGGTCGCTGTAGATCTCCCAGTCGTTGCCGCCCTCAAAGGTCTTGTCGCCGAAGAAGTGGATGTTCTTGTAGGTGATGCCGTCGGGCTTCTTGGCCTCGTTCTCGAGGTGCTGCAGGCAGTAGGTCTTGTCCCAGCCGTTGGGGAAGACGTCGAAGGAGATTTGGCCGCCGATGGAGAAGCTGAAACGACATGTTAGCTGGGAGCTTTGTACCAGGGAAGGGGGCAGATGTCTTAAAAGGAAGAACGTACGTGAGACCGAGGTGTCCAAACTTCTCCTTGAGGGCGGCGACAAACTTGTGCCTGACCTTGGCCTCCTTGTCAAAGGCCTCGAAGTCGTTGCGCTCCTGGGTGCTGGCGTTCCTGCCGACGGGGCTGACGTTGATCATGCCGTTGCGGAACTCGACAAAGGTGCCCCTCTTGACGGGGATGTCGAGGTCGGCGATGTAGTGCAGGCAGAAGTTGACGAGCTCCTTGTACTGGGGCTCGCCGATCCAGCGGATGAAGCTGTTGGAGGCGAGGGGCTGGCCGAGCTTGTACGCCGTCAGGCCGTTCTCGGCGAAGCAGAAGTCGAAGAGGGAGGTGACGGGGGCGCCGGCGGGCTTGCCGAGCTGCTCCTCCTGCTTGACGAGGTCGGAGCCGCCGACGAAGCCGATGGCGCACTTTTGGCGGAGGGACTGCAGGAGGGCGAGGATTTCGGGGGAGGCGTCCTGATGGGTTAGAGCCATGTGTTAGTGAGGGATGGGATTCAAGGGAGATGGACACGATTGGGAGAACAAGGGGGAAACAGAAGATGGGAATCACCCATCGGCGAGAGTTGGGAGGGCTTGGCTTACAAGACGAGCAGGAGTCAAGGTGCCGTCGACGTCGAAGAGGCAGATGGTGTCCTTGAGGGGACGCTCCTCCAGAGGGGGGTAAGTCGGGACAGACATGGCGGGCAATTGAAGCTGATTATGAAGTGACAAGTATAAAGAGATGGACAGAGGCAACAAGGCTAATTGGAGAGAGAAGAGAGGAGGGGGGGGGGGGGGGATATATGTAAATCTGGAAGAAAAAGACAACAAGACTCAAGTTGTCCAGAAGTTCGTGAAGGTTACAAGTGGGATGTTGCACCTGAGGGGTCAGAATCGCCGGGCGGTCAAGACAAAATGCATACTCCCATTGGCCACAGCTCGTGTTAGTGCGCAGGCGCTATTGGATGCGCTGCCTGTGTCCCCTGTGCTAACTGTATTTACAGGCGATCTTTCCACTGGGCTGGAACCTCACAGGGGGGCAGTGCATCGAGTGTGACTGAGAGGACCCTACTTAGAAATGAAATGAAATGACATGTGGTGATGAGCCACTAATTTCAGCATACGAGCCACGTTTCAGTAATTTTTCAAAGACCGAGAGAGAATAGGATACTGGGCAGTCATTCATTGGCAAAGACGTCCATGGATCAATTGATCAGGTGTTGTTTTAGAAATGAAGGGCATACACAGCCTCTGTCTGGAGTAAATGGGATGACGAGTCGATGCAACTCCAAGTTGAATCTGCGTCACCCTAGAATCCAATCCTTAACACCAGAGGTTTGCGAGCGCATACAGATCAAGCATCAAGATTGACTACAAGATTGATTGCATGTGGCAGTGGCATACTTTCAATAGCACTATATATGTTGCTGCTGGTATCTAAACTATTCAAATCGCTATTCCATATATGTAGTCAGCTGCTTCCATCAAAACAAAAAACAGTGATTCAAAGAACCGTACTTCAAGTAGAGATGCTTCAAAGCTTATGCTCGCAATGATGCATCAAGTCCATATCCCCGTCCGTGGCGTCATTCTCCCAAACGTCGTAACCTCGTACACGCATAACAATATATGCCTAGCAATACTTCGTAAACACTCCTTCCTCGCGTTGATCAATCAAAATCCCCAAGCGCACCCGTGACTTCAACAACCACGTTGGCAATCGTGCTGGCTGACCAGATGGCGATCAGTGCCCAGCCGATTCTGCGACTTAAAATCCACTTGTTCAGAGGCACGGCTATCAGCAGCCCGACGAGGATCACGAGCAGCGTGATGGACGAAATCATCAGGGTGCCCCCGATCTGAATCCGATACGGCTGGTACGCGTAATCATCCCCGGGATGCTTGTGCTTATGGCGGTTTGCGTCTTCAACCATCATTAATACACCGCCCACGCCAATGCCAAGCAGGATGTTGAGCATTGGCCCTCCAAAGCAGGCAGACCTGTAGCAAACAATCTCAGTCAGCAACAGGAAGCAGAGGGAGAAAGAAGAGGTGAACTTGTTGCAACTTACAATGCCATGACGGGGTACCCAAGTCGAGCCACCGTGATATCAGCTACCAGATCACCCACACTGTTGCCGGCCGCAAAGATGGTGAGGCCAAGCAAAGCCTCGGAGATACCCAAGACAACGCCAAACGCTTTCAAAACACCCACAACCTCGCCCGCCACAGTCGATATCCAGGCAATGCTGATGACGAATCCCAAGAAGCAGAACAAAAAGTGGCTGTCAGGTCGCTTCTGCTCCGAAGTAAGCATAAGCAAGGCCGCCAGCAGAATCAGCGACCCAAGAAGCGTCCACAGAATCATGCGCACCAGCGTGCCCTTGGGGTCCTCCCACTCTTCCGAGAGGTTTGCCCAGACAATGAAGACGACGAAAAGGGGCCCGGTGAAGAACTGGAGGCAGACAAGCCAGCGGTTCCATCCCAGCTTCTCCTGGCTTCCTTGGCTAATAGATCGAACTTCGGATAGGGGCTTGGGCGCGCCAGGCTCATGGGTCCGAGGAGATACACCCACAGCGTCCTCATTCGGCAGTTCCAGAAGCGGTGTTCGAATACTTCCAGTCATGGCATCGCTATTTCGGCGTTGCATCGAGTATCTCCGGAAACGCTCCCATTCATTCTCGGGTTCGATCTCGCCTGGCTGAATCGATATGGGCGGAGCTGTGTGTCCAATCCCATGATGACCGGAATGGTAGGAAACGCCATCGTCCATAGACTCAAAGTCCCCGGACGTCTCTGACTCAACAACCGGGAGCGTTATGACCAAAAGAAAGATGCTTGGTACCGATATGACGCTGATGAGCTTATCCCACAATGCCTTTTCTTTCCACCCTTGCAATGTCGGGAATAGGGTAGCAAGGAGAACGTGCGGTGCGGGGAGAAACGAGTATGGCCACCATCGAACCGGCCGCGAGGCAGCCTCCGTACTGTTCAGAGCGGCGAATGGGCTCTCACGTACGGTAGCGGAAGGCGGTAGCGCGCTGAATCCAACCTGCTCCGGCTGCGTATTTGGCGACATGGGCATAGGGGAGTCACTATACTGAGGAAACGGCAAGACGGGCGATGTTGTACTACTGAGGCTGCCGCGTCGACTCGGTATCTGCAGCTGAAGACGAGGCGTGGGGGTTTCCGTGATCGGTTGCAGATGATGACTACCAGCGGCAGCCCCTATCATGTCGATAGGAGGGGGGGCCAGTTTGCCGTCGATCTGGTACGATGGTGCAGGGCTCGCCGTCCTTTGGCTGCCAGCACCGTCGTATGGGGGAGCCAGGCTGGAATCAGAATCGTCTTGCACAGAAATCAGCAGGTCGTCGGGTACAGATGACGAGACTGGCGCAGTTCCGTGCGACCTGGCTCTCTCTCTCCCGCTGGCGGTTGTGGCGTCATAGGTTGAAGCATGTCGTTGCATGGCAGGTACTATCTCAGAGAGGGCGCTCGTGCTACCTCTCCGCCCTCTGTAGACGTGATTTTCGGAATAGCTCCTGGCTGGGATAGGTGAGAGCTGAAGGTTGCTCTCCCGCTGCAAATGTGCCAGGGCAGACCTGAACTCCAATGCTCCTATCAGACTGGGTCGAATCGGCGTGATTGTGTTTCGCCGCTTCCCCTGAGGACGCAGGATTCGCATGCTTCGTGTCACCTCCGCCGCAACCATTCGTTCATGGTCTTCGTCCGGTTCTCCGCTGTCCTCGCTCATGGGCGTCTCAGCTGCCTGACCATCAACCTCGATGATCGGGCCGCGCTCCAGCGCCGAAAGGATGCTATCCCCAATTGTGCTTGGCGCATGTCTCTCTGGCTCTTGGCTCACTTCGTCGGGCTCGTCTCGGTAGGGCTCGCCAGCCAGCTCATCGCCGCTGTGACCAGTCAGTCCGTAGAAGTGGCTGCGTGCCTCTCCTTCTCTGCGCAGCAAACGCTTCCTCCTTGTTGTATACCAATGCCATCCAACAACAGTGACGACGTAGAGAAGGTAATATCCAATCATGGCGCAACACTCCCAAAATCGCAGCGATCCGTCGGCCAAGAACCCCATAGTAAAGGCGACCGCAACGATGAAGAAGCATATATCCCTGGCATAAGTCCGACGGTCCACTCGAAATTCTCGGACCAGCGCCATGGAACCCGCCACGACGCCCGTGATGAAGCAGGCAGCGCCGATGAGCTCGCCGACAGCCATGCTCGCGCTGTTGGACCTCATGGCTGCAAAGGTGCTGAAGACATCGGGGGAGCCATTGCCAAAGGCGAGGAACGTGACGCCGGCAAGACTTTCGCTCAGGCCCAGGATGGTCGCAATCGTGCTAAGGTTGACGCTGAAGAAGTCGCTCGCCGCGATGCCGATCGTGGTAAACAAGAGCCCCAACCACGATACCAGCAGGACAAAGGCAACGGGCTGCGCTTTGCCCAGCTTGCAATAGTAGAGCTGGAGGTAGGGAACAAGTCCGGCATTCTCATCGGCGCAGTAAGCCAGGACAAAGGCGCACTTGTCTTTGGCAGTGTGCACCTGGCGACACTCGTGCTTGTTCTTGGAGCGTCTGAGCAGCTCCAAGCCATCGTGGCTCTGTTCCAAGTATTGGTGATGATGCTGTCTTTGTGACGTTGTTGCCCAGAAAGAGTACGCGGCCAACACCGACATCAGCAGGACCGTGGTGTAGAAAGGCCGGGAGCTCAAACGGCCCCGTCTGGCGTTTGTTGTCCGCATGCTGGTCGCATCGACATGTCGCAGGCCTGCGTCGAGGGAGTTGCTCGAGGAGAGTTGAGGGCTCTGGCCTTGATAATGGACGAGCACGAGCGTCTCATCGGTTGTGGGCTGCTGCGATATGAGAGTGGAATGACGACGATGCGCCCCAGAAGCCCGATTACGTTAGGCAATTGTGGCTGTGCGTGGGACCTTTTTCTGAGCTCCGGGGAAGATAAGCGGGCTCGCGTGGCAGCCTTGATTGTGGCTGATAAGGTACCCGCAAGGTACAGGCGCCAGTACGGCGTTTGCCTGCAGATGGAACTTGGAGGTGCGTGAATGACCTTTAGCTGCAAGGCCACCCTCTTCCACGTACCTAATGCCGTGATTCCGTAATTCCTTTCTTCCCTCTTTTTTCCATAAGGTATTCAGAGCTAGGCAAGCATCGCGATAACCAATACACACAGATGTAGCCCACGCCAGTGGCAACATTGTCCCATTGAGTTCTGACCGAGTTGCTCGCTCTCAGGTACTTTTCTGTACCTTTCTCCATCCTGAAGCGGTACCTCAATCTCAGCCAAGCGTGGCGCGTGGCGCAAGTGGCTTTCCCACTCTCGCAATCTGGTTGGCTCCTAACAGAGGGGTGCGGCACACAAGTGTGGCTGGTGCGGAGTGTTACCCGTTTCGTGTTTACCTAGAAAGTCAACAGTAAACAAAAATCAAGGACAGAGTCGACACGCGGCAGAGGCTTTGCCTCGCATACCCAAGAACAAACCCTATACGTCCGGCACGCAAAAGGGCCGTTTACCGCAATGCCTCGAGTTGCTCAGGTGCCACGCGCCGGTGGCGTCAAGCCGTCGTCAGCGTCCTCGCCGTACAACTCGCCCATCAAGTGAGCATCACGAAGCCCAAACAAACCCCCCTCACGACAGCACTTACTGATGCGAACAATGCACGACAGGATCCCCCTCAACGACGATGCGCAAGAAAAGGGCCAGCGGATGAACAATAGGAAAGCTCTTCAAGAAAAGCAGATAAACGAGATCAAGAGGGCGGCCACCCCGCGCAAGAGCATAGCGCGACTGGAAGATCTCGACAATGCTTCGCAAAGCCCCTATAATGGCACGCCTAGGGGGGGCAGGGGGTTGGTGGACGACGAGGACCCCATCATGGTCGGAGGAGTATCGGTGACGCCTATGAAGCGTGTTCCCCTTCTGGCCAACTTTGAGGAGTGGATGAAGATGGCCACCGACAACAAGATCAACGCCACCAACTCGTGGAACTTTGCCCTCATCGACTACTTCCACGACATGTCCCTGCTCAAGGAAGGCGACGGTGTCAACTTTCAGAAAGCGAGTTGCACGCTGGATGGCTGTGTCAAGATCTACACAAATCGAATCGACAGCGTCGCAACCGAGACGGGCAAGCTGCTGAGCGGTCTCGCAGACAGCAACAACAAGAAGAAAGATCGCGATGCCGAAGACGGGGCTGCCGAAGGCGAAGAGAGTGAGGAAGAGGTTGACGAAAATGGCAACGTCAAGAAGAAGACGAAGAAGAAGGTACAGAGGTCGTCTGAAGCAACACTAGCGCCATCGTTTGCCTCCCTACAGCTCAAGAAATTCGAACTCGAATTTGCCGTCGATCCCCTTTTCAAAAAGGCCTCCGCCGACTTCGACGAGGGAGGTGCCAAGGGTCTACTGCTCAATCATCTCATGATTGACTCCCAGGGCCGCATTGTCTTCGACAGCAGCGATGATGCTGGTGATGCGGACGACAAGAAGAGAGAGGGACAGCTGGATGAAGATGGAAACGAGGAAGACGACGAAGAAAACGTGCAGAGTCAGCTGGAGAAGGACAGGGCTCACCATCACGATGAAGACGGAGATCAGGAGATGATGGATGTGGATGTCGATATGGATGCCGACGCCGACGCTAACGCCAACGCCGATGTTGATGCCACCGACGACGTAAAGATCGACGTTGCAGCTCTCGCCCAACGATTCTTCCCTGATCTGAGTCTGCTAGACGAACTCGATATCTGCCCGTCACTGAAGAGTTTTGAACTGGGAGATCCCTCCGGCTCCATGGACATCCCCTTCCTCAAGGCTCCGGAAGACTGGAGAGAGCAGGACAAGGACAAGAGCTTCGGCGCTCGGGGTGATAAGTCTGGCATGTTTATCGACGAAGATGCACCAGCCGGCTTTGATGACGACGACCTGGGCCTAGGCAACTTTGATGCCACCGGTGACGTCGCTTTCGGTGAGGGTGGTGAGGCCTGGGCTCGTGAGGCTGCTCTCGAGCCTCAGATGCGTGTGTATGACGCCGGTCTAGATGGTGGTGAAGGCGGAGACGGAGATGGAGAGGGCTTTGATGAAAACGGCGAATATATCGTGTCCATGGGCAACTCACAGAATGCAGACAAGGTGCATCAGGACATATTGAGCTTTTTCGACCAGGCGTTACAGAAGAACTGGGCCAGTGCTGAGCACTGGAGGATTCGCAAGATCAAAGACACTAACAAACCAGCCGGAGAGACGAAGAAGCGCAAAGAGAAGGAGCCTTTTGAGATTGATTTCAATGCGCCTCTGAGTGCCAGTCAGTCCGACGTCATCTACACTCAAGCCACCAGCAACTCGGCGGTCTGTATGCCCAAGAAGGACTGGAAGTCAAAATCTCGAAATCTGCTTCCTGACGATAAGCATTTCACCTCAAAAGTCTTGCTGAACCTCTTCCTCAAGCCCAAGTCACGCCTGGCTCAGAGGCGGGCAGGATTTGGTGCACGCACGGGTGGCCAAGGCCACGGCGCCCAGGACAACAATCGCCAACCGGCAGGAGAACTGGACGAGGCGTTTTGGGCACAGCAGAAGGCCCCAGAGGATGCTGCCCTGGTTGATGGCGATTACGACGCCGACTTCTTCCAGGATGATGGTCTGCCGTTCCCAGGCGGGGATGACGCAGACGACGATGACCTCGAGTTTTCAGACGCCCGAGAGCATCTGTCACCTGGAGCTGAGGGGGATGTGGGCATGACAGAAGGCATTGGAATGACGGCCTTGCTGAACGGAGAGACCATGAATACCATGGGCGCCTTTGGCACGACACTCATCACCCAAACACGCCGTGTGCGTCCCGAATACGTCCAGTATGCCAGGGTCGCCAAGAAGGTGGACGTGCGCCGCCTCAAGGAGAACCTTTGGAAGGGCCTGGAAGAGTTGGAGGTATGTACTTTGTCATCTGAGCTCCTTTATCCACCAGTTTGCTAACCACTAGATCACACAGAAACCTGCCGAGCAGCCGCTGTCAGCCTCCCCCGGGCGGATATCGTCGCCGCCAAGCTCAGGGGAGGAGCCTACGCTCAAGTTCACCGAGGTGATGAATTCGCTGCAATCGGTGTACCCCAAGCCTGTCATGGCGGATATCTCCACCTCATATTGCTTCATCTGCCTGCTGCATCTGGCCAACGAAAAGGGGCTTGTGATTGAGAATACGGAGGGACTGAATGAGCTGGAGATTCGAAGAGACTGGACGGCGGAGATCACAGAAGGCGCCGTGTAGATTTGGCAGTTACCTCAAAGACGATGGCTCACAGCTTCTAATGAGTTATATGATGAATGACTTTCCTGGTTGCCGCCCCTTTTTGTTATCGGTGCCCAACTTTCCTCCGCATTGCCAGGTCTTGAAGATGCAGCAAAAGAGCAAAGACGATGATGGGATACCTGCGTAAAGTACCTAATAGGTGTCTTATCAGGAGACAAGGTAAGGCTGCCTTTTTGCCTTACTGTTGGGGTAGGCGCTGTACTAGTATAAGCAGTGAAAGCTCCTGCCTCACATGATTGTACCTTCCCTACTACCTCGTGTCTGAACCTCTGATGACCTCAAGACTTGAATCAACCCATATCAACGCCTGTCCAAATGCCATCCCGTCTCTTAATACACAAACGACATGAAGAATGAAGAAGAAAAGAGCAGGAGATATGAGGGGGGGAAGAGGAAGCGAAAAGCAGGAAAAGAAGCGGGAGGGAGAAAGGGAAAACAAAAGGAAAGGCCATGGATGAGTATCGCCTCTACAATCCACAGCTCAACCGTGTACTAATGATGTCGTTATAGCCATATTCGATCTTTTTTCTTTCCACCAACACCAGCTTCCTATCATGAAGCAGCCCGTGGGGTATCTGAACGGAATTCCGAGGATGAGCAAGACGTCTGCCAAGGGCAGAACAAAGGCGACTGGGCAAGTTCTTTGCCTTCTCTGTAACAGCTCCATGCGATGACCACGGCCAACTAAGCACGTGGTCCTCAGCGGCAGACCGCTGCGAGTCTGCCAGTTTCTTCGACACTAGTTGATTCGACCAAAAGAAGGACTAGATTTGGCGCGGCTGGCCAACAATTTCGCCGGCTTTTAACAGAGCGTTCACCCCATCAAGCCCGTTAACGCTCATAGGAGAGGGAGGCGGCGGTTCGTTTGCTGGAGTCATCAGCACATCACCGTTGCTTGTTTCCTCGAATCTCATATTCTGAAAAGCCGAAGAAGCGGTCTGCAAGCCTTCAGCACCTCATGTTAGCTGCGTTTCTCCAAGGCTTAGGCATCTCGAGAGTTTTTTGTACCATATCCCTTGGGCCCCTGATATTCCAAGGACGGCCTCTTTTGCTCAATCGGACTGGCAACATAGTAGGACGTATACGAGGGCGTCTCGTCTATTCGCTGTGGTTGGCCTTCATCCGATAAAAGTGCATGGATTGGCATGTGGCCTGCGCTCAATCTACTACTCAAGCTGCTTGACGATGCCGTCGGTATACTGCTGCCAGCAGAAGACGGCTCGTGATGTAGGGGCGGCGGCCTTGAGTCGACTGGCCACGAGGGTGTTCCTTGGGATATGGACCGTCTGCCATGGTCAGCTGACGCCAGTCCATGCATGGGTCCGGAGTTGTTAGCCGCTGGGGCGCTCGGTTGACCTTGTCTATCAGCCAACAAATCGAGGACTGATGGCAAAACTTGCTGCGGCGTGTCCGCTGGGTGTTCCCTCTCCCTTCCTGCTGAGTATCGCCGCCGAGGGTGCGCTTCGCTCTGTGGGGGTATGTCGCCATTCGGTTGCGATAGCCCTGGATATGACCTAGAGCCCGTCGTGGTATGATGAGTTCCTGAAGGAGAGTGCATCGAGGTCGAGCTGTTATGTCGAAGGCTAGGGGGCTCGCGAGATTCGCTTTCACGCATTCTCTCGCTGCTACTTCCGCTACCACTCGCTGTGGAGGTCGAGCCGCGCATGGCTGTTCGTTTCGCAGTCTCTTGGTCTAAGTCGACAACAGGTCAGCTCCAGTTCCACCCCAAAGGACCGGTACTAATCATGAGTCATCACAGACCTCGCTTGAGTTTGGCTTGCTTCTCGTTGAAGTCTTGGAGATACTTCATGTACTCGTGATATTGCGGAGTCTGCTTGTAGAGCGCCATCTCTCGGTAGTAGCGCTCCTTATCCGCTCTCGCCTGTGCTTCATAATACTCTCTCTCTTGCAACGGGAGGTTTTGCCAATTGCCCCCTACGAGCTTGGCTATTGCTACGAAAGAGAGAGAGGGATCTTTCTTCAAGTCCTCCCTGAGCTCTACCTCGAGGGATCAGCCAAAGATTCTCTATTTGCCAACACAAAGGCAAGGGCGCAACAATGTTGGAACTCACTGTTTGAAAAGAGCACATAGGCGCTCATGGGGCGTGGGGGTGCGTTTTCGTCGGGCTAGAATTAAGGATATTAGCATACGCAAGCTTGCCAGGGGAGGCTCTTCGACCGGTTGAGATATACCTTGGGGTGTCGGCGGTATTTGCGTTTGGCGGTGCTGTTTCCGCCACTGCCAGTGTGGCAGGGGGCTTCTCTTTTCCTATGAGACCCGTCATGCTTTTCATCGTCGAAGGCAGCCTGTACCGACGATAATGAGATACTGGGGTCGATTCCCCTGGCGTTGGCTATTCGTCTTTGAAGTTTCTGAGGTTGTCTGCGGTTAGTACTTTCCTGACGGCCTTTGCAACTTGATACATACCCGCCTGTGACCGAGCTTGACTCCCAAAGCATCGCTGAAATTCTAGTTAGCCTTGCCGAGACCACACCACACGCTACCATGGCAATCTACCCACAGATCAGACTCTTGAATATCGAGGATGGTATCCCAAGTGTCGAAGCCATGCTCAACAAAGGCGCTGAGATACTGCGAGATGCCGAGCTCCTTGAAGATCTCCTCCAGCTCTCTGCTCGCTTGATTTGACGGCATTTTGGGCTGGTTATCAAAGTGTGCAGCTGAGGAGCCGGGATGCAAGGCGAGGTTGATACAACCACGTCTTTTCGAAACCGACGAATTGATGATGTGTATAGCCGTTTACCGAGGTCGAGGGCGGAACTTCTCGCAACCGGGGAAGAATACGGGCACGGGCTTGCTTGCCCAACCTAGCCCTTTCTCTGGACGGTGGCCGACGACCTCTGTTGAAGCGGCCTTTACTATGGCGTACGGCGTCGATCTGCGGCTTTCTCCAAGGAGGGGAAACACCTGGGCGTGGTGGCGCGTCGTGATTTCGCAAACGACGGGAAGCGGCTCTTCGTGGCACAGCAGATTTCTACCATCAACGGCCTGGATGGAGAGAATGTAACAGTTGCCCAATGGACAAACGATTCGTTCATCGATCAGTCCAAGATCGATGCCTCAATTCCAACCAGCCGGGACAATGAGCTGAGTGATGAAGATGGAACTTCTGGTCAATATGGTCAAGCAATGGGCTAATGCTCGTCGAGGACATGGGACTGTTTTGTCTGATGAACAAACTCGAACCTAGCACGCCCTTGACTGGTCACGAACGTGCAATTTGGGAGATTTGATATCAGGAAGAAAAGGCGAAAACTAAGCGAGCCTATATCAAACAAGCTTCGCCACCTTCTTTGGCAAAATCGAGCATCTCGATCTGCAGCAGCAGGGTTGTCAAGCGTACTGTATGTACGAGACACTGGAGTTGCTGGCCCAGATAATACTTGGCGCAGAAGAGAAAATTAAGGCCTCAGGGGTTTCTGAGCTTCTCCTGGAGACCGAAAACCAGAATTGATCACGGTCTATCAGCCTTGAGATGGTGCAGTCGAGGCGACTGCGAATGGCCAATGAATTTTCCAGGAAGGCGTCAGCGGAGAAGGCAGCGAGGTACGAAGTACGGGAATCGAGATTGGACGTTTCTCGGGATGGAAAGGACACAACCATGCCGGACACTCTCTCACGGCAGAGACAGATACATGGGACTGGTTGGTAGGTTTCGGTGGTGCTATGACGGACACTGCCTGTCAGCATCTCTTTGAACGGAATGGCAAGGTTTCAACACGCCCCGCGGCACTGTATGTCTGATGTACCCTTTTTCTCCCTCCTTCTCTGTCTCCTTCTAGCACCTCTGGGACCCAGATTTTAACGGAACGTTATCGAGCTTGGCTAGGGTAGTTGAGCAAATGGGGGGTGTAGGCAAAGAGATCCGGTTTTGGGGGGACGAGATTGTTATGGGGGAAAAGGAAACCGAGAAGGAGAAAAGGTACTGGCCGCCTCATGCGAAAGATGGGAAACAGCACGGGGTTTTGGGATGACAAGAGAAAGGGAATGGGAGGGAGGGATTACTGGGGGCAAGATGGGTAGGGCATGGCAAGGGTAGGCGTGTCGCTATCACATCAGAGAAACCCGGCCTGTACTTTTACCCAGGCCGTCTGGACACCGACGACACGGTGATGGAAGGGGAGCGTTCTCGTTCGATTTGATCCAGGACCACAAAACGGATGGCTAGGGGAAATCGGCAGCGAAGTGAGGGATCGGACCTGGAAGCTTGGACGGACTCCACGAGCTAATACGGCAGGCAGACCAACGGGACGGGACCACAACGCCGTGATGTGTGCTGTGACTAACAGCCCTGATAACTGGGCGGACACCGAAAGGCTTTCGATGTACGAACGCTCTTGGACAAGGTAATAGGTGTGAGAGCAATTGCTTGTGTTGTTTTGGTTCTCACATGCTACTACGGTATTGTATGTGCAAGGTGAGGAAGAAAGATGACGATGATGTAACCCACACGAGATGTCAGATGGGCTCTTATTAGCTGGAAGCCCGTAATTAATGTGAATAGGGCCGAGACGCTTGGCTTCTTATCAAGATCTGGGAAACCTCAACGCATCACCGTCTTTGTCTCTCTAAAGATCAAGATTGCCTTGGTTTAGGATGCCGTCGTGGGGAGTCCCTTACACGCACAGGCCGCCACAACTTACAAGTACAACACAATACGAGCCTGAGTAGGGAGCGAAAGTCAGCCGTCGTTAGATTACAAGATTACAGAAACATGACGGAGGCTTGGAGCCCTTCCTTGGTCAAGCAGGACGGATCCACCGCAGGGAATTCCGCCTGAAACTGGCTACGAAATGCTCCGTTTCTCGTGCTTCAGATGAAGTTACTCATACGGCTAGGTGGTAACAAGTGCAACGGGCGACGCCACGAAAAAAGAAGATCTGCCACGTGTAATAGCCTGCCGCCCCATGGCAAGAATCAGCAGACGGGGTGGTTGTCCAAACGGTGGGCTGTACATACGTAGGTAGCACAAACGGTCAAGTGCAGTTGCATGGTAAGTCCAGCACCGGATTCCCCTTGGCCGTACATGCTACGCGAACGGCCCCATGAACTGTTGACAGCATGCAATAACGGGCGAAGTGAAGAGTGACGAGCAGAGCTGAAAAAAAAAAGAGCTAACGGATGAGTTTTCGAGGCAGGGGTTCGCAGGTATCAAGCCTCTTTGGCCTCTTTGGGACTCGGTTCGGGATCGTGGGTGCTGAACGTCCCAAGGATACGCCCCATGGGAAGAAGCTCTACGGGCCTTGGGGGTGCTTCTTCAGCCGCCACTGCTTATGATTAGCTGAGACGGAAACCGTACCTGTGCTTACTCGTACTTGTGCTCTTGGAAGGCGGGAATAGGGGGCAGAAGGAGGAGGGCTTGGAGGGAAACGGTGCTGGTTGCTGCAGCAGAATGCCTAGCAACGAGCGAGAAGTCGCATCGACATGGTTCAGACAGCTGGGGGAGCTCGACTAGCTCCGCTAACAAGGGCAAGGTTAAGTCGCCCTCCGCTTCTTAGAGCACAAGCCAGACGATTTCGGGCGACTGGCTGTCGTCGGGGTCACAGCATTGGTCCGGAGAGGGCAGCGATCTCGATCCCATTCAAGCTTCTGGGCTCGTGGCTTCAGGCCAGTGGATGGGCCTATGCAAGGGAAAAAGAGGGATGGGGCCAGGCACCGGGTGAGAAGTGAGAGCGGGCGAGTCGGTTGGGAGGCAAAAAAAAAAAAAGAAGAAAAGCGACAAGAAAGGTCGAAGAGCCGGCCTATCACAGCCGCAGTTGGGCGCTACGTCACAAACATGGACGGCCCGGAGGTGAATCTCCTTTGGAACTTTGGGTCCCCTCCCCATGCCGGCACTACGAGCGACTTAATCATGGGGGCTTGCTGGGAATCGAGGTCGACGCCTGGGAATCGGCTTGGGGTCACGCCACTATGCCTGTCTGGACGGGAGAGGACGAGGAGGAGGTCAGACACTCATCTTTTCCTCCTTACTTTGCGCCGCAGCTTTTGCTTCATTGACGTGCGCGGAGCTCAAGGTCCTGTTTTGCTGCACAGCCCGTTGCTTCTTTGTCGAACAGCGGACGGTTTGGAGCGGGCGAGGAGAAGATGGGATGGTGATGTGAAGCCAAGGAAGGCGAATTTGGGGACAGACCCCGGGTCGACAAAACGATGCTTTCGCGAGACAAGAAGATTGGCACGGGCCACAGGAGGACCGAGAGGGAAAGGTGAGAAAAAAGGAAAGGAAACGGTCGCCGGCAGTGTCTCATCTCGTACATCCGCCCAAGACAGAAAAGCAGCTTGTCGGGGGCGGTTTGCCAAATGGGGCAGCGATACGTGCCTTTCGTCTTTTTTTTCCAGCCACCTGAAACGGCGCGGCCATTGGACGTCGCTCAGTGCAATATGAGCTGGTGCTTATTGTTTGCTATCGAGATGGCGATGCTTGTACGCTGCGAGGCGTCATTCAAAGATTGCGCTCACAATTGGAGGGGAAGCGTGACGGGCATTTTGCAACCACGTCAAAAGCAGCGTCTCCCGCACAAACGAGACACGAATGGATGACAGGTCGCCTCACTGCAGCAGGGGGGAGAGAAGAGAAAGAATGGAAAAAAAGAGAGAGCTCCCTCTCCACCACCATGAGAGAAGAAAGAAGAAGAAGAAACAAGGGCCGGGCCAGCCCACTCAAACCTCGCAGTGCGACCCATTTTCCAAGGCCCGCACTTTACGAATGTGGACAATCCCGTTGATGAAATAGGACCAAAAATTGGGAGATCTCGATCCCATCCAACTGGTTCCCCTCCTTGGCTTTCCCCCGTCTGAATAGGGTCGCTCGGCCGGCCATCTTGGCTTTTTCGATTCTCGAGGCGCGTGGAGATCCAGGACGGCCGGGTTTCGATCAGCGGGCAGCCATGTGCTGGTTCCAAAACTGAAGTCGGGGGTTTATCTCTGTCAGATTCTGTACTGGCGTTGGCTTGTGTCGAGGACGAGTCACTCCGGGATCTGGGAGCCATCTTGTCAGTTGGAGCAAAGCCCGGTGCTCCACATCGGAGCCAGCTCCAGGGCCAGTGAGAAAAAGATTAGAAAGTGGTTTCGTTCGAACCATGATGTCAAAATGCTACCAAGACGGACCGTGTCTCGATTCAGCATTGGCTGTCAAATCCAGTCCTCTGTTAAGGGGTACGTCCTTGGTACAGTACGAGCACGGATTACTGGCGAAGCTACGATCAGCATCCCCCCATCCTTCTGTGCGGTGTTTTCCTCCGTCCGTGGGCCAAGGGCTGGTGCGAATCTGAGTTTCAGTTGATGATGCTCTCCTTGGATTGCGACATTCTGGACATTCATGCCTCGCTCATCTACGCTCGAACTCCTTCTCTGACATCCTTGTATGGGTAAGTTGATGAGAAGCTGCATGAGGGTCGGCCATTTCAGCTTCGACTATGTCGTTCATTCGGCCAATGGCGGCCGGCTGCGGGTTTTTAAGGATCTAGACCCCGTCGAACCCGCATGCATTGGGGAGGGAAGGGGTGGGAAGGGGGGCGTATTTTCGAAGTATCACAAGCGGCAGGACAGGGTGGCCAGCGGCGTTTTCATTACATAGTCGTCGAGGCTAAGCAGACTTGTGTGGGCTAGGGGACGTGGACGAGAGCTGGCACATAGTATGCCCAACAAAAGCCACCCGCGTGAGGAAGGATACCTACTACTAGGAGGATAACAACGAACGGAGAGAAAGAAAACGCTTCAATCAGCGCGGGCTTCATCGTACGAGATGTGGCCCAGTACCCGCGATGCGTGTGGTCCACGCAAGGAGCCTGCAGGTGATGCGGTGATTCGACTTTCCAGGGGTGGCTTCGGCAAGGCAAAAGCTTGGGAAACTTACTCGAGCTGGTGGTTCATACATGCGCGTCGACCACTTGCAGCCGCGAAAGGGGGGGCCTTGGGGGAGCTTGAGGGGGGGCAGGAAACTGACAGAAGCCCGCTCTGGTGAGGGAACGGAGTCGCCATCCAGTTGATCGACACACGATGGCACGTACTGGGTTTGTCTGGAGGAGTTATCGTATGTATCAATGTGATACATGTGCCGAGCTCAACTGCCCTGCTAATTTTAGTCTGATGCTTGGCCTTTGAAAGAGGCAGGACAAGACAAGACATACAAGACATACATTGATGCTGCACAGGCACACCGAGGCAAGCAGCCTGCAGGAGAGCAGCAAGTCTCAACCGCTACTGTACAGCACTCCTACATACTACTTGGAACTACCCAACCCCAAACTACTGCTACATACATGTACAGCACTAGCAGGATGCCCGGGGGAAGCTGTACTTTTCTCAACCATCCATGCTGCGGAACGGGCTTCCGTCTGCAAGCCGCCCCTCCGGTTTTAGGACAAGCTTTCATCGGCGGTTGGGCGCAAGAGCTGAAGGAAGCCGAGGTGTATCTTGAGTGTGAGTGTGCCTGATTTAACTGCGACTTGATCCCTGCTGGGGTTGGGTTGCTACCGGGGGACATGGGTATACGACCACCTTTGGTTGTTTTACATGGCACTTTGTGTGCATATGTAAGGAAGGCGTTCCTGGCTGGGCTTTGGATGGAAAACTACCTTACGGGCATGGGCTTGGGGATGTGATGTGTGACCGGTGAGTGTTCTGCCCGTCGATGCGGTCTTTGATATCAACTGGCTGGACGAAAGTAGATAACAGCGTGCAGCATCCGAGCTGTAAGGTCCATTCAACTAAGAATAGGAGAGACAAGGTGTTGGGTAAGGTACTCAGGTCTAGGTTGGTGTACAGATCGTTGTTAAGGTGCCTGATAGGTACATACAAGGTATGTACACACTTTTCGCGTACGAGCAGGTACTAATAATCCCTGGATCGAGAAGAGCGAAATGTCGAACCAAGATGCGATTCTTTTTTATTTTCCTCGTGATATAGTACCCAGAACATGATCAAAAGTGTAGATGTTGAATTCCTCCAAGTCGGGGTCTTACCAGCAAAGATTCCCATGGGTACCTTAAGGTTCAATGGGTACTATACAGTACAAAGGCGCGCTATCACGTGAGATGACTGCCAGTACGGAGGGAACATCTGCACTCCGTTTCGTTGGCCTTTTGGGAGGGAACAATTGAAGGTAAAGAAGGCGGTTGATTGCCCAGCCTTGCCAGCACGAAACACCTCTTTGACCTTTTGATACCTCTTTACTATTCGCCATCTTCATTTTAACACTTGCAACATTAACGGAGCCTTTGTTGGTTTGGCAAGATAGGAGTCGAACAGCAGCCCCATCCCTTGAGATATATAGGAAGCGGCAGAAACGACAACTATGGCTGCGTCATCGGACAGTCCATCGGGGGCCTCGTCGACTCAACAGCAGCACGAGGCTGGTGCTGGTGCTTCTGGTGCTCCTGAGGTTGATCTCGCTCAGGTATGTGTGTTGCCCGTTCATTCTAGAAACAACGATACCGAACTGCTTGAAGTCCCTGTTCTTCATCGTTTCTTCTACAAACTTTGGGTGCTGCGAGTGTTCATGTGCCTCCTCCATCTTTTGGTGTATCGGTGCTCGTTGTAGTTGCTGTCTCATCGGCCTTTTTTCCCCCTGTTTCTCCCTTTCTTTTCGACATCTCAGCTTTGTGATAGATTTGGCGTGTGTCCGGCGTTCTGAGCATCTTCGTTCTTCATATCATTTGCATTATACAAGAGCAGAGAGGAGTCGCTTTTACATATAAGAAACATGTGCATCAGCCTTATAAGCTCATGGCTAACCAGATACATATCATCCAGGCACTCAGAGATCTCGCTAGGTAAAGATGCGATACCTTCCATCTCCCCCGTCCACCAGTCCTCACCAAACCTACACATATCTCCCCCCCACCCCTTCTTTGCACTATCCATCATAATCCTCCAAGTGCTCCTTTATTCTTTCTCTAACAAGTCACGTTCTTCTCTCTCATACTACGCAATCTTTCCCCATCTGACCACCATCAAACCCCCCCCCCCCTTTCCATCCTATCTCATTCCCACCTCAATCACTTTAGTAAAGAAGATAAAAGCTCACCCTTCTTGATAAAGAGGCGAACAAGCCGCCACAGCAATGGAAGCAAATCTCACCAACCTCGAATCTAAACTCGACGCCCTCCTCGCCGCGTTTGAACCCCTCGAAGACGAGAAGAAGGGCGTAAAGAGCAGTACACTAAAGACGGGTGAGGAGGAGGAGAAGAAGTGAAGAAAGAAAAGAAGAAGAAAAACTCGGCGTTCCTCGTGCCTCCTTTTTGCCCTTTCTTATCATAACTTTTATGCGTTGCTTGTTCGGTGACTTCTTCCGCAGGCTTCGTTAAGGGGCTTGTCACGGAGACTACGTATAGACTTCAGAGACCTTGTCGAGGGGGGTCCACGGCGAATACGTATAGACTTAATCACAGTTCAGACGACTTTCTAGATGGACGGACTGAATTCTAAATCGACAAAGGGTAAACATTCATACCGTGAACTACAGTCAAGCAGGCATACATCGAATCAAGTTGCATCGAACATCAACCGTCATTCCAGATCACCGGCAGAGGCTTCACCATCAACATCAGACAAGCACCATCAGACAAGCACCATCAGACAAGCACCATCAGACAAGCACCATCAGACATGCCCATCAGACAAGCACCATCAGACAAGCACCATCAGACAAGCACCATCAGACAAGCACCATCAGACAAGCACCATCAGACAAGACATGATAGAACAGGGCAATCAAAGAACCTGAAACGAAAAAGCAAGCACTCTTTTCTCCTATCCACGTTCGTTGCATCCCATGTCTCCAATTTCAAGACCGCCACACCACCACCCCTTCTTTATCCATGTACATCTTCTTCTCCAGTCTTTCAGTCTCAAATCCACCATGCCATCAACGATCTCTGTGGAAAAGGCAGCTTGCATTTCTCGAGTGAATCATATAAGGAAAAGAAGGAGGGGAAAGGGAAAACATGCAAAGTCCACAGCCATCCCTTGCCCCCCGCACCAAATGATGGGAAAGACCAATCTCTTTCGCTATGCCATTTCGTCCAGGTAGTTTCCATAAACGCACTTCCATACTATTGCTACTGCAATAAGCCAGCGAGCCCCCCCTCCTTGATCCGATACTGATAAGAGATGAAAGTCCATGCAAATATAAAATTGAAACAAACGACAGGAGAGCAAACTGAGACGAACAGATACCATCAAATACAGTACACCAAAAGAAAGAGGAGAGCCATAGAGAAATTAGGGAATTTAATACTGAACCAAAGGCAAAAGGGACAAGACCGTTGCGTCTTTTTTTCTCGTCCAAGATGATAGCAACACCGTATTCGCCAGGTTGAAGATTGAAAAGGGGGAAGAGTAAAATGGACAACACCCCAGAACAGCAGTGATGCGGAAGAACACCATGGCCAAATGAGAAGAGCGCTGGAGGTCCGACGTGAGCAGCACGGAGACTCGCAAACGATGATGTGGCCTTCCCTGCTAGAGCAGCAGCGCGTGCGCGTAGGGCGTGATGCATGGCCCTCCCTTCTTTTCCCTGGGTGGAGATGCAGATAGGGTATACTTTGTCGTCAAACATAGCCCAGGGAAGTATGAAAAACTCGCATGGTCATAAGTTCATGTCAAGCGGCAGAACCGCAGACTCGATGGGACGCTCTCGAACTGGTATCGAGTGCCGCGACCCCATCGTTGACGGTGCCGATGCAAAGCAGCGTCATGCGCTCTTTCAACTCGAGAGGCTTCGTCGGTCGGCAAGTTCTTCGCGCGCTTTTGAGAAAGAATCCTCCTCCTCCATATTGTCCAGCTCTTCCATTAACTCAGCGCTGAAGCCGGTGATTTCCGTAAATCTCAGGCCAGCATTTGCTGCTGCTGCGTTTCGCGCCTCTTCCAGCGCCTTGCTGGTCGCCTTGGTGAGCGAGGGCCTGCTCTTCGTCATGGGCTCCCTGGTGGTGAAGGAGCGGCCCTCGAGGCCTGGGCGCAGCATGCCCCTTTCGCCGTCTATGCGTCCAGACGCCTTGGCCTCTGCCTGCAACGCCAGCTCTCGCTCACGGTTCTTCTCGAGCAGCGCACCTCCCAGGGTGGCACACTTGAGAATGGTCTGGATGAGCTGGTTTTGCTGCAGCGGCTTGGACAGATATTCGTCCATCTGGGCTTGGATGCACTTTTCGCGATCGCCCATCATGGCGTGCGCCGTGAGGGCGATGATGGGGGTCCTGTGCGTTCCCATGCCTCGTTCGTATTCGCGGATCTTGCCAGTGGCCTCGAATCCTCCCTGTCGAAAAGAGTTAGCTCCATAAGGCAGAGAGTCAAGTTGGGGTTAGTATGTCCACTCACCATGATGGGCATCTGCACGTCCATGAGAATCACATCAAACTTCTTCTGCTTCACAGCCTCGACAGCCTCCCAGCCATTGCCCACGACGGTGACAACATGGTGGTACTTTTCGAGAATTTTCACGGCCAGTTTCTGGTTGACAGTATTGTCTTCCGCAAGGAGAATCTCAAAGGACTTGGTAACGTCTGCAAGAGACGGCGTGGCCCTGTTCTCGAGGGCGGGGATCATGCCGTTGCTCAAGTCGATCAGCTTGCAGGGCATCGTCATGTAGGACGTGATGCCCAGGTCCAGACACGACTTGAGGCTGACGTGAACCACTGGAGCCAGCAAGACAATAGGAAGGTACTTAAAGTCATCTACCGCTCTCAATCTCCTAGCAGTATCAATTGAGTCAACGATGATGGCGTCGTACGGCAGAGCGCCGCCTTCCTTCAGGCGAGTGAGAGCCGAGCTCTTCTCGGAATTGACGACGACGGGGTGCAGGCCAATCTCTTCGAGCATTTCTCCAATGTGCGTGGCGGCGTTCGACTGGGACTTGTCGACGAAGAGAACCTGGTGGCCGCGGTACGGCTTCAGCTGCTGCTGGACGCTTTCGGCGTGCACGTCGGCCAGCTTCACGCGGCAGGTGAAGTGGAACTCGCTTCCCTTGCCCACCTCGCTGTTCACCCAGAGGTCTCCGCCCATGAGGTTGACGAATCGCTTCGAGATGGACAAGCCGAGACCGGTGCCACCAAACTTGCGAGTCATTGAGCCATCTGCCTGTTGGAAGGTGTCGAAGATGAGATTGAGCTTGTCCTTAGCAATGCCGATTCCGGTATCTTCGACGATGAACTCGATGGCATACTCGCCCGGTCCGACATGCCGCTTGTCTTCCTGCTCCTGGATGGTCAAGCTGACTTCGCCGTGCTCGGTGAACTTGATGGCGTTGCCGACGAGGTTCAGGATGATCTGCCTCAGACGGAAGGAGTCTCCGATGACATAGTCAGGCACGGAGCTGTCTACCTTATAGGTAAGATCAAGGAACTTCTCGTTGGCCTTGACCGCAAGGGTCTTTAGTGCGTTGAAGACGGTTCCTCGCAACGTATACGGGATCTCTTCAATCACCATTCGCCTAGCTTCAATCTTTGACAGATCCAGAATATCGTCAATGATGGTCAAGAGGCTGTTGGCAAGGTCGTTGACAATGTTGAGCATTTCTCGTTGGTATTGGGTCAGGTCGGTGTCCAGGGTGAGCTGCGTCATGCCGATGATACCGTTCATCGGAGTTCGAATCTCGTGCGACATGTTTGCGAGGAATTCGGACTTGGTCTTGTTGGCTAATTCGGCAGCCTCTCTGGCCTGTGTGTTCCTCTGGATACTGTCTCTGAGATTTGATATCATCTGGTTAATCTTTTTCTTGAGCTCGTCCATCTCGCCGGAGGCCTCCACGTCGACAAGCTTGGTGAAGTCCCCGTCGGTGGCCAGGTTAGTGATATCAGAGAAGGCGCGCACTTGAGTAGTCTACGGCAAGAGTTAGCACTTCAAGAGCTTTCCGGCTGGAGATGGAGGATTGCTTACCAAGTTGCTGGCCATGGTGTTGACATCAGTGGTAATTTCTTTCCAGCGTCCATTGAGTCCCGCCACGTCGGCTTGGGCCCCCATCTTGCCGTCGACACCGACATCTTTGGCGACTCGTTGGACTTCGTAGCAGAAGCTGGACAGACGCGAGACCATGTTATTGATGGTCTCTTTCAGCACCTTTATCTCACCCCTTGCCTCCACATCAATTGTCTGGCTCATGTCTCCGTTGGCAATTGCTTGCGTAACAGCCGAAATACTCCGCACCTGCATCAAAGTCAGCTACTGCGAATGCGTCGCCAGAAGAAAAGATGACGAGACATACCTGTACGGTGAGGTTCGAGGCCATGGTGTTGACGTTCTCGGTCAGGTCCTTCCACTTGCCCTCAACATTTGCCACCTGGGCCTGGCCACCAAGCGTACCATCCGTACCGACCTCTCGGGCCACTTTGCTCACTTCCACGGCGAACGTGCCCAGGCGGTCCACCATCTGATTGATGGTGTTCTTCAGCTCCATCATCTCTCCCTTGACCTCGACGCCAATCTTCTTGGTAAGATCGCCCCGGGCCACGGCGGTGGTGACCTTGGCAATCTCTCGCACCTGTGTCGTCAGGTTCATGGCCATGCCGTTGACATTCTCGGTAAGATCTCTCCATGTGCCCTCAACATCGTGGACCGTGGCCTGGCCACCCAGGCGACCCTCCGTTCCGACTTCTCTGGCAATCTTGGTGACTTCGCGAGCAAACTGCTGCAGCTGGTCAACCATGGAGTTGATGGTGGACTTGAGCTTGAACATCTCTCCCCGGCATTCGGCCTGGACTTTCTGCGTGAGGTCTCCCTTGGCGACGGCTGTGGTGACCTTGATAATGTCGCGCACTTGGGTCGTCAAATTGTTGGCCATGGCATTGACGTTGACAGTCAGATCATTCCACATGCCCTTGACGCCGCCAACGTCAGCTTGTCCACCCAGTATGCCTTCGGTTCCGACGTCTCTTGCTACGCGCGTGACTTCTGATGCAAACGTTCGGAGTTGGTCCACCATGGTGTTGATAGTCTGCTGGAGCTGCAGGATTTCTCCCTTTGCTGGTCGCTCAATCTTCTTGGTCAGATCGCCGTGAGCGACGGCTGTTGTGACGGAGGCAATTTCTCGCACTAGGAGTCATGTTAGATCAAAGCACATGCAATTTTGGAGGGTCGATCATGTATTTCGACCCGCGAGCCGTTGAAGGACAATCGAGGTGGGAAAAGAGGAGGGGAGCGGCGAAAAGGGAAGGAGTATCGTTTGCATACCTTGGTCTGTGAGATTCTGGGCCATTATGTTGACTATAGAAAGGAGTCACTGTCAGCTTCTTGAACACGACCATCGCAACATATACAGACAACCCAGCCAAAGTCCGACTAAAGGACATCGGGATAGGTAGGAGGAGCAGAGATAGGAAGATGGGGCCATACCATTGTCTGTCAACTCTTTCCACACGCCGTCTACACCACCAATTCGGGCTTGGCCGCCGAGCAGACCCTCGGTTCCGACCTCTCGGGCGACGCGGGACACCTCGCTGGCAAAGGTCTGCAGCTGGTCCATCATGGCGTTGATGGTACGCTTGAAGGTTGTGATTTCGGGGTCCATTTCGACGGAGTTCATGCGGACCTTCATGGTCAGGTCACCGCGGGCCACGGCCGTGACAATTTCGCCAATCTCTCGGAGGGCCTTTTGGAAGGCCTCGTTGGCTTTCTGATGCTTCCACAGCTCTCGCTCGAGCGTGGCTACCCGCTCCTGCTCGAGCATGGCCAGGGCACGCTCTTGAAGCTGCTTCTGTTCTAATAATTGGGCGTTAACGCCAGCAAGTTCCTGGCGTTGGCTGTCTAGGAGCTTGGACTGGTCGTCAACATGATCGCGCAGTCCTTGCAGCGCTTCCTTGGTCAGCTGGCGGGATACAAAAATCGGACTGTCCAAGCTACCTTGATGAGCCTGGGACAACCGTGGCTGGGGGGCCACAGGGGGCCGGCCGTTGACAGCAGGGTCAACATCATCGTTGAAGAGGGTATCATTGACTTCGTTGGGCGTCTCCGGGAAGACGGACGTGTTGGCCGAGGCGGACGCTCTGCTCTCCAGTTGAGAAATGCGTAGGGCGAGCTTCTCAAGCTCAATCTCCAGGGTCCGTTTTGCAGGGTTCTCACGGCCTGGTAGCTTGATGCTGGAGCCGGGCCCTATCAACGAGGAAGAGGCAGATGCAGACGCAGGGTCGCAGGCCAGGGAGGCGATGAGCTCTGCGGCAGCAGCGAGTGCTGCCGTATCTTCGATCATGCCGGGCGCTGGGGGGTTCCCCAGAGAGGGGAGAGAGAGAGGTAATATCGCGGAGGAGGCTGCGAAGCGGCGGGCGGAGAGGAGCAAGGGTGGCGAAGATGGAAGAATACAATGAGGAGAAGAGGAGGTTCAAGACGAAGAAGATGATAGTATTGTCGAGATTAGGATAAAGAAGAAAGAGTCGAAGATTTGTTAAAATCTCTAGGAGGAAGAGGCCCTGCTCTCTTGGTCGTCGACGGCGGGGAACAGCGGCAACTCGGCGGGCGAGGACGAGATCAAGGCGCCGGGATCTGGTAGTTTTCGGTCGGGTAAGCAATGAATCAAGGGCACAAGAGGCGGTAGTGCCAGAGTCATTCGATGGAGCGATGAGAGCAAAGGAGAGGCTTTTTGCAGAGCAGTGATTTTTTTTTTTTTTTCGACGGAGAGAGAGAGAGATGGCGAGAAGCAGATGTAGGTAGGTGGACAACAGAAAAGCAAGTAGAGCAGGGGGGGCGGAGCGCAGCAGCAGGGGACAGGGACAAGAACAAGAACAAGAACAAGCGCAAGAGGGCACACCTCTGCCTCTCTCTCTGCCGGTCCGGTTGAGCGTGTCGCGGCGATGCCAGGGAAAGCGATCACGGAAGAGGCGGCGAGGGCACAGGATAGTAGGCGGGCATGAGCGTGCAAAGGGGGGGGTTTTGCAGGAGTTGATTGTTGCAGGAAATACTAACGTTAGGAGATTGCAGAGTGTTGTTCGGGCTGCACCACCGCCCAGTGCAAAATGGTCCTCGAGGTGAGAGAGATGGAGGAGGAAGACTAGATCTGGGCGGACAGGGGAGGGACGGGTGGGAAGAGGAGGACTTGGAGCGAGGTACCACTGCAGTGGCAGAGGTACAGTATTCGCCGAAGCGTGAGCCCAGAGCCCGGCGCGCAGGTACCGCACGTGTACCTGTACCTGTGGCTGGCACAGCAGCGGCGGGAGGCGCTGGGCTTCTCTAGCGGTAGGGTCCTGTCGTAATGGCGCTGGAACGTGGGCGACCGCCACTAACAGGGCGGCTGCGCGTGAGCTGTGCCGTTTTGTGTTGGTGCTTGCGAGAACTTGAAGGGAGGGCAAATGGCGGGGAAGTACGAGGTACCCGGGCCTGACCAACCGGAGACGCCCTGCTGTGCCCGTCCGGGTTAGCGGTGCTGGGACATGGCCGTGAGGCGGCTGCTGGGCGACAAAGGCCTACAGCGATCGGCCTGTCTGTGCAGCTCAAGTGCGCTGGGACTGAGACGACGGATCTGTTGCTAATCTGCTTCGCTGGAGGTCTGGGGTGACGGATGGAGGTTTGGCGGGAGAGGACCCTGAGCCGGTCTGAGAACCCTGAGAGGGCAGCGCGCACCTGACAGATACGGGGCGGTGCTCTGTGCAGCAGAGCCGCAGCATACGGTAGCTGGTCTCTACGAGCTCCAAGGACTTGACGTCGCACAAGCTGCACTCGACAAGCTGTTGTGAGCACCCGTACGAGCACATAGCAGTAGCAGTAGCAGCAGTGTTATTACGCACGAGAACCGAAGCGATCGGGTACTGCGATACCTGGAGAATACCTCGAGGCACCATCCGCGGCACAGGAGCCGTGTGGCTGCTTTGGGGTGGCTTTCCCTTGCATGGAGATGACCTGTATCATCAGACAGGCCGCCTCGAGCACCAACTCGTACCTGGGCAATCATTTACAAGTAGTAGTGCGGGCAACTGGTTCAAATCCCCAGCACGAGGCTCTGTGTCTAGGATGAAGCTCCTGCAAGGATGGACTCATGCGTGTTGCAGGTTGATACTGAAAAAAAAAACCCCCCGTTGTTCTACATGCCCCAACATGACGGCCTGCTGTTATGCAGTGGGTTTGTGATCCTGGCCGTTTGACCTCGCCGGCACGTGGATTCCATGTCGTCTCTTCTTCCTTGCTTTTTTTCTCAGCCGCTTCCCTCTTCTGACATCAGGGCAGCGGACGGGAGAAGAATGAAGGGAAAATGAACAGATGCAGATCAGGAGGGCAAGATGGAGTGCAGGGCACGGCAGCCCAGATCGCACGCTGCAGCTCTTGATTTGCGTACAACTACCAGATGAGACGGAAACGCTACTACCCAAGCACCTAAAGAAAGATACAGCACAGCACAGCACGCACATGGTCTGATCTCTCTGTAGGTCCGTCCGTCGGTGTAAGCATAGGTGGACAGTACGGGATGAAAGTACAAGTACTCGGCCATACATACAACTACAGGCAGCATGTCCCGGCAAAGGCGAACGAAGCAAAGAGGCGGGGAGGCATTTGGAGCGAGAAAACACACTCCAACCGCTTTTGTCCAAGGCCTTGACAAGACAGCAGCACTACTGAGAGTCTAGACTAGCCAGACAGGGGGAGAAAAGCCCTTTTGCTACGACGAGTCGGTGCTAGCGAGTCGCTGAGCTGGTGGTCCTGCCCGGCCTGGACAGAGGCCAGACTCGCAAGCTGCTTTTTCGTGCTTCTCACCGTGGGAATACCGAACTGGAGCTTGCATGATCTTACTTGTCTAGTAAACTGCTACCTGAGTCGGAGCTGGCAGGTATAAGCCCGCAAAAAAAAGAAAAAAAGAAAAAAAGGATCTTTCCTCTCAGGCGAGCGAGCGAGTTTCCATCGAGCCTGATACGCCGCCTCGGTAGGTGGCGGTTAGAGTCCCATGCACACTTTGAATGGTGGTCCGGCATCCGTGCATGCGATGCGACTGCGGAGGTACGTGCTTGTATGTACATCAACGCCGCCTGCAACAACTTCAAGAAATATCTGGTTTGCCATGGGTTTCTGTTTCTGTTTCATGGGATTGCACGCCTCTCTTCTCCTTTTTTTTGCTTCTTGTCGTCTTCCATTTGGCTGCTCCAATTTGCCACCCGGACTAGCATGCCGGTGTGCATGGGTTTGTGAGGGACGGCGGCTCACGTCGCACCCCCGCTGGAGATTTTGCAGCGAAAAAAAAAAAAAAAAGAAGGGGGAAAATAAATCCAAGGCGAAAAGAAAACAAAACCCCGACAACAACTTGAAAGCTGTCGGATAAGATCCTTGGATCCCCTTCAGCCGCCCGTACATACAGACGGTGTGTGTCACTCGCACCGTAGCTGCGGAAGTACGTACATACATACATACATCTACACGTCCAGAGTTCCCAGATTTGCCATTGAGAAGCATTGGATCCCATCCATCTCCTCTTCTTGCTTGCAGCAGGTCTCTCCCTCCCTTGCTTCAGCCCAACCGGCCACGGAACTTGGGCCTGCTAATCAGGCGCCACGGTAGACGCCATGGCACGGGTCTAATGCCCGCGAGCTTTCCTTTTTCGCCGCTCCTTCGACGTCGGAGGCACGAGGCTCGTATTTTTGGCGTGAGGGGAGGGGGGCCTCGTCAGCCGTTGGAGGCGGTTTGCCGTGCGATCCCCTTGCTTGTATTGGCAATGTAGACAGACGAAGCTTTGGCCTTGAAGCTGCCTCTTTCTGTTTTCGTTCTTACGTGAGGCTTGCTTCAAACGTTGGTGACGGACATTTGACGATGCCGCTTAGGGAACTCTGTGACATGCTCGAGCTACGAAATACAAGGTCTAGGTAAGGCAGGGAGCCATTAGAGGTACGAATGTCTTTCAATAAGGCCGAGATTGTGTGTGCAGCTGCCTAAAGATTGCCCGCGGGCCGCAATCGCAAGCGCGGATAATACTACCTGCAAAGTTACTCGCACGAGCACGAATACAGACATGCTTTTCTGTGTATCCATCCTGGCATTGTTTTGAGAAGCGCCCCCCCGGACTCGAGGCCTTGTCTCCCCGACTTTTGTGGCTGTACGCCTAACAGAGTCCTAGGCTGGAGATGGGCTCCGATCTTCAGGGAAGAGGCTGTTTGGGAACGCACCAAGACGCTCGTGAGGCAGCAGCAGATCCCTTATAGCTGAAGCATCCCATAGGCTTGTGTGCTAACTTATCGAGAGGTGATTTGCACCATCACCAGTTGGGTTGAGAAGAGTAGACTACATGTACCTACCTTATGCTATCCAGTGCGAGTCCTTGTGATTCCCTCTGTTCAAAGTCATCTCCTCTTTGTACCTACCTTATTATGGCTCCCTCCTCGCCATCGTCGTTTATTACCCGAGCCTGCTTCTAGCCGTTTCAATGCAAGATCTTCAACGCCGTCAACGCCATGAGTTGCCCAAGATGATGCGTCTCCCCTCACATTCCATCATGGAAGACTTTGCTTTCCTACTACCAGCTGTCACTCTTTAAGAACATACCTACATGTGAATGAAACGAAGTCTTGCCTCCAGCAAACAGAATACGGATCTCAGTTGCTCAGCACTCCCTCTGTATTTCGTAGCGTAACACCTCGTGTGGAGAATCCACACCCAGCGCACAAGCCACAGACGTCACCGGCGGCCAGGTGCAAATCTACCTTAGTGGGCACCTTATACGGCTTTTGTCGCAACAGTACCTAATAAGGAGCAATAGCGGCTGCAGCGGAGAAGGAAATAAGACCCTTGATTTGTGTGAGAAAGCACGATACTATGTGGGTGCTCTTGTCTTCGTCTCGATATTTCTCTTTTTTCTCCCCTTGCCTTTTTTCTTTTCACATTGAATCGCAGGGACTTGAGGTGGATGAATGAGGAATAGCGCGCATTTGATTTGATGGGGATGACAGGGCTTTGACAGGCCGCTTTCTCTCTTCTCCTGCTGCTGCTGCTCACTCTCCAACTTGCCCTGCTTCCTTTTCCTGCTTGATTCTTTTTCTGCCTCTAGTGGACTTTGCAAGGCGGTCTGCAGGGTAGCAGCAGGAGAGTTCCAGACCCGAACCATCAGGCCCGAAAACCGGATTCCCCTCCAGCATTCTCTTCAAAATGCCTACAAAATCCCAGTCGAAGAAGCATGTTCCTTACTCGTAACGGTCAACCACTTCTCACGTGTCGTGGGTCCTTGTTCGCCATTGCCAAGCCCGCGGCGAAATGGAAAGGGTTCATAAACGTGCTGACTGATGAAAGATGATATGCCTATTGTAATAACAAAACCAAAGCAAAAAAAGAAAAAAACCCTCCCTTGCCCTGCGAAATAGCAAACCCCGTCGATCACCACCAAACGCAAGCAACTCAACTCATCCGCCCGTGTTTCACATAGACCCTAAGCAAATGACTGCCAGCCCTCTTTCCGGCCCCCCCAGACGGCCAGCGCTGATCAATGCGGGTTCCCGATTCCAAAGAAGACGATGAAAGAAAGCAAAAAGGTTGAAGGGCTGCCTCGAGAACCCCCCTGTGATGAATATCAACATCGAAGCCCATTTAGTATTCATCATTATTACCTACTGGGAACCTACCTGACTTCCCGAGCCTCCTCTAATAAGCTATGAGAAGTAATACTTACATATTGTCACCCCCGAGCCAAGTTCAAGTTGTCGAATGAAGCCGGAGTACTTCTTCCGCCGCTCTTCATGTGCCCTCTCCCGCATGTACAGCAGCGCATGCTGCCCTTGCACCCCTTGTCCCCCCAAGGCTAACGCCCAAAACGAAGAGCCCGAAGCAAGGACAAGGCCACCAAGAAAGGATACGTCAATGCCAGAAAAGACGCCACCAACTGCCATCCCCCGCCTGGACAGGGGTAGGTATTTGCTGCCCTTTTGTCTCCCTCTGCGTGTGTGCGTGTTGTGTTATCAGTATTTTTCCCCGTCAACTTTCCTCTTCGGATAGGGACAAAAAAGAAAGGAAAATGTTATCGTCTTCCTTACTTATTCACCCCCCTGGTCATCGAATTCCCGTCTACTTGCGCAGTACTTTGAACCTTTCCTTTTTTTTTTTTTTTTTTTTTTCCCTCGGGGCAAAATCACCGGTGAAGGCGGTGTCTTTTTCTTTTTCTTTTTTTTTTTCCTTTCCTGATGTGAGTGAGAATACCTGTTTTGCAGTTCGTCTTATCATAAAACGGCCTGGCCGGGAGCAGGCGAGAAACTATTACTACGGAGGCCTAGTAGAGACGCAACGTTCCGCATGACCCAAAGGACGGTGCAACTACTGGTATAGTAGTATTGCACCAATGCCCGTCCCTGGTTCCAATAGACGTCCAAGTGAAAAGGAAGGAAAACCGAAAACGTAGGTAGGCAAGGGAGAAGAGAAAATGTGACTGCGATATCGTCCAATCTAATCGTGAAACCCGCCACTCGCCAAGACCTTCTTTGCCTCTCTCTCCTCACATGCATATTCCCCCCCTTGTCCTCAAGTCTCTCTCAACACATCTCACATTCTCTCACCTACATTAGTAGTATAAAGCAGTAACACACACACCAACTACCTAAGCAGACGCCTTCATCCCCTCGTGTAACCCAAAGGACGGGCTCCCATCGCTATAGTGAACAAAGGAGAATACTGACATGTCCCCTTTGAGACAACGACCAAAACAACCAGCGCCCCCCAAAAAAAGCCATCCATGCCAAAAAGGCAGCCCCGTCCGCACGTTTTGCACCACAAGCCACCCAAGTAAAAAGTAAAGTAGTATCGAGGCAAAGTCGGCCATCCCACCGACTCGGTGAGAAAAACACCCTGGTCTCAATGGAACGGCACACACACACCCTGCAAGTTTCTTGTTCGTCGACGAACTCACAGAACAGGCAACGGCTTTTGCGCAAGAAGTGTGTGGTGTAGCAGCAGCAGCAGCCCAATGGGCAGCCATCCAACCATCGAGGCCGGGTTTCGGGGTTTCCTATGGCGAATGATGATGACCTTTTGCTCAGGGGTTTGTTTGCTATTAGCCATTTTGCAGTTTTGGACGGGTAGGACGTATCGTATATACGAAAGGATGTAAAGGCGTTCTACTATTGGGTGTGTGTTGTTGAGAGTCCTTGTTTCTGGGTTGGGTTTGCCGTGTGATGCTCAGGCACGGAATCCGTTTCCCATGGAGAGCGACATTCTGGGATCTAGAAACTACGCGATGAGCCATCTCAGGACGATATAACATCGCTTCCGCTTCTACTCAACAAACACCATACTAGCCTAGATAATCCTCTAAGAAGCAGGCATCACAAAAAGAAGCTGCCGTCACCACGCCTAAACACCATCGCTACGGCACTTCCCCCAAGGGCTTGAACCGGCAACCGGAACGCCCTCCCATTCGGCCTAACCGCCCCAATAGTCTCATGTGCAGATATACAAGTATTCTTGCCCAGGCAAAGTACTGGGTTCTGGCTTCATGCTTTCTCCCCCCTTTGCTCCCCCTGTCGTAAGCTTCCAACAGGGTGAAAAAGAAAAAACACCGTCAGTCTGCCACGATAACTCGTATTTTGTATGTGGTAAGCGGCGTTTGTTTTCTTTCCGGCCCTTGGACCTGCGTCGGGATCTTGGGCCTTGGGAACTGCACGGTAGTCCAAGTGAGAGAATCGGTGTGGGTTCCGGGCATTCGAGGATGGATATTGGGGAGAGATGCGATTCACTTTGTTCCGAGGTTCATCTTGAATGGCTCGGTAACAGTGATGAGAGAAGTGGCCGATGGTTTCCTGGACCCCTACCCTAGTAGCTCGTGCTGCATCATGGAAAGAGATGTGGAAGTGGTACTCGATCTTCATGTCAAATTCGTATTGCTAGCTGTCCTCGGAAGAAAAGTTAAGAATGCCTCAGGAACGAAAATGTCCACCCCAAGAAGAGAACATATGAACCAACCTGCAACAAGTGCCATGCTACGCCAACATGTGACAGAATGCAAACACACGCCCGCTCGAAGACCTTGCAAAAAAAAGGCAACACCATGTCAACTTCATGTGTTGCTGAAAAGAATCGAAAGTTCCTCGACATACTTCAACAAAATGGCTCCGCTCAAATCCAACATGCCGCATGAAAATAACACAAAGCCCAGAAAGAGCAAACCCAGATTCCAGTACATCCAAACAGAAAGAAGACACACAGAACCAGACAACAATCAGTTATCCTCGTACATCTTCATCAAGCTGGCCTTGATATGCGTAATCTGGCTGTTCAACACCTGCTCCTTATTCTCCAACGCCACGATCCGCTCCTGCAACCGCGCAATCTTGGTCTTCTTCTCGTTCACAGCCGCACGAGCAGAATCCCGGCCCATGGCAATCCCCTTGGTGCGTCGGGCAGACGTCTGGAGGATCTTGCGGACGGATTCCAAAACGGAGGGCTCAATGGACTGCTGCGTCTGGAGGAGACCCATGACTTGCTCCGTAACGTCGTCGTGGCCGCCACCATGTTCGTCGTCGTCATCCTCGTTCCGCTGAGTCGCCGTCATAATCGACGAAGAAAACGTGGGACCATTGTCCATGCTGCTCGGAGGCGAAGTCTGCGACGAGCTCTCGGCCTGCGACGACTGAGAGCCCCTGACGTGAGGCGTCCTGCTGGGCGTAGGGGGCTCCGGCTCTTCGAAAGACACAGTTTTCGTGCGCTTAGCAGTGCTACCCTGTGCCTGGGGGAAGAGCGTACGCGCGACGGGCTTGGACGAAGTGGCAAGGACGTCCTCTTCGCCCTCGGCAGCGGCGCTATGCTGTGCCTGGGGGAAGAGTTTGCGAGCAACGGGCTGGGACGAACTGGCGAGAATCTCCTCTTGGCCGTCTGCCGGGGCACCATGAATGTTGTAGGCCTGTTCGCGGAGGAACTTCTCGACGCTCCTATCCGTCATAGCGGCAAGCTGCCGCTCGTCATCCGAGTTCAACTCGTCGTCGTCATCGTCAAAGGCATCTTCAAACTTGCGCTTCAATCCACCGCTGGTCCCAGGAGTAAGAGGCTCATAGCCCCGATCAACAGCCCTCCCCTTCCCCTTGGCATCCCTCCCCTCAGTATCCCTCCTCTCCGCCTCCGGCTGCGACGAACTCATGGGCTCGGCAGCAGCACGCCCCGCGCCGTCGTCCCCGGCCTCCGTCTGCGAAAGGAGGCCGGGATCGCTGCCGCGCCGCCTGCCGAGGACCTGGAACCCAATGTCCGTGAGCCGCGTCTGCGTCAGGGAGGGCCCCGCCCGGGACGGGGTGTCGGGAGGGGCCTCGCCGGAGAGGCTGATCTCGCGCAGCCTCGCCTCCTCGAAGAAGAGGAAGAAGCCGCAGCCTTCGCTGGGAGGGAGGCGGCAGACCCAGAAGCCTTTGCCCTTGTTGGGGGTGTTGCTGGTGACGTTGCGCGCGACGGCTCTTGCACGCGGCGAGCAGTTGCCTGCGTTGTCAAGTTAGGTGAGTATGCGATCATGGCCCCCGTGTTTGTTCCCTTTTGAACGGGGAGGGGAGGAGAGTTGTATGTATGTATGAGGTTGGAAGTGAGGTTGAGGGGCGGTGTGGCGAAGGGTGTGAGAGAGAAGCAACGACAACGGAGAGAGAAACATACACCACCACTCGTTCCTATACCAAAGCCCCTTGAGCCTCCGCTTCTCAGATGACGGCGTCCCGGGGTAGACGTTCTGGTAGCGATTGCTCGAGGGCGTCGCCGTTGTTGCCATGGCGCATGTGAATGAGGTTCGAGGGCAAGACGGGAAGAGGATGGATATAGTAATAGTCGACAAGCAGTTTCAGCTCGGCCTTGCCTAGGGCTGAGCTGACTCCAAAAAGCTGTTCTCCCCGCACCACCGCAGAAACAGAAAAAAGGAGAATTCCCAAGAGACAAAAAGACAGTGGAAAATGACAAAACTGGTAACAGATAGAAAGATGGTCAGGTACACAAGCAGCCCTTTTTGACCACTGCCGTTCAGGTGGCCTCCACGTGGGAAAAGTCGAAGCTGAAGAGAGCTTCGAAAGTAGCGCTTTCAACCTAAACGCGGGAGGTTGGTTAGGTTTTTGACAGCTCTCCAGCTGGCGCTGTACTAAAATCGTAGCTGCCGCTGGGGGGGGATCAATGCAATTTTGAGCCACTTATAGCGCTTCGATAGTGAGGTGACAGCTCTCAACTGTCTATCTGCCTTTATACAACTGGAACTCCATAGTCAAGGTTCGTGTCTATTTACAGCATACACACGGATATCAATATGCCCAGGACATACCGTGTGTATGCTTCATCGACGGAAATCTTGATTCCATCAGCTGACCATCACGCATTCTTCAGGCGGAGCAGTACAAGTAAAACTTGTACTGGCAAGACTGGGTGCGGAATAGTGCCCGAGCTTTGGGGGCTGAACGCATCAAAGCGCTTCGCACCCTGTCGTGATTCGACACACATGCGCAAGAGCTGAACATCCTTTAACGCAACTCGCACCAACCAGGTCGTGAGCTTTGTCGCCGGGGGGGTTTTGGTTGTTCTCGCAGTTTTGATGGGTGAGTCTGCCTTGTCGGCGTTTTCTGTGCCGTCTTCTTTGTGTAACCGTTGCGGGAAGCGGGAGGTCTACCGTTTCCTGGCTGTAGGTTAATGCCTTACCTTTTGCCTTGCTTTTGCTTGAAGCACACCAAAGGAAATGTGCGCTGGAAGAAATACACCGTCGTAGATATGAGGAGGCAGGTAAACATTGCTCTCACTACTTAGGTATGCTCTGCTAACAATATTTGACGAGGTGGACATGACCTCATATCTATAGCTACCAGCCATGAAAGTAATATATGATGTAGAAAGCCATCGACTGGCCTCAGTATTGTACAAGAATCCCACTCATTTCTATCTCGTTTCTGTCCCACCCGCAATTCTATATACGACAGACAAGCGCCGTCTTGATCCGTCTCCCAGCCAGAAAACACCATCCATTTCTAAGAAACTCCCATCATCGTCACCACCCCTGCAGAAAAACCCCTCTCTTCCCCTCCCCCTCATTCTTCAGATCTGGTACCCGCATCTCGCAACCCATGGTCAGAAATGAAACCCAGCGGAACGTCTAAGCAGAAGACAGCTTCTCCGTGAGAAGCTTGTTCGTCGTCTTAAACACATCCTCGGGAGCGGGCGTGGCATCAACCTTGATGACCTTGCCCTGGCTCTCGTAGTAGTTCACAACAGGCATGCTCGTCTCGACAAAGGTGCGGAAGCGCTTGCGAATGCTCTCGGCATTGTCGTCCGTCCGGCCGCTCGTCTTGCCGCGCTCCAGCAGGCGCTCCTCCATCACCTTCTCGGGGCAGTCGAAGAACAGGACCAGCTTGGCGGGGCAGACGGCCTCCTCGAACTTGTGCGCCTGGTCCATCTTGCGCGGGAAGCCGTCGATCAGGAAGCGGCCCTTGGTGGTGCCCTTCTGGCGCAGCGCCTCGGTCATGGCGTTCTCGAGCAGCTTGATCGTCACCTCCATGGGCACGATCAGGCCGTCCTTGATGTAGTCCTTGATCAGCTGGCCGAACTGGGAGCCCGGTCGGTTCTGCTCCTCGCGCAGGAGGTCGCCGGCGGAGAGATGCGTGAAGCCCTGCTCGGCCACCAGACGAGCGCACTGCGTGCCCTTGCCGGCACCGGGGCCGCCGAGCACAAAGACGACAGTCACGTCAGCAGGGTCGAAGACGGGCTTGGTCTGAGAAAGCTGCGCAGCGGGCGCGGGGAGTTCGTTCGTCGGAGGCATCTCCTTATCTTCACGTAGGCAAAAAAAAGAAAGCAAATTCGTTAGCAATTTCATTCATTCAATCGATCCATTCCATCAAATGCACGCGCATGTTGTGCTCCGGAATCCGTGGCTCATGGAACTACCATCACTCACTTTTGACTCGAGTGTTTGCCAGTTGAATATAAGCCGCCGTACCCAGTCCGATAAGCGCAAGAAACGGCCAGAACTTGATGCTGTCGCCGCTGCCGGTGTTGCGAGGAGGCTCCGGGGAGTAGAAGCGCTGTTGTTGGAAGATGCGAGGCCTGCAAAGCGGTGACGAGCACGATGTTGCGCGTGTGGAGACGGACCTGCCCAAGGTGCGGTTGGCGAGGCGCAACGAGGTCGACATGCGGGAGGCCATTGGTTCGTTTTCCGAGGAGGGGGGTTTAATGGGCTGTCCTTGTGATTCTGATTGGAGGTGGTCGGATCCGGAGTAGGGCCAAAAGAGTTGTCCTGGTGGGCTGATTGCCAGCAGCTGGTGCGATGTCCAAAGGTGGGAATGAAGCCTGCGAAAGGATCAAGAGAATGAAGTCAAGTGGTGTCTCGCAAATGGAGATTAGCTATTAAAGGAGAGGAAGAAGAGAATGAAGAAGAAAGGAGAAGCGGAAAAGCCAATTGAACACCCGAGAAGCAGGAAGACGGCTGTGTATATGCGGGTGTATTACAATGCCCAAGAAGAACAGTAGGGGAGTCTATGCAAATGGATAGAATCGAGGCATCGACGACTTGGGACCCCTCCAAAATGCGAGGACGCGACATCACGTGATGCGCTCAGGGGGAAATGGGCTGTATCAACTCCTTACTATCGTCATATTAACTTGGCATATTAATAGCCTCGCATTGATCATGTACGAATGGGACGCCGATCTGCACAATCCTCCCCGTAGGGCAAGATATTTCGGTGTCAGATATCCTCTGGATATCGAGCCCATGTCTAGAGAAGCTCAGGCGAAAAGGCTGTTGTTCGTCCTTGTATAGCCGTCTGGTCACCTTCAACCAAGTACACCAATTCACCAAGCACTCCGATGCCTTCTCTTTTCAAGTGTTTTTTTTCGGATTCTATTTTACCGATAGCTTTTCCCCTCCTAGACTCGTAAAAAACTAGGAAAGTCTAACAAAAACATCATATGCTAAACCGGCTACGCCATTCGCAATATCCTCCGGCTCGTGATATCGGATTCCCAGCGATGTACTATTAACACAAACGATCAAATATCTCCCTCCCGTGCCAGAAACTCTCCCAGTCCCTTTTCAAAGTTTGCCTTTCTCCGTAGTTGAAGCTCGTCCCCGTTGGAAAAAGCCCTGGCCGTATCTTATTGTTCGATTCAGTTCCAATCAACAACTTTAGTCGTCGTTATCTGTCCTCTCGCGCTGCGGCTGTCTTCGTCGTCCGCCCTCTTGGCCTCCAACGTTGGCGTTGGCCAGCTTGCGCTCCAGCTCCTGAGCCTCGCGCAGCTTGGCAGCCTTTGCGTTAGCCTGCTCCTGCTGCAAAACGCCCAGGACGTTCTGCAGGGTTGATCGCCAGTGGTCGACACGGGTGGCCAGCTCCTGGTACTGCTTCTGTCCAAAGACGCGGTAGGTGACCTTGTGGACAAGGAACATTTGGCGCTGCTGTGACAGCTTGCCCTCGACGAGGCCGGCTCGGATGACGTCAATGGCCCAAATCTCAATGTCCTCCTGGGGAATCTGAAGCGCCTTGGTGATCTTGGCATACTCGACCTCGCGGCTGGGGGTGGCGGCGGCCAGGCTGGCAAAGGTCAGGAGCCTCATCTTGCGGTGCAGCTTCTCGCCGTCCAGCTTCTGCTCCTCGATCCAGCCCTTGTGCTCGTCGTTGAAGTCGTTGTAGTCCTCGAGGTCCTGCTCGGCAAAGATGTCGAGGAGCTGGGAGTAGACGGGGTGAGAGTCGCTGAGAGCCTGCACGCTGGGGATGGCGCGAAGGTCCTGGAAGAGGTAGTGGGTGTTGGAGGAAATGGCCATCTTGAGGGCGCGGAGAGACAGCCTCTGGGCGTCTTCGGAGGTGATTTCCTCGCCGTCGAAAGTTCGGAGGGCCTTCAGGATGAACTCGTAGGCGGTGCTAAAGAAAGAGTTTGCCCGTTAGTATACCATGAACATTTTGACCTATTGCCGAGACATAAAGCCCCCGCCTTGTTGGCGTCTTGAGCTCTTACTTTTCTACTCCAGACTCGAGGGCGACCTCAGCAACATCCTCGTAAATCTTCCTCGCCATCGCGGCATCCGTTCCCCATGACTCGATCCATTCCGGCAACTTGTCCAGGTAGCCCCGCAGGCCGTCAAACATGCCATGGGCCTTGAGGAACTTGAGAATCTGCTGGAAAACTCGCGCCCGCACGGGGTCGTTGGGCTCGAGCAGGTTGAAGACGGTGACGAGCGCGTTGAGCGCCAGGCCCGCGCCGTGGACGGGCGAGCCGATGAGCGGCTTGGACAGGTTCGCGCACAGCGTGGGCAGCAGCTTCTTGGGGTCGGACGACTGCATGGCCAGGTGGATCATCAGGTTGGACGCCGCGGTGAACTCCTTCTCCGGCACCGTGCTGAGGGCGCTCGACGCCGCGACCAGCTTTGACAGCACCTCCTCCTTGTCCGCCTCCTTGTCGCCGCTCAGGAGCTGCTTCGCCTCCTCCGCCTTGAGGTAGTCGGCCATCTCGCGCGCGAGATCCTCGAATGAGCCATCGACGAATAGCAGCTGCGGCTGCGGCTCGGTGGATGTGACGCCCGGCATTTTGTCTCGGTTTTTCTCGATTTTTTTTAGAGTCTTGGCTTCGTCGTTCCTCCAAATTCTCCGTCTAAATGCCGGAGAAAAAAATCGTCAAAGTCGATTCTCGCGGGTCCGTTTATGTCTCGCTTCGTCTCGACTCGTCCCGCTTCTCGGTTGACTGAACACCAAGATGCTCAGAATCTCGGCTTTGGTGATCCTGCGATCGACTGCTGGGACTGTCGGTTCCGGGTCGAGGAGGAGAGGCAAGCGGGGGCGTGGATGCAGGGCCGTTGGGCGTGGCAGAGGAACCGCAAAATCTGCTGAAGTTGAGCGTTTGGCTTTCTTTGGCAGGGTCGGCGCCTGAATAGCCCTGTGGTGGGGTCCCGCCGCCTCTCCTCCCTCCTTTCTCTGTGGTCAATCTCCAATCGGCCAGATGCCCACCCCGCCGATTTTTCTGCCGCTCTCAAAGTGTGGGAGCTAAGCGAGGGCGGTGACGCTGCACTGGTGCGGCCATGTGACACGGCACGTGCAGCATCAACGCGATGGTGATGAGCTTATGTAACCGTCTTCACCGAAGGGATGTTATTCCAAGTAACTGGACATGCCTTATTCAACCTGAATTCCTCATCCAGAGTTACCTTCAACAAGTGTCGTTACTGTTATTGTAATTGACCGCTATTAGAGATACTAAGTGCCTCGACAGAGCAAATCTTCCCTAGCCCAAGCGACCAGAAAGAACCCTTCCCAAGGCCTAGAGGAGGCAACTGGTCTCCTGGCGAAGCCCCCCTAAACAAGTTCATGTAGTCCGCAGATATCCCAACAAAAGAAAGAAAAAAGACAGCATAAAAGCAGGGGAATGGAAAGCGCAAAGGGCTCAAGGAAATGTAGTGAGGGAGATTGGAGAGAGATGATGAAAGCAAAGAAACAAAAAACAGGTCCCGGGCCCAGATCTGCCATACCAACCGACTCGCCAATTCTATATATACATGCAAAGAACTCTGACGGTTGACTGAAAACAACCAAGTCGAGCAGATGGAAAGCCGGCTGTTGCCAGTTGAAAAGTCGTCATTTCGTTTATTTGCCGTTTGGTTTCTCCGCTTCCTTCTTCTTAGCGATGTCGGCCGAAGGGTAGATGCTCCCAGTGTCATCGTCAAACAGCTGCTGGTCTCCCTTGCCGCCCATCTCCATGAATTCCTCAGGCGCTCGGTGGTGAGCCGGGCCGGCTTCGTGGGGAACATTCGCTTTGTGTTTGTTCTTAGAAAACACCTTGATGGGAGTTCCCTTGTTTCCGCCGTCTATCTCAGCAGCGACAGAAACGGAATTGAGCGACGCCAGTAGTGTTCTTTCCCGAACAGGAGCTCGGCGGTTGACCTCCAGTCCCCCAATGCCATCAACCAGCCCCCCGGTGCTATCATTCACAGCCGGTGCGTTGGCGTTAAGCCATGGATGTCTCAGGCACTGGTCGATCGTGAATCGACGCTCCGGGTCCACGATTAACATGGAATCAATCAAGTCGACTAGACATGACAGTTAGCCACCGGCTGCAAATGTTGGAGAAGCATAGACGGAAGCTGGAAGCGACGCAAACTTACGGGCTGGATCACCAACCGAGTCCCAGTACGGCGATGGATAATCGAAGCGTCCGCTCTTGATTTGCTGGGAGAGCGTAAAAGGAAAATCTCGCGAATAGAGCTCATCGGAAAAGGGCGGGAAACCGCAGAGGCAAATGTACAGCACAACGCCGAGCGACCAGATGTCGACGGCCTTGGTGTATTTCCGATGCTTTCCATCGGCTAGAATTTCGGGGGCGACATAGCTGGGAGTCCCGCAGAGCGTCGTTGTGAAGGATTCTTCTCCTATAATCTTTGCCAGTCCGAAATCGGCCAGCTTGACATGCAATTCCTGATCCACAAGGAGGATGTTCTCTGGCTTGATATCTCGGTGTACGATGTTACGATCATGCTACAGAAAGAAATGTTAGACGCGGAACAGTGACAAGGAGACAGTAAGGAGACAATGCTGAAAAACAGTGGGGGCCTTACCAGATACTTGACGCCTTGGAAGAGCTGGCGGAAAAGCTTTCTCGTCTCATCCTCGCTCAACTTCTGCTTCCGAACAATGTAGTTAAACAACTCGCCTTCCGGTGCCAGCTCGAGGACCAAGTAGACGTGGTCGCGCTCGGTAAAGGTATCCTTGAGACAGAGCACGTTGGGGTGGCTGACGCCCATGAGAACGCCAATTTCCTGCTGCAGGCCTTCCGTCTTGGACCTGTTGTCCTTGCCGGGATGCTGGGTGAAGATCTTGACGGCATATCGCTTGCCGGTCGACTTCTCTACGCACAGATAGACCTCTGCGAAATGGCCCTTGCCGAGCTTGTCCAAGAGCGTGTACTGTTGTGAAAACGCGCTCGTCTGCCGGCTCTGGGGGTATCTGAAGACAAATCTTGCTTTGCCGTGAACGGCGATCTCGTCCTGATCCTGCAGCTCGCGACGCTGGTTGCGCCCCACGAGGGCCTCGTTGACGTACGTTCCGTTGCTCGAGACATCCTCGACAACCGCTACGGTATCCGTCCCAACGTTTTCTGCGAAGATAAGGCAATGTCGGTTGGAGACGACTCCTTCGCTGACGACCACATCTGTCGACCTGTCATTAGCATTTCCCGATCTTGGTTATAAGTTTCAAAGCAGCCGGACATGACATCTTCCCAGGAATATCTTACCACACTCGGCGTGACGGCCGATGAGATATCCACCAGCTGCAACACCCTTCACTTTGGTCTTCTCATACGTCTCTTCATCCTTGACGGGCTTTGAATCCTTGCTCTTGCTCTTCTCCTTGCCATCCGCAACAGCTTCAACATCATTGGGAATGGGGCATGCGACGCGTTTCTTCAGCACCAGAGGCTTGTCGCCGTACTTGGGATCGAGGGGCACCAGATAGCCCCAGACGCCCTCCTTCAGCTCGTCAACAACGTCGTCAGACAGTGCCGGATGCCGGTCGATGAACTGACTCAGCGGCTGAGTGTCCTGCGGCGGCGATGACAGCGCCTGGCTCTGGCTCTGCCCTTCGAGCGTCTTTCGGGGCGTCAGCTCATCGGCCGTGGCGACGGGGGGCGTCGCGGTGTGCTCCTTGGGCAGCTCGGTCGAGCCCTCGGTGGCGTTGTTTGTGACGGGAGACGGCAGATGATGCTCGCGCGACACGGGCGTCTTGTCGGGATCGACCTGGGCCAGGCGGTCGGACCGGCGAGGCTTCTTGTTGTCGGTGCCTTCTTCTGGCAGCGAGCCCTGTGAGAGAAACGAGTCAGCGAGGCTGCCAATGGATCGCGAAGCTCGGTGGATTTGCCATCCGTCCACCCGCTGGAACGGGAATCATCGGGCGCCCTCGAGCGAGAGACGGGACGCCCCCAGAAGTGGACGAGTTAACGTACGCGAGGCCGCTTCAATTGGCTCTTTTCCGTGCGGTGCGCCATGGTCCGTCCGGGAGCGCTGATCGGGAGAAGCCCCTGAATGAGTCGGCTTCAGATGGTTCCTCAGGCGAGCGCTGACAAGGGGATTCACGGGCGGCGAGAAGAGTGACTGGACGGGCGATGCTGCCTACTATACCTTTGGCCGTGAATAATAAATCCAGGCGAGAAGGTGGAGAGAGGCCTGGTTCGTCGGCCCAGCAGTTAGCGTCACTGGACCCGCTACAAGGTACGAAAGTACGGCACACCTCCGAGTCACCGTCAGCACATGCTGTCTTGTCTGCTGCTTGTGGCCGAGACGCGGCGGTACCTGCGGGTACAAGATCCCACGGGGCGAAACGTCGGAAAGGAACGGCAGAGACGGCAGAGGAGGCGCACTCTTGCTGTACTGTCTTGGTTACAGCTTGTCGTCCGTTTTGGCAGTGGTGCCTGGGAGGACGATCAAATGCAACCTCGTTGCTTATGAGGAACCTTAAACTGTCACCGTGCGAGACTGTTATCCTGCATGTCTGAGGCTCATCTCACGCAAATACAGCTTTCAGGTGAAATGTTCACGTTGGATACAGCAGCTATACCACGGACAGCATCTCCCCTGGCCAAGAGCTATAATGCACATACCATGAGTTCCAGCTGCTGCTCGGTGTGACTTTCCAAGCTCCCTTTCGCCCCATTCACGGCTCCGTGCGTGCCCCGGCCAGCTGACTTACACCCAAGTCATGGGAGAGCAGTCCGGTGTCTGAGCTACGCCACCAAAGAGCTCTGCCATGGTGGCTGAAGCTGGGGACAACTCCCGTCTCCCTCCTACCCAAAAGCTCTATGTGCCGAATACTAAGATTCATCGTGATACCTGATCTCTCTCTTACTCGACATAGCAGAATTCCGTCAAGCTAGGTATGAACACACTGACCTCCCGCGATACTCACCTGCATCGTCCTGCCCGTAGCTTCATGTACCTCACACCTATTCCTCTAACCTAACACTACGTCCGTCTAATCGCCCTGCAAGGCTGCCTGGCCTGGTCTCCTTTGCTGCAGGTGATGTCGCCTTAGCTCTGCCCACTTTGTCGGGCCAGTCCAGTGCCGTCACCTGCAGGACTCACACAGCCCCTCCTCTTCTGTTCGTTGACTGGAAAGCTACGGGACGGTACCTGATAGGTACTGCTACCTAGTAGTTCCTAGACATTCTCTCTCTGGTTTCTTAGAGCGTACCATGTAGGTATGTGTGAAAATTGAGGCTATAGTTGCCTGACCGTTTATCGTGTGGCCTTTTCAACCTGCAGTTCCTCGCAAGTACAGCTGGTTACCTTCAGCACGTAAACTGAAGGGTTTCAAGGGCCCAGGGTCCAGTCACGATAACGGGGCACATGCCGTCATCGACAGAACTGCTTAGGTCACGCCTCGCCTTTACCCATGCCAATGTATATCCAGGCAGCATGCTCGGAATGTTGTAGAACTGCCATGAACTTGATTTCGAACAACATGGACGATACAGCCACAGTCATATTGCCACCGGTTATTACCAAGGTAGTACTCCTATTTCCATGTGAACAGCCGCAGTGTAGTCGAGAATCTCGCCCTCATCTCATTATCCGATACCTCAAGATGCTGATGCAGCATAAAGTATAGCATCTACCTAAACTTCAAGTCGTCTGCCATCTATCTCTGTATCTGTCTTTGTCCAGTCGCAACTATTGAAGCCAATAAAACCCCCCCAAAACCCCATCTCACGTTTCCATTAATCATTAATCACTAGTTTTCCTACTACCCAGCTCAAGTATACTTTCCAATATTACCTCCTCGTGGCCCTCTCGCCGGATTTCTCCAAACACTTGAAAGCCAATGTCGAATATGTTCCATCGTAACTCTGTCGGCTGTAGTAATTCATTGTATAACGGGCTCTCATCCCAAGTCGTCAAGCCACTGCTCCAATAACGCCAGGCCAGGTCAGCCCAATCCACCGCATCGCGCGCACTGCAACAGCCCGCCTCCCCCGTTTGAAAAGAAAAAAAGCTTGATGAGAATAATCATAAGAACGTCCCTCGTCAATAGCAAAACGTACATGTGCGAGAGCCGTGAATCAGTGGCTCACCCGAAGCTGCGGAGCCAATGCGCGTCGTACATCTGATAGCATAGCGTGAATCCCGCCAATCGATCCCAGAATTTGGGCTCCTATTTTTCCGGGATGGGCGACCTTGCCAGCCTCCCCCCTGCGCTCACTCGCTTCTGAAGGCGACCGTCCTTGTCTTTCAGGAGCCGGTCGGCCGAGCTGCTGCTGCTAGTAGGTAGCGACGGCACTGAATCGCCGCCGATGGAGAATCCCTTTCCTCTCTTTTGCTCGAAATACTGCTGCGCCCATCGTCCAAGCGGGAACGCAGGAAGTGACGATGGGATCTCCGCGCCGTTTTGGGTCAGCAGCTCTGCCACGGGGAAAGGTACCGGCTTGCTGTCAGAGTCCGCCGACGTCTGTCCGGGGATGGGAGATGGTGAGGCCGGGTCAGCGGCCGCAAGTGCCAACCACACGGCGTGTGTCCCTCTCATCTTGTCCACAACATTTGGGTTTGCTCCGAGGGCCAAGGCGTAGAGCACCTGCTGGATCTCGTTCTTCTTTATGGCGGCCAGCAATGTTTCGTCGGCTGTGGCGTATCGTGAAAGAGTAGGCGAAATGGGATCGACGAACGCGCGTTCCACGTATTTGGCAGTGATGTATCTCAGACGCTGCTCGCGGTTGGCTTGGGGCCCCAATTTCTGGGACTGGTCGAGTTTGGCTTCCCAAACCATGTTGGACACTCGGTTACCGATGAGCAGGAGCATTTCGACAATATCGACAGTGAAGGACTTGATATCCAAGGTGAGGGAGCGTATCTTGCTGACGTGCGTCCCCAAGGAGCGATGGATGCCACCGCATTCGATGCAAAGAATAATACCCAAGTTGATCGACACCCACTCGACCTTGACATCTGATCCACAGTCGGCGCAATAGCAGTTCCCCTGGTCGTGCTCGCGCAGTGTCTGCAATAGCTTGTCCGGGTGCTCATCGTAACTCGAACTCGGCGTCCGCACTGGGCTGGGCCGAGCGCCAACTGTTGTTCTGCGGAACGGAATTCCGCTATTTGCGTTGGAGTGATGCCCATGGTGCGAGCCATGGATAGACTGGACTTTACCGGTGAGAACGGAGCCAATGTCCCTCTTAAGAGAAGAGTCAGAGTCTCTTGAAGCCCCCTGCCGCCCCTGGTACGCTCGGCCCTCGACGGCGCTCTGCAGAGCATTGTTGATGGACAAGATCCAGCTGTTCATATCTTCTTCGGACGTTGCCTGGTACACACGCTTGAAGTTGGGCGTGATGACCTCGAAACAAAATCGCCGCTCGGCATTTCTGGCTTCGCGGACGGAAGCCATGCGCAGGTCAATGGGGTCCATGTGAAGATCCAACCTCTGCTTCCAATTGCTGTATTCTGAGAGTTTACCCTGATCAAGGACGATCCAAAATCTGTGCGCCGCGTTAGTGGGCATGCCCAAAGCGTCAGTCAACAGAGAGGCTGTTGTAAGACTTACTTGTGCCACCCCTGCTTGTTGAGGTTGCGAGGGTCAACATGTCCTCCCGGCCGGTTCAGAGCCCATAAAAGGCCTTCCTTTCTCTGTGATGAGTTTGATTGTAGGCTACCCTGGTCCTCGAGATCACGGAAGCCTTTGAACTTTGAGTTTTGGCTCGGGCTGCCGATGTTCGACGAGAGCCCGATATCCACGGGCATAGAAGCAGCTGCTGTCGTTTGCACGGCACCGCTCGAGTTTGAAGGCTTGAGCTGAGAGCCAGTGCTCTCTGCCCTTCCCAACTCGGTGTCCGAGGTATGGGCTGTGCTGTTGTTCGAGTTTGCTATAATGGGCGCGGCGCTACTGAGGCTGCTTTGCTCTGGTTCCATATACGGCATGTTGCTCTTCTCTAGTTGGCGTCGCTTCTCCTCGCGCTCCCTTCGCTGGTATTGGTACTCTTTGTCCGCCTCCTGAACCTCGTTCGCCAAGGCTACAAGCTGCGGGCGAAGGGCCTCAATCTTCTGCGCAGTGGATAAGAACGCACCCGCCTGTGCGTCAGCGTACTTTGTAAGGTGGGACAATACTTCCTGGTCTTTGCGACCACCGTGGAGGTCTTGTACAAAGCTTGAGTAGTCGAAGCGCTTGAGCTCGAAGTTTCGCCGCTTGGTCTGATACTTGGAATCGCTTTCGGCAAGCTTCTTAGCCTTGACCGAATCTTGGCGCTGGCCGAGGTATCGCGACACATAAGCATAGTAGTCCTTGCTCTCTTCTTCAAAGTCTCGCTTCTTGCTCTCGGCCTGCTTGATATCGAACTGGTATAACTTGGTGATGGGTTCGATGATGATCTTCTGGAGGTTGGCGGTATTTTGGCGCTCGTAGGCTAGGATCTCTCGAGCAATCTTGTCGAAGTAGTGCTCCAACGCAGGTTGGACGGCGTTGGCATTCGTCGTTGAGGTCTCGCGCAAGGCCTCCACGAAAGCGACAAAGGCCTCGTTGGCCTCCGTCTGCGAGGTATAAACCTGGTCTGCTCTCTTGAGCACCTTTTTCATCTGCGCGCGCAGATTTCCGGTCTTCTGCTCAAGTGCTTTCAGCGTGGCGCGGAAGACGGGACCATCATCGGCCACAGCAACGTCTTCGGCCGGCCTGGGAACGCATTGTACATCCACCTTGACAGGTTCTTTCGACGCCGGAATAGGGGGGAGGGACGCCTCCCCGGGAGCGTACAAGGGAGAGAGCGGCTGCTCCTCAACCTCTGCAGCCAATCGAGAGTCCACAGACTGAGCTGAAGCAATTCGGATCTTGGGAGGTGAAGACAGGAGGAAGGGTGCCGAGGGCGAGTTGGGCTGGGTCGGTGTCGTGTACGAGCCTGGGACTGGTTTGTCAGCAATAGGAACATCGGTGACACTGCGGTTCCGGAATGCTATCGGCTGGCTGAGCATACTTGAAACCCAATACGAAAAGGCAGCAAGAGTGTGCAGC